CATAAAATAAATCTCACTCAGTGTAAAACCTTTGAACACTCATTTTCTGGTAGAACACCAAACAACTAAAATGGGGAGACCAAGAAGGGGGGGGGGGGGGTTCTGTGTCATTCGAACCAGTATCCAGAAGACTCACCATTCGTGTTACATTATACAAGCCGTTGACGCTTATAATATATGCCAAACGAATACATATTTACTCTCTGAAAACTGGCACTAATTCTTAACCATGATAGAAAACGTCTGCAGGTCTGGCTCCATAATTTATCTTTCCGCTTCAAAGTTAGAACATTCATGACAAGTCCGACACTTGTGGGGCTTGGTCCCCAAACAAGAACTAAAAGACTGCAAAGAGAGTATTGTGAATTCCCCTGACAGCTTTGCAGAGGAAGTAGCTTGAGTTTTAATGCATTCACAGCGAGAGTAATACGAAACCAGGAACAAGATTAGAGAAATAGGAAGGTGTTGAGGCGGCAGTGACAGACCATGGCCCCAAGCTAGCCGTATCAGTTGCCACTCGATGGAAAGTCCCAGGTACATTGATCAACTGAGCTTGAACTGTGTGACTGCTGCACACTCCCTTGATATTAATCTTCTGTGTCAGATAAAAGTATCTTCTTTCTTCTGTCAGGAAAACTCAAAACAGGGGGAATATAAAAAACAAAAGGATTGCTTTAACATATGACTTTCGAGTTATCTGTCTTGTTGATTCACAGTGATTGCTGTTCTGGATATATGCCCAAAACAGTGAAATGTTATATTCTTTGAAACTTCCCCTCAAACAGGAATCAAGGTTTTTAAATTTGGTAGGGATCTAACATGACACCTGGATGTTTATCCTTGGGTCACACGTGTCATATCCTCTTCCCAATTCCAGAAACTTAACCTGATTGGCATACTGCATGTTCATTGGAGGCGGCTGTTCGCTGCTTGCATATATATGTCTATTAAGCAGGGGCCAGAAAAGTTTATGCCAGGAAATGAAACTGGTTCTCAGATTTTTATGGTTTTTAGTTTGCAGTGATTGATATCAATCCATCTTTTCTTCCTTGTCAAAGATTGTTCTTCCTGTTTCAAAATGAATGGGAAAAAAACCTGCAAATATATGCTCAACATCATGGTTTTAACTTGCAACGTTAATATGAGTTCATTTATCTCTAAGTTTTTTGTTTGTTATGTGCACATCTTGGATTTACACCGTAAATTTTTGGAGAAATTTGCAGAATGTCACAGGCTTTTGTTATTTTGGAAGATATTTTTTGAGATCATACTTTATTGAGCCTCACTTAATTATTTGGATCAGTTTATTCTCTGGCAAGTTGAAAAACATGCAAAAGTTATGAAGTTTTTACGTAGACATTTCATGCCACTCTTTTTTGTCAACTTCAGTGAAAACTTGAGTAGCACTTTTCTTGCAACGAAATGTACACTCGGCATGAATATGGGCAAATTTGTAAGCCAATCTCCTGCCATTGTGGAGCCAAAATTTTTATTCGCTCCTCTTGCCTGTCCTGCCCAGGCAGTCATTTTGATCCGACTACCCGAGCGTGATCTTAGCTGTAAGGCGGCTTACTGGATAAATTAGTCACGTAGGTACCGGGCACTTGGAAAAGCAAGATCATGTTGGCCTGTAGGGGCAACTCTAGCCTGCCAGCCGATCAGAGCTGTGGAGTCATAAATATCCCCATCCCTTGTGATACTCTATACGGCGAGGCCCTGATAGCTGTGTCACGTTACCCGGGGTTTTGTAGTTGCACTGCCAGCTTTTCGGTGTTGACTTACAGAGCTTGTTTCCTTTTCTCAAGCTCCGTCGCCCATCTTGATGCACCTGTGCCATGGTAAGGAATCGCAAAAGTGACTCCATCTTGATTGGGGCCGGGACTGATCGAGACACAAGATCCAGCCTCGGCAAGATGATGAAAACACAAGATTGAGATTTTTTTTTTTCAACTTGCACTTGGTGCGGCTTGGATTTCTAATGTAAAGGCCGATGTCTGCATTTGAAACCAGCCTGGGATATCAGATTGCCCTTTAAGTGTGTGAAAACACTCTGCGTCTCTTGTCCAGATCTTATGGTGCTATTCCAGATTTCCTCAAATGTCTCTCCGTAATTTTTTTTTTCTTGTTTGGGTTGACATTTGTACCATCCATGAATACAGCAGAATCAAAAAGCAATGGATTTGGACACTGGAATAAAAAAAAAAACATTTTCATTATTGTATTCGCAAATGTCTGTATTTAGGCAACATATGGCAGGATAATGATGTATGAAAAAAAATTCTGTAATACATGTGATAAAATGGAAAGGACAGAAGTATTTCTCACACGAGAATCATGCTTAGTGTTTCTAAATAAAACTTTTCATTCAGCTGTGAAATGTCTGTGAAATTTTCTTGATGAGCATATGAAATATCACATACCGGTACATCAAAATAGTGGGAGTTTTATCAAGAGCCAAATGCACAAAATGTGTGAGGTTATTACAATGTATGCCAGTTAGAAATAATAGTAGATTTTAAAATCAACGACATGTCTCAATTGGTCAACTGTCAAAATAATTTTAATTGGGATTGTTAATTAGCTGAAAAAAATCAATGTTCATTTAAACAGGCTACATGTAACTGTTGTATTTATTACTGTTGAATTTTACAGTTGAGGATATTGGCTAATCGCTATATTTCCCCTCCGTATAAAGAACCGGTACATTGTGCATTTGTTGCATCTCATAAATTTACCTTCCTATTTATTGTCCAGCAAGGCAGACAAGAATGCCTACCTACATGCCAAACTGCTACTCCATCTGTTTTTTTTCCCTCTGCCAAGTCCCATGCAACTTCCAGCTTACAATCCAAATTTGAGGTGACAGACACATTGCCATGGCAACCCGGCAGCCCCTGGGATCTCGCTTGTCTGTCACTGCTTCCCTCTGCACATTTCTTTGGGGCGGACTCAATCCCCAGGGTCTTGGGCAGGGTTGATGCCACATTTCCTTGGTCGTTGACCTTTGAGGGGGGTACCAGATATACATGTCTTAAAGGTGGAACACATGACAGTTATGATATGGTCGCACAGACAGTTAAAGCTATAGTCCATCATTTGCAGCTGGCGTAATTATTGTTGAAAAACATACTTGGTTGAAAGACAGTAAGAGGACTAAACTCCCTGTGAAATTTTTCTTTCTGGCAAGCTGTCATTTTCAAGTAATCGACGAAAGAAGGCCTTTCCAACGGTGCTTCTTAAGACGCACCGTAGGAAAATTTAAATTAGTAGTTCGTTTTGTTATTCGGCGAAGCGCGCGCAAGCATTGGCATGACGCACACGCATGCGGTTTGCTATAATTCGTCGGATCAGTGCGCGTGACATCGCGTAGCTGCATTCGGCTCAGCGAGAACGTGTCTCGGACGCTGAATTTAGGCGCAATTCAAAACATGATTCAGCAACTTTTGATTTGAAATTGAGATCTTAGAATGCTGTTTTTCTCAGGATATACAGCTGAAGCTGAGCTGAAACTTTATCAGGTTAGTTGTTCAGTACCCTTCTTTAGATTTTGAGCACTTTTGTTGCTTCAAACGAACAAAATGCACAAATTACAAATGATGGACTATAACTTTAAATCCTGTTATTGTCAAACTGACCTTGTTACGTGTACAAGCACCTGCAGTCGCAAAACTCAGTTAAATTTTATCTCATATTAATCAATAAGTTCAAAACCAATGTTTGTAAAGTACATGGACGTTCTTTATTTTCAGGCTTGCTGCAAGAAACAAAAGGTTGCTCTCCAAAAGTTGTTGGACAAGTGTTTTTAATAAGTAACTTTTAAAGCAGATCTGAATATATTTTGCCAATTGCAAAATTAAAAAAGGAAAATAACAGAAAAGCAAAGCAAGTGCTGAAGAAATTGCTTTTACAAAAGGGTAACAAATACAGAACAATATTTTTATTTCATAGGTTCAATAATATATAATAGAAAATTCCCCTAGCATTGAATACAGTTTTAGTTTATCATTGACTTTTAAAACTGTAGCAATTGCTTCCTTTCTGTATCAGTAATTCAGTGTAGTTTGATACTTACTTGGAATTAAAATAATCTTTAAACAATTTCTTCCATTTTGCGAAAAAAATATCATTAGATTTGAAGGTTCCTGGTTGACCTCGTAAAAATGTCCCTCTTTTGAGTCCCTTTAATAACATCCCCTTGCTTTAACTGTCAACAGAGGGCTCACTTCATAACTACACATGTTAATAGTAGACAACCTTCCTGGACGTGCCACATACCGTACATTGTCCTCATTTTCATCTCTCGATAAACTTTCATAGTTTTCTCGAAGGACAGCATTCAACTAAAATCTCTGTGCATTTGGATATGAGTTTCATGTTGTGTATTGAGTATGTCTGATACCATGAGCAAATGCACTATGATACATGTAGGTCTTGGCCGGCCGTTGACCCCAAACATCATTAAAATCTTTTTCACAGTTTTTTTCCCCCACACACATACTGTTGTTGAACTCATTGGCCCACTTTTCTTTATATAGAGTGACATGTCAGAGGCCAGCCAGTGAACTTCACTGAACTGCCATAAAGGTTTTTGAGTAAATTGCTGGAGAAAATGATTTGACTGGTTGCTCACATGCATGTAGGAGTTGGGGGAATAATTAAAAGTTTCACGCATTTAAAAAAAAATGCTGGTACTCTCATAAAAGAGTACCAGCATTTTTTTTTAAATGCGTGAAACTTTCAGATGGATTCACCATGACCTGGGCAAGATAATTTTGCAATGGTTTGAGGAAACAAGATATTTATTTAGGAAAAACCTGTTCAGGTTTTTCATCTTATTTTAGAAAAGTATATTTCACTTATCTTAGGAAACAGTGTTTATCCTGGAAATTGTGTCTATTAATTTACTCTAAATTTATCTCTAAATAGTCTTTTGTAACCAATGCCCACTTTGTTAAATTAATGAGACTCTTTTTCTCTTTCTTGTTAATGTTATGCAGAGGAGTTACAAGTCCTGAGAGTGGTGCAGAATTGAAGGCAGCCAGTCTCGTACAGCAGTTGAGCAAACTCAAGACAGAGATGAAGGAAATGAAAACGGATCTTATCAAGGTATTGAGAGAGAAATCCATACCGGTGGCAATCAAATCTTCATCTCAAAATTGTTCTGCTTTTCAAGATCATCAGTTCAGTAGTTGTAGTAAAGCCTGTTTTCAGGTGATTCTGTTAATGACTTAAGTCCATTTCACGGTATCAAAAATATTTGTGTTGAGCGAAGTCAAATCCTGAGATTTTGAGAACCCCTTACACATTAGCAAGATTCCAACACGGGTTCAGTGCTCTACTCCACTAAAATTCAACCCTGGTCCTGGCTCTACTCAGGTAGGAAATCCTAAAGTTATGTCTGACCCATTTTCAACCTATGTTCGATGAGACCTGATTCAGCTCCAGATGGACCCATGTTGATCGCTACATGGGTATAGGCAAGACAGTAGTGTGAGATCAAGATCCAATTTTTTGGTGTGATTGTTATCTTACCGCAATGAAACCACGAGTCGCGTTCCCACTTATGCTTGATCCACTTTTTTGAACGGAAATGTCGAGTCCGAAAGGTCACTGAGTTCAGTATAACGCATGCGCTAGCTTGCTGAGCTCGCGCTCTGTGACAGTGTTGCATGCTGGGACGGACAAATACGCAACGAAAATTTTACAAAATCAGTCTAGTTAAGTACATAGTACAATGTACATGTACATATTCATTTTTTCATGTGTAGTGGAAAGAGCACTTTTTTTCATGTGCCTAGTGTAGTATTAGGATATGTACACATGCACTGCATGCATGCATCGCGCATGCGCGGTGACACATTTGCTAGACCGTAGTTCAGCAGTCGTTTGCTGTACATGAGCTACATGCCTAAAAACTTATTTCTTGGTTCATCAGACCGCAAAATTTGCACGCTTCTCGTGCACAGATCGACCTTTTGCATTCCCATTTGATCATAATCTGCCATTTGCAGGATCTGATCCACCAATTGGGGGACCTGCATGTGTATCCTAGTCGAAAGGTGGATCAAGAAAGGTGGATCTGATCCTGATCCACCTTATAACGGTTAGCGTTCCCACACGACACACAATTGCAGGATCCGATCCACCAATTGGGGGATCTGATCCGGCAATTTGGCAAATGGTGGATCAGATCCCCCAATTAGTGGATCTAATGGGAACGGGGTCAAATAAAAGTCTTTAGTCAGCCTGCACATTATTGGCAAGCATATATTTAGAGGCAATTCATCTTTTTATATTCAACAAATATTAATTGCCTGGGGGAAGAGGAAACGATGGAATAGGGAACCACATGAAATTTCCTTCTCACGTTTCACAGAACACGCTCTCAACCCAAAAGGGATTATCTGCTGTCCATGTAACGTATCACAGACACTCACCTCGTTACCTGACTGTTGCTCACAGGGGAATAATTTGGACCTTCCATCATCCAGAACGAATGAAAAGTAGTGCAATGGGAGTCATCCATCATTAGCCATTGGGGAACACCGGGCATATTTGTGCACTTTGATCAGTCACAAAGGAATTGGATGTATTGCATGCACTTCATCAACCAATGTACTGATGTAGATTGAGAGACCATTTAGTCAGCCCAAAAAAAGTAGTCTCTACAGACGAGATCACCCAACTTATTGAAACCTCATTTGACTTTAAATTTATCATTGCTCCTTCTTACTGTGCACATGGTTGGGCAATGTGCACATCTTCTATGCCATACTGCGTATTCCAGCTGTGCACGTCAAATGCATGTGCACACATGTAGTACTCAGCTTTTGTAAGCATGTCAGGACATAAATCTCAGTGACTGCTCAACGCATCAGGGGTTAGGGCTTAAAAGATTAGTGTATTGTGACCGAATCCCACAAAATCAGTCTTGTTAAGGACATATTCATTTTTTTCATGTGCAGATGGAAAGAGCACATTTTTTTTAATGTGCAGTGGAAAGCGCATACATGTACTCTCCTCTTTTTGACTTGTCAATCAGTTTGACATCTTAATACGTGCTATATGCAGGTTTTGTGGGAATGTTGACTGTTTCTATTGATTTCCATTATACTGGATTTATTAAAAGTCAATCCTCTCATGTTGGATCACTGAAGGATTTTTGAATATTAACACTGCAGTGATATGGAATTCCAGCTCCTGTAATTCCAGCTTTACAAAATTTATATTAATAATCATTAGTGGAGCACAAGGAAGTTGCTAGCAACTGCCCAATAAACATCATAATCTGTTCATCTAATCTAAATAGTCTGCATGCACTAAAAGGGGTAATGATTGTTTCTTTTTTGTAGAATCTTCATTCTGAAGGGAGAGATGGCAGAGTTCGACAGAGCCACCTCCATTCACCGACTAGGAGGAGACGTGCCGAATTGCATGAGGTAAAGAATGAGAATTTGGAAGTACATGTATGTTGTTCATTGGTTATCTCATAGGAGTAACAAAGTAACAATCGGCCAACCAAATATAAGTTTGATTTCACCAGAGTTGTCATTTAAAGCTATAGTCCATCATTTGCAGCCATCCGAAAAAGTAACTGGCGTATTATTGTTGAAAAACATACTTGGTTGAAAGATAGTAAGTGGACTAAACTCCCTGTGAAATTAATCTTTCTGGCAAGCTATCATTTTGAAGTAATCAACAAAAGAAGGCCTTTCCAACGGTGAGTCTTAAGACACACCGTAGGAAAATTTAAATTAGTAGTTCGTTTTGTTATTCGGCGCAGCGCGCGCAAGCATTGGAACGACGCACAGGCATGCGCGGTTGCTATAATTCGTCGGATCAGTGCGCGACATCGCGTATAGCTGCAATTCAAAACAATTCAAAAAATGATTCAGCAACTTTTGATCTGAAATTGAGATCCTAGAATGCTGTTTTTCTCGGAATATACAGCTGAAGCTGAGCTGAAACTTCATCAGGTTAGTTGTTCAGTATCCTTCATTAGATTTTGAACACTTTTGTTGCTTCAAACGAACAAAATGCACAAATTACAAATGATGGACTATATCTTTAAGCTTGTTTCAATTGCAGGTGGATGGTTTGAGCATTCATACACTCTCACTGACAGTGCAATTAAATATATGTTTCAGTATTGTTGTTATGTCAATGTGAACTGTCCATGTATTATTTAAGGATGTCAAAATAGTACATCAATTTGAGACGCTGTGGAAAGTATCTCCACAAGTAAGTGTAAGTCACAACAGGTTAAAATCTAATTCAGCAATTGGTCTGGTCCATTAGTAATTAATAAGTCTACAAAAACTTCAGCCTCGGGTGACCCACGTTGTCTGGTTTTTTTTACAGTCTTGAGCGACTTACAATTACATGTATTCCTTGAGCTTACCTCTAGTACCTAAAATTGAGTATTCTTGGATGCAATTTGAGTAAAACAAAACAAATGTGAACAAATATTCCTGAAAATATTGAAGGATGCCAAATGTCTGAAAGAGCGAGAGGCAAGGTTCTCAGGGATTGACTTCGGATGACTTTTGTGTGTTCACATGACTGACATGTTGATGGAATGGTTCCCTTATTTCTTTCAGGAGGCTGAGAGGGAATGGGATGAGCTAATGCAGCGACGGCTTCAGCCAGCGCCTGTCGATCTTTATCTGGTAAGATTTTATTGAAGTCAGACATGTACATAATGGAAATTTGTTACGAGTAGGACTATTTTTGTATGGGTAGGATTTAAGGCCCAAAAAACATATTTCTGCTTCTGATTACATGGCATTTGAAAATAGGGTAGGTAGGTAGGGAAATTTCTGCTGGTTTTTTTTTGGCAAATTGTTTTTGTACTATCATATGGAGGTGTCTGCGTGTAGTCGAATGGTAAAAGGTAGTAATTGATGATTTTCGGGGGGGGGGGGGGGGTTCCTCATTTTTCCAAAAAACAAATAAGGGTAGGGGCTGTCAAAATAGGGTAGGTGGGGTAACAGAACTATTACTTTTTTTGGCCTAAGTCGTTTTCTGGAGGGTTATATTTGAAGTACTAGAATTTCAGTTGTGTTTTAAAAACTAAGATGGTTTTAAATGTTGATGTTTCTCAAATAAAATGTTTCACAAATAAATTAATGCCTGTTGTTCATCCAAAGACCATTTGTAAGTCCTTTTTGGCAGTTTCCATAAATCTTTGACTGATTTGAGTGTTAAAAAAGAAAAGAGAAGAAATGTACCTTTTTGTCCTGCAATTTTTTAATATCTTTTGGAAATGTCTTCCCATAACTGTGTGCAGGGTCTAGTTCACAGAAGTGAAAGAAGTTACAGATGGCTTGCCGTTATGAGAATTCGTTATAAATCACAAGTTGTAAATCTGTATCATTGATCAACATTTTGATAACAAATTTAGCTGCAGGAAATGTATCTGTTTAATTGAAATGCTCACCTGATTGCCTGTTTCACAATTAGTTGTTTTACTAGGTATATGTTTATACTCAAAGGGTATACACAGACTGTTAAAAATTGAGAATTCCTGCTAGATTGAAAAAGTGCCTACTCTAGAAAACTATAGACTAATGGCAAACAAAATTAGAGCCATTTTAGGTAGAACCACGTTAGCGTGCATGCCGCACGCTTTCTTGAAGACAAGGCACGCACCATTTTGTTAAGCATAATGGTCAAAAGAGCCCGGAGTGCCTGCGTACTACCTGAGCGTGACTTGTGCAAGCCTGGTTCCACCTCAGAAAATGGCTGTCGCCAAAATTAGTCTATATGCCATTCAGAAAATGAGCAGTGCCACGATCAAAAAATGCAATGCATGCCACACTGCATGTACTCTTTTTACTCCCCCAACCTCAGTGGAAAGTTCCCCACCCTAAACTTTGTGTTAAGCTGCCATTTGATTTCCCTCCACCCTGAATGAAAGTCCCACTTAGTCTGATGTTGACAAGTGTGATTTTTTGTTTCATTTCTCTAGAGGAAACCTCCCACACTGCCAGACACCACCCTCCCTTTCTCCCAACCCAAGCAGCCCCTCTCCCCATCCCATTACAACGCTCCCCTCCACCCCTCCCTGTGTGCGGATGCCAAGGCCGTCCTGGACAAGGTCCAGTCCAGCAAGTCGTGTCTAGAAGCCAACTTGGAGGCAGTTGTTAGAGCCAAGGAGCAAGAAGAGTTCTATAATTACCTCGATAGTCTCCATCTCCACGGGTAAGGAAACACTCACTGATTTCAGATTTGTCGTTTCCATTTAATCCTTCCAGTGTTCTCAAAAGTGTAAGGCTAGGTGACATACCGATAGAGGGTAACAATCTTGATAGCTTTTTCAAGAATAATAATAATAATAATAATAATAACCGTATTTATATAGCGCCTTTTCCAAAGGATACAAAGCGCTGGGGGAGAATGCAACCAAAGACAGGTAAATGAAGTATATGAACATATGAGACCCATTATGTAGCACCTTTTTGCTAGGTGCTGCGGCGCATATAGCTGCCACTGCCAGAAACACCAGGGCAAACCCCTTTTCAATAACGACAAGTGTATACTGGGATCTTTAACGTGCACTACACATCACACGGGACCTACGGCTTTACGTCCCATCCGAAGGACGAAGCAATAATGGTAAAGTGCCTTGCTCAAGAGCACAAGCACCCATGCTCCCACGGTCAGGATTCGAACCCATGTACCACGGCACACGAGTCGAACACCCTAACCATTGGACCACGTACAGCGCCCTACAAATACCAGGGGTACAATAATATAGAGGGTGCTCCTTTTAGACTTAGATTCCCATTTTCATCTTTGCAGTATGCCTGCTGAGGTACTCATTATCTGTTGTGTTTAAAACTTTGTTGTTAACCAAAATGTCAAGCAGAAAAGAAATTTTGGGCAGGGCAGCAAAACTTGAGAAGGGTGGCATACAATTTAGCAGGGCAGGCATCTCCCCCCCCCCTTTTTTTGTTTTTATTAATCCGACTGTCACTGTGCACATCAAATTTTGGCAATTATGTTAATGATATAAACTCAGCAGATAAATGATCACAAGTCCAGGGGATTGTGCATCATTTTCTTATTCAACCTAATACTAATTTGGAGTTCCTGCCAGTCAACTTTGTTCCATTACTCCATCGTGTTTTTCCCCTTTTATTTGGCTACACAGAGAAGCTGCTGAGAAGGCGCAGCTGAGATACAGAGTGGGAAGAATGATTGCTGCGCTAGATGATGAAATTAAGGTAAACATAGGTTGTTGTGGAACCAGTAAGGTTCTGTAACAGAACCAATGCATTTGTAGGCCCCTCTCACAGAATCACAGAATCCCTGTCACCACTTAACACTATTCTGGTCCACCTACAGGGCAACAGTCAGCTTAAGAGAAACAGTAGAGCATTCTTTTCCAGACACCAAGATACTCTGGTTCTTGCAAATCTCAAAAGATATATTACTACAGATTTCATGTGAATTAAGTGCACCTTTTGGTTGGCTGTCTAGTCAGGAAGCTGGCTAACTTTGCAATACATTTATGTGTTGGGAATGACCGGTTTAATAGAAGACTACAGATAAATATCTGATGAAGCTTCGCCTCGCATGCTCCACAGGGGAGTCAGTTTTGCCACCCAGCGTAGGCTTCGCAGGCAAGTCATCCGCTTCGCGGGTGATCAACTTGTCCCACCTCACGGGCGATCATCAACTCCTGAACGATCAACTGGAGTGCACACCAATTTGCATTTTATAGTGTAGTGGTGATGAATGGCTTAAGGCTATCCAATGAACAACTTGTTGACACATCTTGAAGTATTGGAACAAATGTGCTCACGAAATCCTCCCTCTTCCAGATGTTGGCCTCTAAAACTTCTTCAGTCAGTCATATAGAATCTCATTTCATTGACCCAACAGGTTCCATTTGCAGGCCTCATTTTCTGAGTGTTTCTTTAAACATTAAAAAGCTCATTTGTGTTATATTTTTAAGTAGGGGGGCACATTGAGGCGCACAGGCCTCAAGTGGGAAGGGATGTCCATGCCCCTATGCCCCCTCTTAGCTACGCGATTGTCATCTAATCTCTTCCGTCCATTAGCAAGAAGTCAGCAAGCCAAGGAAGCCCCATCCATCAGTACACATTCCAGAGAAAGACACCACAGGAGCAGGACTTGGCCAAGGACCAGCAGCATCAGCTAGATTGGCCAGGGCTGGGGGTAGAAAGAAGCCTGTCTCAGCTAGGATAGACAGCGGCTTGAGGAAGGGGCAACAACCACCATCTGCAGTGGGGGAGAAGGCCGGAACCGTAGGCAGACATAATAAAGAGAATGTGGCACAAACCAAGAAACAGCCGGTAAGGGCTTAATACTGGGGCCAATTTCAGTTTCGGTTATGTAGAGGCAGAAGTTTTTTAAATGGCAATGTGACCAACATTGATAGGCCATTTTCAAATTTCTCAACTTTAATAGCCCAACCATGATCAACTTGAATGTATTTGATTAACAGCGGTTCAAAAGAAGAGGCTGGTAATTCCATCTGACTATTGAAGGCACTGTTCAAAGCAGATGAAAAGTTGGCACTCTTCGTTGCGGCAAGTAAACAAAGTTGTGAATCACCTGTTTGCCTTTTTTTTTTTTTAACTCTTCCACAACTAGGCAAGTCGAGCCAAAAAACAGATGCCAATCGACCACAATCAGGATGAAGCTTATCTCACAAGAATATACGGTAAAGCGTTGTACCAAGCCAGACGATCCACTATGAAGAAAGAGCCTTACCTGAAATATGCAACATCAAGCCCACAGCCAAAGCCTTCCAGGGTACCCTTTGCCTCCCAGGTGAAAGGTGAGACTTCCTTTTCAGATGACTTTTTAATTTAAAAAAAAGCCTATCAAAGAGGCCTGGTAAATGCCAATGAAGGTAAAGGCTAGACAAAGAGGGAAAAGAAAAAGTGAGCTCAGAAATAATTGCAGAGTAGAAAGGTAGTTATATATGTTGAACTGTGGTATTAAAATTATTAAAAAGCGGGGAAGCGGGAATAACAAAGTGAGGCAGTGCAATGGAAGAAACTAAACGCATAAAACTGAATTTGCTTTTGGAAGAGTGTCTGTTGTGGATGTGAAAAAAACAGTTTAGTGCAGCCAAAGGGATTTATAATTAAGTGGAACAAGAGAACGGATAATTTGAGCAGACTTCTTTTTTGTAAAATGCGCAGTGATTCGTCTTTGTCTGAAGATGGAATCAGCTCATTTTTTACATCATGCTGGAGCGCACTGCTGCGCATGGAGAGAACATAATGTGTGCCAAATGATCATGTACACAATGCAGTTACTGATTCGAGGCTGATGATGGAGCAGCCATGTTCCTGGCTATTGAAATACCTTGTCCACATTCTAGGAGGTGTATGCTGTATGCCCACTATGAACTCTGCAGGAAAAGTAGGTGGTGCTGTGTGATAATGATAGCTCCCGTATGGAGGACACATGCATGTGGGCAATGGTTTTTCCTTTGTTTACTGCTTGGGAAGTAGTGTTTCACAAATTACATCCATCAATAGCCTTTCTCACAAGCAGCCAAAGTTAAGATAGAATGAAAGGGAAAGTTTTACCAATTGACCACTTCACGCTGGGATTATTTTCGCTGAAAATTTTGATTTTTGCAAAAGGCAAAATTTTCCAACCAACTTCTGATGTACAGCCAAACGCCACGATACTGATTCGCAAGAGTCATTTCAACAGTATTTGTACGATATGTCTTGCTGAAACCTTAAATGCCTCAATACTCTTGAGGGGTGCACTGGAACGTAAATTGTCGACGGCCAAATCAAGATCAACACACCGTTCGACTCAACAGACTCCACAGACTTTGTGTGTGCGTACAAAAGGCACGAGAGATTAGCGTGTTTAGACGTCACCGGAGGCGAGTTGAGACAATCATGATGCTTTAACCCGTTAGCTGCGCCTGTGTATAAAAACAGCCAGCGCATGTTATCACGTCCTCCGATACGAACTGGTCAATAGAAACGATAAGTGGTTTCATTTTCTTTTTAATCACCAGGAACTGAAATGAAATCGGCCAAGATCCAAACAGAATCCTCGTCGAGAACCATCCAGATCCCAAGACCAGCTAACCAATTCTTCTTTGACCCCTACCCTCTGACATCATCCAGTGTACAGCATCCACAATCAGGACCCACCCCAGTCCTCCCATCTCCCCCAGTCCACCATCAACCCGTGCCCCTGACTGCCCCTAGCCATGGCCAGCTTATACCCATGGCCGTAGCGCTGGCTCCCCCACAGGTCGGTGGACTGACCCAGCCTGTGACCATCCAGACAGATGGTCTGGAGAAAGGGGTGGTCAAGGAGTTGGAGAAGAGGGAGGTTAGGAGCAACGTGGCGGTTGTCAACATACAGTCTGAGGAAAAGAGACCAAAGCTGACAGTACAGGTAAGAGTTCACTATCCATGGGTGCTGATGACCCCCTAACCGTTTTACAATTCTTGTGAAGGAAAAGCGGGCATTTTCAAAGCATTTTGCATGTGTAACTTGCTATAAATGTGCAGTTCATGCATACAGGTCACGTGCACAATGAAGTGCTAACCCCGGGTCACTGGCTATGCAAAATGTACCGGTACCAATGAGAACTCAAAGAAAATTAAACGTCACCAATGCCCCTGGATAGAGCAGTTGTTACAAGCAAAATGTAGGTGTACATTCCTCTGAAATATGAGTTTACACTAGGGACAAATTTCAAGGAATTGCTTACCGTAGCCACGAAATCTTTGCTAACAATAGCAGAAAACTCATTAAATGTATATCAAGGATCAGCAAGGAAATTTGGCTTGTGCTGTTATGCTCATCCCATAACTAAGGGCCATGTCACACAAGGCAGTTTGAATGCAGTTAGTTCCAGGCACTCTCGTGCAAAAAAAAAAGTGACAGGCTCATTTTCATTTACTTGTAAGCTCCTCAGAATCATTTGTTAAAGAGGTTGTGGAATGCTCGAAAACACTTCCGTCATTTTTTGGGTATATGTAGCCTAAGGTGTGATGAAATAAAAATGACTATTGTTTCTGTCATGAAATGAGTACAAAGGGTACTTTTGAGGGCTATTTTTCAGGTCCTGTTTCGACCCGAACGTGCAATTTGTGTAAAAGTCGTCGTTGCGGGCAGCAAACAAAACACAGTAAATCGTGAAGTAATAAACAGGACTCTTTATGCTACTCTGCATCGGGAGTCCTGTTTATTACGTCACGATTTACTGTGTTTTGTTTGCTGCCCGCAACGACGACTTTTACACAAATTGCACGTTCGGGTCGAAACAGGCATGACACGACTTGAAAAACAGCTCTTGTACTACCTTTTGTACTCATTTTATGACAGAAACAATAGTCGTTTTTATTTCATCAAACCTTAGGCTACATATACCCCAAAAATGACGGAAATGTCTTTGAGCATTCCACAACCTCTTTAATTATTTGAAAACTGTACTTCATTCTTTCTGGGGGTTCCTTTAAGTTGCTGTGAATTTGGTCTCCAAGTTGTCTGTGACAATTGCATTGTTAACCTGACCATGAAGATTGTGCAGTTACATATTAGCACAGATTTTCTATGCTTGTGCTGTAACAAGCACAGCATTATGATCATACGTGCAGAATTCTGTTGTTTAGCAGAGCCATGAAACTGGGCCATGGTCTTCATTTTGTGGAGCTGTTTGCCAGAAAGTGTTGCTTAGCAAAATGCGCTAAGTTCTATATTCAGCTAAAAATCAGTCTAAGTGGGTATTTTTGTGCTTTTAGCAAATTTCTTTGCTTAGTACAGTAGTTGCATAAAAGTGGCTCCTGTTACTTGTTTAGTTTAAACAGTTGAGTGTCTTGTTCCTGTAAGTAGTTTTAGAATTTCTTTGTGAAAGACAGATTATGCACAGTTTCGTCATCCACCTCTGCACCTCCAGACTTAGCAATGGAATCACACAATTTAAATTTAAACTTCTCAATCCTGTACTCTACATACTTGTATATCAAGAGGCCCATGTGTGTGAGAAAGTTGCTGAACCACTTAACATATCACTGCCAATGACTAATATTAAGGTCATTTTTCTGGCTTTGATATTAAAGCATCTTCCAGCTGTTGACATAGACACGGAACTGTCCAGTCAGGCCTCGAGTGTGGCAGAGCATGATAGAGTACCAGAGGGAGGAACGCCAAAAGATAGAAGAGCGGAAATCACTCCACCGGTAAATACTTTGGCATAAAGTGTGCTGATCTATTTTTATTTTAATAACCAACCAAATAAAACACTGTAGAGGTTCCATTTATTCTGGCCAGACTTATCACAGGGATCACTGGCCCTGCTTATCATCTCTGCCTCAATCCCCACTATTAAGACATTTTGTGTTGATGAAACAATTTTGAGTATTTTTTATCAGTCGTTCATTGAAAGTGTGTCGTGTTTTTCATTCTTTTCCTGGTATTTTTTACTTAAGTGTTAAGAACAGTTTGCAAAAGATTATTCACCTTGGGTCTAAAATTATTGGAGAGCCACAGAGATGATCTTAGGCATTTCTGCGAACAGCAAGTACTAAAGCCAACTCCATCTTAGCCAGTGACTGTCAGGTGCCGAAAACCATGTTTTGAGTTTCTTCCATGAGGACGCCGTCTCAGATGCCCTCCATGTAAAACTAACAGAAGGAAGTTCTCATTCATTTCAGTGGCTACCAGACTTTCAAATAACTGATATGTGTATTTTTAAATGCCAATCACTTGTGTATTCATCATCACTTGTGAATTCATCATCATATTTTAAAGTAAAAATAATATTTTAGAGTAGTTTCCAATCATATCAATATGAAATCTACAAGTAGGTCATAATTGTACAAAATTTGACTTATTAATTTGTTGTGTAATTAACTTTTAGTGTTTTAATAGTGAGCTGTCCCACCTCATGTAATCACCTTTTTAAGGATAAATTTGCCTCTGAAGAAGATCTTGGTGAGATCGGAACTTAAGGCCCTCTTAGTTTGTTTGATAAATAAAGTATTTGAATTGAATTGAATTGAACTGAACTGTAGCAGAAACGTCCACCCTACAGCCACAGTGTTTACTGGTCAGGTAGGCAATTTTGGCTTGCAGGCACACGTACATCCCAAAACTAAGTTGGAATAGTTAGAATGTCTGTGCTAAGCCATGAAATTAGGCCATGGCAGGAGGCTGAACCTGTAACCACCAGATCTGCAGGGAGCTGACTTTCTCTCAGTTCTTGTTACATTGTTGCATTTGAAAAATTGATCAGGGCTTAAGGTGGATAATCTAATGATTTGCTATGAACAAAACTCTGTTAATAAACGTGTATTCATATGTCAGGTTGTTTGATCTAGTTCAGTTTGTTGTCCACAGGCTATGGACTCCATGCACAAGGGTTTGTTGCACACTCACATGAAAAACAGTCTGCCTGAGCACAAATTTCATTTTGTTTTTTGCAGGATGAAGAGAATCTCCCCGGTCAAACACAGTTTTCCCACTACCTAGCTGTTACTGAAGATGCAGAGGTAATGCACATTTCTATGGTTCAAAACGTGACCAGTTGACAATGGGTTAAAGGGAATGTACATCATTGGCTTTTGCTGTAATTTTCAGAAATGAACTATTTGAGGGGTTAGTATAATAGACCAAATATTGTTACACTGACATGTTTGAAGTTTTGTGTTCGAAAATGCTTGAAAAACCAAGAAAAACACAACTGTTTATGTAGTCTGGTTCCCTGACTCCACTTAAGATAAAATGGATCAATTATAGATGTCGGAAAATTGTAAGATAAGGGAACCAGTCTAGCTGGCCTGCACCCGTTCATGAACATGTAACCAATAGCAAACAAAATTTGGACTGAAAAAAAATTGTAAATTTGGAGCAGTAGTTGAAAAATAGTTGGGTTTTTCCAACGGTGGTAGGCCGACCACCGTTGGAAATGTATACAAAAATACTATTTTCTTGAGAATGACTCGACACCAGGTGCCATAATTGTACAGGATGCTTTAGACTGTCATTTACCAACATCCTAGTAAGGTATTTCGTAAAAACTTGGTAGTTTTATTTTTCGATGTTTGCAAATGTTGTATATTCCCTTTAAGGATAATATTTGCTTAGAGCAGAAACATTTTGCTCAGTATAAGTAGCTTCCCATCAAAAACAAAGTGTTATGTTTATTACTTTTTTTTCTTTGTTTTGGCTCTCTACTTAGCAGCTCCCTGCAATTGAATTTTATTCATCACTATGTCAGTTAGCTTGATGACAAATGAGCAGGGATGTAGTCAAGTCCATCACAAGTCTAGTCTGGTTCCCAGACCAAAAGATTCTGACTATTCCCGATGAATCTTAGGTCCGGTAGCCTCCGGTAATACATTGTATTACAATTTACGTCACGTGACTAAAACGGGAGGAATTCCTCCTTTTTCCGAAAATTCCCGAAGTTTGCCGAATTCGTTTCGTCGACAATCGGATAGCGCCCGATTATTTCCGAATATAATATAGGTTTAATTAAATGCTTATTGCTTATTAATTTCTTTTTAAAATGAGTTGATAATTAATATTCATTGCTTTCATTTAGAAAACTGGAATTCAACGACGATTTTGTGCATCAAATATACTCGGATCGTATGGGCGAAATTTTTGCTGCGTCATGTACAATTTTGAATTTGAAGACCGTTACTGAGATTTTCCAAAACTCGGTCTTCATTCGGCTCCGCCTGCTAACAGTGCTATTTGGGTGCCTACTTTTGAAGATTCCAGATCAACATTAGTCAATGTTATCTTACAGAAACATCAAACTGTATTATCATAACTGTATGATATTACGAAGCAAGTGATTTACTTAAAAATTTGATCAGATCGAACATTAAAAGCTAAAAGTGATAAAGCGAAATCGGAAACGAAGCCGAGCTTTGAAAAAGGGCCATCAATGTCGTCATGTTTGTTTTTAGCCACGGAGGCTGCCTGACCTAAGATTCATCAGGAATAGTCAGAATCTTTTGACTTTTTGACCAATCACAAGTCCAGTCTCAAGTTAATCACATGTCCATTCACAAGTCCAGTTACAAGAAACACTGGATGAACAATAACAAAGGAATGCCTTTGTCAAAGCTCATTTTAATAGCTTGTGATTTGTATTGGGACTAAAGGACAAGTGATGGACTTGCAGGGACTTGTGATGGACTAAAATGAGGGATGGTGGATGATGTATCCTTTTTAAATATTCTCAGGCTGAAATTGATAAGGTGGACACATCTTTTACAAGAAATCCTTCTTTTTTCTTATTTGCAGCCGGAGGAAGAATCAGAAGATGAGCTGCCTACTCCTGGTATCTCGTTGCCAGGCCGTTACACAGAGACAAGACGACCCTATCATGGCCCGCCCTTCCCTCCCCAAGCCCCACACCCCAATCCATCCAATGTAGGACCATCCTCAGATCAACTGGCCGGTGGCATCCGCAAAGACATCATGGAGAACGCAGCAATGGAATGGTATGGAATTTAAGGGTCTGTGTCATGGAACTGCTGAGAATAGAAATGTATAAGCACAGAAATAATTTGCTTAAAAACAAAAGTGGTTACCCGCCAGCGGTCTTGCAATGAATTTAAGGCTTGTGACTTAATCTCAGGTTATTTTATGCTTAGCACATTAATTTGTAAAGCAATATTGCCTACTTAATAGCAGGCCCACAAAATTAGGCCCATCATGTTTATAGTCATGAGCAGAGGGAGAATTGGAGACATCATCAGTTAACACACGAAACAATCCATCAGATCCGACTGTGTTCACAACTTTTGTTAAAACTAAACAGAAAAGATTTGCTAAGCAAAAGAACTGACTGGAATAGCAGAAATGGGCTGAGAACCAGTTACAAGTATTACAGTCGAATCTCGTTAGTACAAACTCTGTTAAAGCTATAGTCCATCATTTGCAGCCATCCGAAAAAGTAAATGGCTTATTATTGTTGAAAAACATACTTGGTTGAAAGATAGTAAGTGGACTAAACTCCCTGTGAAATTAATCTTTCTGGCAAGCTATCATTTTGAAGTAATCAACGAAAGAAGGCCTTTCCAACGGTGCATCTTAAGACGCACCATAGGAAAATTTAAGTTAGTAGTTCGTTTTGTTATTCGGCGCAGTGCGCGCAAGCATTGGCACGACGCGAGGGCGCGCGTGGTTGCTATAATTCGTCAGATCAGTGTGCGACATCGCGTATAGCTGCAATTCAAAACAATTAAAAACATTATTCAGCAACTTTTGATTTGAAATTGAGATCCTAGAATGCTGTTTTTCTCGGAATATACAGCTGAAGCTGAGCTGAAACTTCATCATGTTAGTTGTTCAGTATCCTTCATTAGATTTTGAACACTTTTGTTGCTTCAAAAAAAAAATGCACAAATTACAAATGATGGACTGTATCTTTAATACAAAATTCTGGTTATAACAAACATAAAGCCTTAGTCCCGACTGTGCATTTATGTGCACAATGAATGGGACTGATGTTCCTCTTAATACAAAATTCTGATATAACAAACAATTTGGCTAGGTCCGAACGAGTTTGTATTAACGAGACTCGACTGTACATGAAAATGCCATGACAGTTGTCTATGCATGAGGCCTGCAGTTCTATTGTCGTAGCTAGGCAAATAACTACATGAGATGTTGAATCACACAATTTATTTCTCATTGCGATTCTTGGCTTTCAGTGTAGTGTAATTTTCCGAGCATATACATATTATGTAGTCCTTCAGATCATTTGTCCTCTGTAGGCTCCTTGTGGAATCAATACATTAATGTGCTCTCAGTTTGTTAAAAAGGTCTGTTTGTTAAAAAGCTCTAGCAGCTTTGGTAATGTTATCTTTAAGGTAGTACAAGTTTAACTGCAAACAGTAGTTTGTTTTTAAAATAAATACAAGCATTCTGGTTTGCGGTCGGGCATACACGTATCTGCAGCAGATCTGCTGGGTTCAGATCTAGGTCAAATGTCGACTTAAGGTCTTTGATGACTTAAGTGACTCATCATCAAGCGAAACAAAAAAAAAATACTGACTTCATTATGGTTTGCCCTCTTCACCCCCTGTTTGCCGTTCTAAGTGCATTCGCCCACTGTCAACTTCCGATTAATTCTGGTTCTCCCCTTGCAGTCCCATTTATGGTCCCAGGTGGAAAATGTAGTTCTGTGAATCCCGTACTGAGATTGATTTTTCTTGTATTGGAACAAGCTGTGAGAAGCACGACTAGCTAGGAAATACTTGACAAGTTAACGTGTTCCATATTGCATCAATAAATCACCAGCTTAACGACAAAAAGCTTCAGTGTGTCAGTTTATATTTTCAACTCCCTGAAAGGCGGCATGACTGATTTCTGTGGTTGAAATTGAATGGGCACATCTGCCTGAGGTTTTTTTGCCAAAACGTGCCTGTGGCAGTGAAATGATACATGAAACATTTTCTTTTTCCAACCCAAATATGTTTAGGAGAGAACATGAAAAACGGGACGTTTAATTTCCTTTTTAGTTTGAGATCAATTTCAGACACCTAGTCTGTTTTAACTTTTCAATGTTCTGTTGAAATTTTCCAGGATTTTATTCACCTTTTCGAAAAATTATTAAGAAACTTTTGACTTACCTTATTTTCACAATATCTAGATTTCTTAATAGTACATTTTTTTTGCAGCTATGTTGTAAAATTTACTAAGTAAAATTGTGTTTGGTATTTGACTTTCTCTGACTGATCTCGTAATTATTGTTTGGATATTTTGGAAAATATACAAACCTGAACCTGAACCTGAAATCTGAATAATAAGAAATAACAAGAGTGAAGTTCTACCAAGAAGGGAATGACTGCTTTTGTCAAGCTTGACTGATTTTAGTGGAAAGAATTATATATTACAAGTGTAACATACTCTTTGTTAGTTTATTGAACCAAAACCAGTAACAAAATCAGGCTGTATACTGTGTGAATAAAATAGTAATCCAAAAATCATCTTAAAGGGAAGTTTGACTGCTCTTCATAAATATCTCTCAATTGCACCCCTGCAGTCATAGATAACTGAGCCCTGTTTATCTCAGAACAAAAGCTAACATCGTGCTATTGTTGGGTTGACACCATCGTGAGATGAGCTAACCATATTCAGGAGTGGAAATTAAAAGGAAAAAAATCCCTCCTTTTGTAAATTGTTGCAAGTTTGCAGCAGCACCATGGAAACATATTTAGTTTTCAAAAGATGGTCCTAAAAAGAATGAGTTAGTTCCATAGAGCTATATTAAATTACTAGAGCGCTAACTCCTCATTCTTGTGCGCAGAGACGCTTTGAAGCCGTCTTGTGCGCAGACATTTTGAATTCATGTGCGTGTTTGTAGAACACAATGAACTTAGATGGATTGAATTTTGAAAGTGTACTCTAAATGCAACGCGCAAGTACAATGTACACAAAATTTCTTACGCGTGTAACGGTTTAAAAAAACACGGTTAATCAAGGCTGCAGCAGATACGCACACTTGTTGCACTCATTTGCTGATCGTGCACTTCGGTTTTTGGCGTATCGGCTTCGATGACGCACCGGTATGGAATATAAACGCAGATATGCAAATAGATGTACAAAATGTCTAGTTCTCCAAATGTTTGTGTACAAACATGGATGCGCTCAGCAGGCATCACTTTGTACATGAGTTAGCGCTCTAGTAATTTATAGCTCTATGGTTAGTTCAGAATTTATGATCATAGAACTTCCTCTGACCACCAAAGAGATATCTTTGCATGGTTCTACTGCAGATGTCATAATTGTTTTTTTCATGCAAGCTTTCAAGTCTCACTAATTACATCTTTCTTTGTTGATTGTCAGGATTGAGCAGGAGTTGATGGCTCGAATGATCAGTGAGTTATACAGTCGGCAACCAGTCCAAGAACCAAGACCTGTCTCCCCTGATTCTAGCATGGCCTCATCAGCAAACGATTCCATTGGTGAGATTTGTACACGTATTATCTTTTATAGTTTAAAAGTCCAAGATGTGGAGTGTAGCACACTGAGAATTGAATTTTCAAATTGAATTGCTAAATTTTTAGCAATTTCTGTTTTTATCATCATCAATAGAATGATATCTTTTAAATAAGTTGTTATCTTTTAAATAAGTTGTTTATCTTTTAAATAAGTTGTAAGCAAAGCTATTGCATAAAAACAATTGGCTCAAGATAAGTGAAAGTTTGAATAAGTTTCAATTTTTAAAACAGGAAAAAAAAAATTTCAATCTTGAAATTTCAGAGTTAATTACCAAACATTGAATTTCACACTGCAGTTGAGACCATAGGCCCGGCCGGACTGCAGCTATTTGTGGATGCCGGTCAAGCTGTGGACCACACGCTGGTCAGCGCCTTGGTCCGAGAGGTGCTAGAAGAGAAAGTGACCGCTGCCGTTGGCCAGCACGACCGGGATATTCCTGGCAGGCAGCCAACAACACCAACACCTCCAGTCATGCCACAAACTGTAAGTCCTCCAAGTGTAGTCAAAGAGTAAAATGTTTTCTAAAAGTTGGAAAGATTTGTTGAGATCTATAGTTGCTTAATACATCTACTACTCGGGCAAATACAGTCAGACTCTACATCGGATCCGCCAATCATCTCTATCCTCCATGCAGAGAGGAAGAAATCACTAGTATTGATACATTGGCTTGATAAAATTCGATGTGTCACCTATAGTGAATGGTATTTAACCTATTGGCACCTGTACTTTATTGTATTACATTGTATTCACTAAAAATCATTAAAACTATAGCATGCTCCCGCCGTTTTGGATACAATAATAGGCAGGGCGGTACAGGTACTAAACTTCCATAGTACCCGACGGTACGGGTACTAAACTTCCATGCAGAGAGGAACAACTCACTAGCATTGATACATTGGCTTGATAAAATTCAATGTGTCACCTATAGTGAATGGTATTTAACCTATTGGCACCTGTACTTTATTGTATTACATTGTATTCACTAAAAATCTTCAAAACTATAGCATTCTCCCGCCGTTTTGGGTACAATAAACTAATAGGCAGGGCGGTACGGGTACTAAACTTAAAGAGGTTGTGGAATGCTCGAAGACATTTCCGTCATTTTTTTGGGTATATGTAGCCTAAGGTGTGATGAAATAAAAACGACTATTGTTTCTGTCATAAAATGAGTACAAAAGGTACTTTTGAGAGCTGTTTTTCAAGTCCTGTCATGCCTGTTTCGACCCGAACGTGCAATTTGTGTAAAAGTCGTCGTTGCGGGCAGCAAACAAAACAGTAAATCGTGACGTAATAAACAGGACTCCCAATGCAGAGTAGCATAAACGAGTCCTGTTTATTACGTCACGATTTACTGTGTTTTGTTTGCTGCCCGCAACGACGACTTTTACACAAATTGCACGTTCGGGTCGAAACAGGACCTGAAAAATAGCTCTCAAAAGTACCCTTTGTACTCATTTTATGACAGAAACAATAGTCGTTTTTATTTCATCACACCTTAGGCTACATATACCCAAAAAATGACGGAAATGTCTTCGAGCATTCCACAACCTCTTTAAGGGTTAAATCAAAATCACAAAAGGCAGTTTGTTCACTCTTCTCATTTGGTTTCCCTTCAGGATTCCAAGTCGCCAATTCCAACTCCCGAGGTGACTCCTAAAGCAAGCCCAGTACACACCCCACCCCTGATGGCCTCAAGGGTTGCCACACCCCTGGCCAGTCCCAGTGGGGCATCCCCTGTCGAATCGGAGACAGAGAGTGTGAAAGAGCTGGCGCTGACTCAGAACACCACAACCGGTAAGGGCAAGACGTGTTTGCTTTACAAAGATGACAAGGAGTGAGCCATACTCCACTGTGCAATTGCTGTGATGTGGTCCATGGCATTTTGTATGCCCACGTATACCCAAGGAAAAACTGGGGCTGTCATTTGCCCAAATTCCTATGATTGAATCATTACTTTGCAAGTGCGCCCTCATTTGTAAAAAAAAATGTGAAAAATAATACAGCGGGCACACAAAAGAACAAATAATTGTGATTTTAAAGCTATAGTCCATCATTTGTAATTAGTGCATTTTGTTCGTTTGAAGCAACAAAAGTGTTCGAAATCTAATGAAGGATACTGAACAACTTAATTGATGAAGTTTGAGCTCAGCTTCAGCTTCATATTCCGAGAAAAACAGCATTCTAGGATCTCAATTTAAAATCAAAAGTTGCTAAATCATGTTTCGAATTGTTTTGAATTGCAGCTTTACGCGATGGTTGCACACTGATCCGACGAATTATAGCAACCGCACGCGCCTGTGCGTCGTGCCAATGCTTGTGCGCGCTGCGCCGAATAACAAAGCGAACAACTAATTTAAATTTTCCTACGGTGCTTCTAATGCCTTCTTTCGTCGATTTCTTCAAAATGAGAGCTTGCCAGAAAGAATAATTTCACAGGGAGTTTAGTTCCCTTACTATCATTCAACCAGTATGTTTTTCAACAATAATTACGCCGGTTACTTTTTTGGATAGCTGCAAATGATGGACTCCGGCTTTAAGTCAAAAATACCCCTGTTGTTTTGTTCAAATTATTCTGGTAGCATTAATATCTGCCACAAAACTGTTCATTTCACTTTCACTTTAAGACTTGAAATTAACATTTCTAATCTACAAACCCATACACCAAAACAAGTCTACAAATATTAAACATGTTTCCGTACATGTTTATTCACTGTAACAAAATTGCATGAAGCCCAATGGTGCATATACTGAAGAACATCTCTAAACTGAATAAATTTCATACTTGTAAATTATCATTTGTACTTTTGTATTCTTCCCACAGATGAGCCCATAGCTGCCCCACGCACCCATGTCACAACTCCCATCAATACCCCAGCCCCGTCCCCACCACCTGACATCCCTACCCCAGAGAGGTCCCCCAGGGAGTCGCCAAAGCTGATCTCAGTGGCAGATGGTTTTGTCGTTACTCCGGTCAGAACGCCTGAGCCTGTCAGTCCAGAGCCAGAAGTTGAGGAGTCTGTGGTTCTGCCACCGTCACCAGAACCTGTGTAAGCTTAGGCAAAGCTCGGGCAAGGACCATTAGTCGACTAGTGGTTGATTTGTGACGTACCTTACGCCTGCGCACTAATAGCAACGTGCGAACGTCTCTAGTCAAACGCTGGTCAAAATGTCATTGCAAAACGTCTGGAACCTGGCTCCCTGCTGTACGTTAAGAATGCGCGCGGCTATGGTTACCAGCGATGCAACCAGCCCCATTAGGTTGGTTCCAAATAGTCGACTAGCGTAGTCAACCATTGTAGACAGAGTTCTGGCAAGCGTTAGTCGAACAATGGTTAACTATAGTCCTTGCGCAAACTTGCCCCTAGTTGTCAAAGGCTGGTGCTTCATATCAAGCATGAATGGAATGCGTGTGCATGCATGGGCCTTATGCACAAGTTGGCCATTTTTGTCATGTTCCCTGAATGTATTTCATAAGTTGTGAACTGTTGAATGGGATGGTGCCAGACTGTTTATTCACTATCGCCTCACTTACCTTTTTTTTTTAAATGTGGCTTAAAACATTAAAGTATGTTTAATCAAAAATTTTAAATTATTCATCAGAGCAGACTGGTATTAATTTGTAACGTCATTGCTTTCATTTCTCTACACAAATTCCATAAATGAAGATTTTACCTCACTCTTAATCCAATATGGCCGACTCGTGAATAAGGCCCGTTGTGCAAAGTTGTTTTGCTATGCTACATAGTTGGGTGCAAACATTTTATCATTTGGGTGGTTTGATAAGTGAATTTTGTTTAAGGGTGAAATGTTGTAAAGTTGCATTTGGCTTATACTTCAATTATAAACTGGACATCTCACAAACTCTGCAGATTATATATGTAATAAGGTGTTATAAATAAAATGTTTGACTGGCTTAACTCATGGTGAAGTAAAGCCAGCCTCTCTTGTTGATCTTTGGAGCATTCTGTTTTCCATCGGCAGATCATCTTTGAGGCTGGTTTTACCACATCACTTCGACAAATCCATATTTGTTTTTATATAATCTCACAAGTACCTACATGTATATTAGTATTTTACTTACAAAAATCTGCATTTATTGCAATGAGATAAGGACCCTAGAAAGTAAAAGATCTAATACCTCATCATAGTAACCAAGTATCCTTCAAGACAGAATTGTGAGGAAAATGTGGTTATTTTTTAAATTTAAAGATGAAAAATCAAAGGATGTGGTAATCAAAGATTGAACGTAGATTCACCAGTTAAAAAGGCCAGCTTTGGGTGTAAATTGATTCTTGATTTTGTCTGGTTCTAATTCAACAGAGTTGTTGAAGAGGAGCCAGTACCACCAACACCGTCCCCCTCCCTTCCTACTCCTTCAACTCCCACCCCTACACCTAGCTCGGATACTACCACCCAGCCTACTCCAAGCACAGAAACGGCGGGACACACCATTTCGGAAGGGGAGTGGCTCATCAGCGTGAAGAGTGAGGGGCAAGTTGAAGAGTCTACAGAAGGTACACTTTTTGAAGCAGATAGGATACGGCTTGTTTATAATCCTGAAAGGACATTATACAACATATTAGGTTTCTCATAATTTGCTTTTTCTCTTCATGACATTATGTACTACAGTCCCTTACTTACAGGACATGTAATGAATATGGCTTCCAGAGAAAACAAAACAAAAACTTGTTTGAAAGATATCAACTGAAGCTCATTTCAGCACTAGATGTAAAGTTCTGGGATTTGGCGTTCAGGTCCCAAATCAGTAATTTAAAAAAAAACTATTGGAAAATATTTGTCAAAATATTCTTGTTATCAGAGTCTGATAGTATGATTGACAAGGTGTCCATCTGGAAAGGTACCAACTTGGGACTTCATTTATAAGACAACATTATCAGAAATAAACTCAACTTGAGAAATGAATGTCTAATTATTTGTGTTCACTGTATTTATTTCAGCATGTGGCATGTATAATTTGCAGGGTTCAAAATTAGCGGTAGCCTGCTAGCCAAATGCTAGTCAAAACAGCGGCGGGCTAGTCAAACTTTTCCTTAAGTAGCCCGGCTGGCGAGTGAAACATTTTTGGGATACAGCAAAGATGAACGTACAGGAAGAAATAAATCATTGAATTCAGACAGAAAACCCCATCAATTTAAGTCTAATTTTATCAACTGTTTTAAAGGGTTAAATTATTAGATCTGTAATAATCAAAAACACTGACAAAATTGCCTCAGTATTGAGCCTGAAAATACGTCATTTTGTATTTGAGATAAGAAAAAAATGCAGGCAAGTGAAAATGCCGGCGGGCTAGTTAAGAGTCCGTTTCAGTAGCCAGGCTAGCTAGTGAACAAAAAAGTTAAGGTCGAACCCTGATTTGTCGTGCCTTGAAATCATTATCATCATAAAGGGGCTTTTCCATTGTTTTCATTGACTTGCAGACGAGCCTGGTGTTGTTGCTATGCGTGAAGTTTCCAACTCTAGCAGCATTGACAGCACTCTCATGGGAGCAGAAGACATTGAAAAAGATATGCAGGTGTGACTCCTTCAAGTCTACCTTATCTCAGCTAATGTCTTTGATCCAACATGCTATGTTAAAGCTTGAATATTTTTGTCTAACAGATTGAGCACAGGGAGTATAAAAATAACCAAAGTTTGATTCCAAAATACATGTAATCTGTTCTAAATCTATGCTTATAGGTCTTTTTTAAAGGACGTCACTTCCTACAGATTGCCAATTGCATCGGCATTTTGGGGGTAAAATTTTCATGACGCGCATTGGCTGCGCCATATTTCAAAGAAATTTCGAGCAACAGGCATTTGTGTTTAGAACATTTTGCACGCTACGCGCGCACATATCTGATGGCGTTGAATACACAGTTATTATTTCCTACGAAGATGGCGTCCAGTGAGAGAGATCTATTCTTATCAAGTGTGCTGATTATATTCAGTTACCACTCTTTGAGCAAATTTAATGCTCAGTAAAGATGGAACATGTAGACGGTGGCTGCTATTGAACAGTCAACTTAGTACATGCAGCAGGAAGTATGCACGTAGTTGCACGCGATACATACCGTGCAAAATGGATTGTACAATATGGGAAATATACTCGCACTGTTGTTGCCATTGATTGACCAATCAGGATTGAGGAGTAAAAAGTCTGCTTGAAGATAACATCTGTTGCTTGATGTGTTTTGTGTGTGTGTGTGTTTTCTATTTAGGAATATGAACTCAGTGAGGGTGAAATCTCACCCATCAAGCGCACTCCCAAACTCCACAGCCAAGACCCTGTGGTAGCCATCCTGGCCCATATGAGACAACGACCGGATCCCTCAGCCGGCCCTATTGGTATCCCGCCCTATCCGACAGCCTCACAGACCCTCAACAACAATGACACCAAGAGCCTGGGAGAGGTCAGTCTGGGCCAATGCCCAGCCCTGACCCCATCCTCTGAGAGACTGCTTTTCAAAGAGGCGTATGGTGCAGAGCCTCCCGAGGTGACCCCAAGGTCAGGGGTTGCCAAGAGGTCACCAGGAGAGGTTGGTAGCGAGGAGGAACAAGTCAGGGCAGGGAAGCAAACAGTTGAGGACTCTACCATGAGGATGTCACAACTTGATGGGACGAAACGTGAAGAGCCTACTCGTGACAAGGAATCGGACACTGCAGGACAGAGGACCACAGTAACCAGACCACTCCCAGCTCAAAGAATCATTCAGGTAGCTGATACACTTACGATTGTGCTTGGCCCAATGCAGCTGACAAGCAGAAAATATTAGTTAGCAATTTTATATGCTGAGCAGAAAATCAACACAAAAAAGATGCCCATGTTTTGCCCACCAAATCTTTTCCATGCTTTGTAACGCCATGAAATTGGCCCCAATCTTTATGTGTGTTTTTCCCTTGCATTTTTAAACATTTATGATACACATTCATCAATTCTAATAAATTTGTATGGTAAAATCGATACTGTACTTTAAATATTTACTTTTATCTTTGATCGCATTGTATCACTTTTTAGTTTCAAATTTAAACCATGAGCACTCATATTTATCGAGGAGTATTGATTTCATGTCTACTAACAGTATATTCTGAAAACAAATTTGTCTTATTTCATGCAATTTAATCGTAAATTTTGTCCCACGTACTTTGTGTGCCATCTTCCATTTTTTTGCCCTTGGTCTTTTTTTTCTTTTGGTGACTGTTATGTTCTCAGAGTTCAGAACTTCTACTTGGTGTAATAATATGAATGAGTGGGCGAAAGTGTGCTTGAGGACGTAAGAACATGCTTAACCTCACATCAGACTAATTTACTTCATAGTATTAAAGTGATTGATATAAAACAAATTCAATTCCTGAATGATGCCATTTGGCAACATGTGAGATAAATTCAATAAGTATTGACGCATACTCATGACCTAGTGCTAACATGTAATACCTTAGGTTAACCCAACTGCAATTTTACCAAAATGCAACTTCTTCTTGGACAAATTTGAATATTACAAATGATAATTCAAATTCTAAGCTGGGAAAATGTATGTAAAAATGAAGATAATAAGATGACATTTTGTCCCCAATATTCTTTGCATTTTGAAATTCAAGGGGCATGTAAAGTATAACTGCCGGTGCTCTACTTTTCGTAATGTTCTAAAACCTTCGAAAACTTCCTGGAGATTTTTAATGATTTCGGAGGATATATGATGTAATGCCGGTACATACTTTGTCTTCTTTATGCACATGAAGGTTGTTGGGAAATCTTCCAGCCCTGAACCTGCACAGAGGGACAGGACAAAGGATCTCAGCGAAATGATACCTAGACAAGAATCAGATGACATCAGTGAAGGAAGCATCGACGGTGAAGATAATGATGATGATGAAGGTGGTGTCAACCAGTCTGGAGTAAGAGAGAAGATTACATCTCGTGCTCCCATACCATCCAGTGAGTAGTCCTTACTTCCTATGCTACACCAGATTTCTGAAGTTCTTGTTTTGAGACTAATGCCATTTTTTTTTGACAAGTTTAGATTAGGTCTTACTGGGTTGATTAAAATTGAAAACAAGTTACCGGTTTGTGTTGTTAAAACTGCATTTTTTTAAGAATGGCTATAATCTTCCCTTTTTAAAAGAAATGCAACTGGTAATTCCTCTAATTCATCTCATGTGTAGTGATGAACTTTGTGTGGTATGTTTATGTTTCTTCTACACTCTAGAGGGTCTAAGCCATTCACTATTCCACAGTACCTTGCAGCCCACCCGCCATGACACATCCTCTCTTCTCTTGTGCACACTACAGGAAAAACATCCTTTCATATTGCTCTTTTCTGGTCGTCTTCCATAGTTACCTTATAGTTTTTGTCTATTTCTTGATATCTTCATGATTTTTAGTGATTTTTAGTGCAATTTTGCAGGAATTTTATCAGAGTAGCGCTTGCCCTCGTTTTATGACAGCAGAGCTGTGCTTGCCCCACCTAAGCAATTCACATGTCCCCACTCGACATTCTAGCGATTCACGTGTCCTGTCAAACAGGGCTGCAGCTGCCCCACCTCAGCAACCCATGATGTACAACCGTTCTGTACAGTTTTACTTAAACTGAACCTCGTAATGTTTCATGAAAAGGATTATCTGCTAGTTTTCGGGCTTTCCAGCTATATCCGGACTCGCGCCCTGGAATATATTGGCACTTCTGTCCGTGCTTGTAGTCAAGTGGAGCTGTGCTTGACCCATCTCGTCAACTCCCACTCCCCATCGCAGGCAATCAGTCATGCTGCTGTGCCTACAAGGGATTGACTCACGCATTGGCCCACACTACAAACTGCCCTGTCAAACAGAGCTGCACTTGGCCAATCTCGACAACTCACAAAAAAGATTATCCGCTTGTTTCTTGATGTTCTGGATATAATTACACTTACATGTACCGTCCCAGAATGCACTGCCGCTTGTGCCATGCTTTTTCGTGCTTCTGCCCATGTTAGACTTGAAAGCAAGTCGGTAATTGGCCTCAGTGGTTTTGTTTTGCACCATGCTGTGATATGTACGCAATATCACATACCGTCCCACGTTTCACTTGCAAATTGTGGCGTGCGATATACTTACATGCGGGGACGGTTTGTGCATCCTCCAATCCCAATATGCATGCTCCGACATGGTTAACTTGTTTTCGGCTTAAATGTACACAACCTATGGGACTCCCTAGCAGATTTGGACGAAAGCAGTCTAAGTGGTTAAGAATCAAGAACATATGAATATTCATGTTGCACCGTGTGCCGTACATGGTGATACCCTGGCTGCCCAAATACACAGGCTGGCTGCCAGCACTGACTGTATCTCTAGACCTCTGTCCTCTATCCATAGACCTCTTGTCATATGCTCAAACCCACCTTCCTATTCTGCATATTATGAAGTAATGCTCTATAGGTAAGACAAGACCACAAGAATCCCCTAACAGGAGTGTGGGCTGATTCTACTATCAAGTTCTTACCCATAGAGGCCCCCCCCCCCCCACCTCCCCGCTCTCACATACGTGTGAGAAAAGATGATGTGTCATGGCTGTTTGGCCGCAAGGTACTGTGGAAAATAAATCGTAGCAAGTGTCTTGTGCCCTCTAGGGGGATATTGTATATGCGCTCCACGAGTATGTACTCGCTAGTAGAACCAGCCCACACTTCTATAGGGGAGGGGATTTTCAGTGCATTTCTTCTGCATTTAAATGCGTCAACCTTTCATTAGACTTAAGATAATCTTTTCTTACTCTTCTAATCCAGATCTATTTGGGACACAGACCATGAGTGACCTGGACACACGAACACTGACCCCAGACGCCCTCAATCTGGAGGCTCTCCTCCAATCAGGATACCTGAGTCAGACCTTCAGCCAATCAGAGGGAGGCACCAGTGAATTTGAGTTCACAAAGCCCTCCATGGTCCCTGTGGGGGTCTCATCAGGGATCCAACTCCCAGCCACTAGACCTCGGGCGTTTGAAGCAGATTCCCCTGAGGGACCACATAAGCGAAAGGACGATGGCACCAAGGCTGGAGGTGGGATGTCCTTCTCTGTGACGCTTCCATCCGCGGTAGAGTCTGCGGGTTTGGATTTGAGTCAGACTATTAGCGAGGGGGAGATACCTGCCGCGGATACAACCAGCGATATCTCAGAAATCTCTGGTGGACCAATATTATGAGGGTTGTTGGCCTCGGTAATCTAGGTTCTTCTGTGAGATGTACACACCAGCCATGCTTGACAGTGGTGTCTTACTATTGGGAGCACATTTAGATGGTCCTAACCAAAAACTGGTTGGTTTTTTGTCATTGGTTTAATGTTTTGACAATGGAATTGTGAAGTGGTGACACGTGAATTACTGCGCTTCCAAAATTGACAAAATGCTTAACCAGTGAGAATGACAAAACCAGTTTTGGACTGCGAAACATACACATCCATGCATGATGAACACCATTATCTATATACTGACTGGATAGTGCTCATTGTCGTAAACAAAGAAGTGAAGCTCCTTTGCGTTACTTTTTGACTTCAGCCCTTTGATCTTGACATTCTTTCCAGTAAGTATTTAGATTATTTAGGCCTAATATAGACCTTATGCGTAGCAGCCATCTTAGAGTGCAATGTCTTTGTTTTGCTGGGATTTGCATGAGTGAACCTTTTGTGCATTAATTGTTACTGAATTCAAATAACAAAATATGCCCTCTAGCTAAGATGGCGACTATGCGTTTATAAGTCTATTCATGGCATCACAACGACTGCATCTTAATTGTTATGTCAAATAGAGATAAGTATATATGTATGCTTTTAGTGTGTAGGCATAGGCTAAATGCCACTCAAAATGTCACAAAATTGGGTCTATAGTATACTTTATTCAAGTGTATAATCACATGATATTGCCCGGGTCAAATCATGTCAGCAGCTAAGATGCATAAACATCAATGGGTGTGTCATATTAGTATTAAACCAAAGATATTGTTAAAACAAATAATACGAGTTGGCACATTAGCTACACATGAACAAATGTATTACATGTACTATTAACATTCTAGATGATTGCACACGTAAAGGGCATCTACTTACACTGATTTACCATATGTCACTTCTTGTGGCAAACAGTAGCCTGTGTCCAAATTTGGTGATATGGGGAGACCTTGTATTTTGACAAAGTTGATATCAAGTTCTGATGTATATATATACATTTTTGTAACCTAGGATATCCTGGGTGTTGGAGTTGAAAGCATGAAAAGCTACCTAGTATACAATAAACCAATTCGGTATTTCATTCCCGCGTAGTATAGTAGCGTAGTATGCAAGAATAACCTGGGTTTGTTTGGCTGAAATATACTGCCACTTCCAGTTAGTTGCACCATAGTCTCTGGAGGGTGACAAGGACAATAAATTTGGGAACTGAAAATATCTGGTTCATTGAATTACTGAAAGGGGTGTGCAGATCTGATTGTGCTTCCTATAGTAACCTATTGCATATTGGGCACGTCTCTGCCTTTCCTCTGCTCTCTGACCACGCTACCCGGTCCTGCTCCTTGCAGCCTCCCTTCAGATGTCACTCTCAGATGGCGTCCGTAAAATGTCCCTTTGCGAGACGGTACCTTCCTGCCTCCTCAAACTCTGGTACCTCAATTAAGAGGTTTTTTGCCAACTGCCCAGGCCCGAGACAGGCATTCAGCAGGCCCATGAGCTTGTCAAGGTTGTACGGTTTAACTCGTCTATCTCCCCATACAATTCGGCAGCATCTGCAGCACCACACCCTTTAGACTTGCTGCCAGAAAACGGCAGCCTCATATTCATCCCAACCATTAACCAACCTGCAAGACTCAAAGTGGCCCCGGTAGTCGATCAATGGTTGTTGACCGTCAAAACAATCGGGTGGTTTGCACCTCTGGTGTCCCAATTGCTGTCCCAGAATTTGGTACTGGAGCATTACTAGTGTTCCTATCAGTCTCCTGCTCCAGGTTAGTTGAGGCGTATCATGTTACCTCCTGGTGTGGAAAGAGCCTCTCTGTTCCAAAAGTTGGTCCATATACCAAAGAGTTGCAGCCTCCTCTGGTGGGGGAGTGTCTCACCCAAACTCTAGTCTGTTAGTCCACACCTCTGGTGTTGGTCCTTATCTGTCCTCGTTACTGCTACATGAGGTGTACCAGGAAATCATTCCCTAGTTACATCCTCTTCAGTTGTATTAGGCATGCATCTCATTGCCTTGTGCTCCGGTAACCATGCTGCCTTTTTCTTCAAGTTGACAGCAATGGATTGTATTTGTAGTGGTGTCCACAATGGAGATAACTGCGCCCTGACTTCACGTTCACAACCATCAGCCTCCTGCGCTGCCTCCTGGTCAGCAACTCGATCCTGACTGCTGACTGTGCAGTTTCCCAATCCAAGGTAGGGGATGGTCTGAAGGTCACCCCTGATGGCCGAAGCTCCCACGGCAGGGTCTTCATGATGCACTCCGGCCATACTACCCAAGTCCTGCTCCCAGCAGCCTCCTAATTAGGATCCTAACTGATCAGACTCCCATGTCTTGCTCCGATCCTGTTTTCCCCAGTATTTGGTCCCAAGATCTCCGATCTTGGTTTCTGCTTGGAAACCGGCTGATACAAAGTTCCCTAAGTCTCTGATGCCTGCCATGCAAAGCGCAAGTGGAGTTGCGCTCCTATCAGTTTGAGGGAGTTCAGCTGACCAGCTACATGTACTCACCAAGATAGCTCCATAAATGCGTCTCACCAGAGAGACGACGTGCAATGCGCACAGTTTTAAAAGCCTTGCTATTGATGTAGCCTTAAAATGTTACCTTATACAGAAGTGGAAGAATCCACTACAATACTGCACACCAAGCGTTCGGCAACTGCACCCTTTTGCGACACCTGCAATGCATAGGCGATGTCAATAGTTTGGGTAGTTTGGGTCAAGGGTTGTTTGGGATAAAGACGTCTGACAGCATACACGTACCAGAGGTCGGTGCTTACCTTAAAATTGGTTAAACGTGGCACTTACCAAAATCAATTGAAGATAATACCATAAAGCACCAATACGACTTTGTCTTGGAGATCACTGTTGATGTTTATCTCGAATGACCTATGACCCACCATATTTACTACATGCAGAGTTCAGATACTGAATTGGATTATTGTCTGTTACATGCAAGTCTTCTGATCCCAGTTGTTTGTTAAAACATTGACTCTCTTTATTAAATGATTGTCTCAAATAAAACCTGAAATTTGATGAAGTTATTTTGACCATTAGGAAACTGTACCAATTTCTTGTTACCATTCTTGTAGATTTTTATGTCATAAAATTGTTATATTTGCACCATCCCTGTGCTAAACAGGAGATGGCAATGTGAATTTGTATATTGGCATCACAAAGTGTTTAGAAACCATGTGTTTTTTTGTGACACTGTAATATAACGACCACTCGTATGTGAATAAACATACATGTATTCATGATGGTTGGAGAACAAATGCTTTTCAGTTTCAATTCATGTCCTTGCGTGTTTAATAAAACACTTATGTCATGCCGGACCCCCTCTCCCCACCCCTAAACAGAAATAATTAGTGACGTAACTACATGCATACATATGTATTAATTTTTATCAATTTATGCATTTTTTACCCTTTGGTGCACACATTATTTAGATTGCATGCACAGAATTTAAGTTTTTTGGGCAGTCGCTAGCAACCACCTTGCGCATTAAAAGGTTAACATGAATTCAAGTGCGAAAAAGGTAATTTAATTGGTCATCTGTTATCTTCCTTGTCCGTGAACTTGTTGGTCTTTACATGTGGCTAGGAGAAGATAGTTTTGGTATTCTCCAGTGTTACAACTGATAATGAAGCAACCAACGGATAATGTATCACCAACTGATAATGTCACACAAGTTGACCGATACTGTATCACTAACCGATAATGTAACAGAAATTTACCGATAGTGTAGTAAAAATGTACTACACTATCAATCGATTGTTGTTACATTATCGGGCTTAACCAATAATGTAACAAATATTGACCGATAGAGTAGTAACATTTACTACACTATCGGTCAATTTCTGTTACGTTATCGGTTAGTGATACAGTATTGGTCAATTTGTGTGACATTATCTGTTGGTGATACATTATCAGTTGGTTACTACATTATCAGTTGTAACACCCCAGTTTAACAGCCTTGTTCACATTGCCTCAACCTTCATTCCTATTATACACCAATTTACACTAAATAGTACATCAAACACTTTAATACATACTCGACATACTAGAAAAATGATTTTCACATTGTATTTTATTATCAAACATGTCCAAAATACCACCCATCCTTTTTTCACTACCAACACCAGTGTTAAATTTAATATATCACATTATTTTTTTCATAAATTCATAAGCTACATTTTGTGAAGTTGCTCAAAGTTTTAACAAGACAATAAAAGATAAAAGACACTTCATGAGTAAATAAATTACATTTGCCATCACATATGCATCCATGTCAAATTTCAAAGAAGGAAAATGCAACTCATCAAGGTATATGTTACTAAGACAAAGGCACCTATAAATTTCAGAGCATCATTTGTTCAGTATTTCAACCGCCGGCACAAATAAAAGGGAATTCCCGTAGTCGAGAAAAAATCTCATAAGAAATGCATAATATGTTAACTGATCTCAACTTTGACCAATCAGAATGCTTGTTCCAACCCATGGACCAATCAGAGTGGTGCCAAGTATGAAGAAGCGAGGTCAAAAGTCTGGCATGCATTCCGAGCCAACAGGAATATTGGTCAAAAATTAAACGCATCCACTTTAATAAACGCACTATTCAACATGCCGTTACAAAGATATGGAAGAAGAAAAAAGGGGATTTATAGATACCACATAGAATAATGCAAAGAGAGGAAAACCCCAAACCACAAGCATTTGTGATAATTCATTAATTTCAAGCAATCAAACAAGGCACTTTTACACTGCAGCTACATGTACAAATCAGACTACATTAATTTGATACTTTTTAATTTCAGCCTCATTAATGTGCACGGTCTACTGCTTAATACGTGTGCGCCATTACATTTTTTTCAGTGAAAAATTCAAACAAGTGTTACACAGTAGTGAGATGAGAGTAGAACAGGGAGTCCACAAAACATCCCAGTCAAGCTGAAGTCATCTGGTCTGTAAATACTCTAGAAGTTCACCACGTGCGTGGGTGACAATCGTAATAGTCTGATTCAAACATTGTCTTCAAGGAATATGACCAAGATAGCTGCAGTTTTTACATAAGTTACCAGCAAAAGTTTCTTTTTAATGTTACGGGATTAAGCACAATCATAGAATGATTTCAAGCAACATTGCTTTTTATATCAATTTACTGTTAAAAAATAACAAAACAAAAAAAACACTCTATGATTTAAAGCCTACAAAATAAATACCAATTCTAGATCACAATTTGTTTCATTTTGATGGAAATATAATTTGACAAAACATACAAAAAAAATCACAACAGGTCTTTGCATACTTTATTTCCGTTTGTAGAATTCCATTTGTGCACTGCCAAAATCACTCATTTTGATTTCATAACAACTACCCTTGACAAATCCACACGTGGAATTCAAATTTGACTTCAAGATTATGAAACCGGCTGATTGTTATTTGCTTGACTTTTCTCAACGTATGATATCCAGAGAGGTGACTGACATGCGACTAATTGTCTCTTGTACTGCCTTCAACAGTACAAATTCCAAAACACTGTGTAAATACCATGAATCTGGTTGTAACTTGTAACGGCACTTATTAGACTTCAACAACCGATCACCTCTGCAATTCACAACTAGGCCAAATTTCATAGGGATGCCAAGCAGAAAATGTTGCTTATTATCAACTTTACGTGCTCAGCAAAAATTAAGCAGAGAAAAACTGCATTACTTTTCATCATTACTTTTGCTTAGCAATTTGTGTGTGTGTGCTTAGCACACTTCTGTGCTTAGAAGCTCTGTGAAATTACCCTAGTTCTGGTAAGCTTAGTTCGAAGTCTTGCTACTCTGCTACAGTTTCCTAAATGTGAAATCCAGTAGCAAGAATACATGCTTAGCACAATGATTACAAAAGAGTGACCAGTTACAGTTACAACGTGTTCATGATCCACATTGAATAATTATCTCAATTGACAGAGAAATACATAATAAGTACACCGAATCTAAGGAAAAAGATCACTTTAAAGACTGGCCACTTTCCCACAGGCAATGTAGAGTGATCTCTGCTCATTTTAAAATAGAGTTTTGTACTTGTACTTCTTGTAAAATCCTCTATGATTCAATTTTCGCAGCTTACACATAAAGAACAGTAGACAAAAAGTAACATTTTTTGAAAAGATTTTAGTAAACGGACAAATGTCAACTGAAAACAGAGATTAGATGATTTTTTGTTTATACTTATTTTAGACAAAATCTGCCTCTATAGTTTAACCCAAATATGAACAGTTTGAATTCAACACTATTTATACAGTTACTGTTAGACGAACTGGCATACAAGGAACTTGCTCAGAACTTTGCCAGAAATTGCGTGCATTGTGAAATATCTTCAAAGAAGCATCAAGTTGTACATTTTATTGGCACTCCAGGTATTATGCTGCATAAATTAGATACGGTAGAGATCATGATCATGAGATGTACATGTACATGGGAGTCGACAGTTGAATAAATGATAGGATGACGTCACCTATAGGTATAATCTAGGAAAAACAATACCACTGACAAATTGACGCATGCTTGATGTACCAGCACCTAAAATGCATGTTAACTCTTTCAAAATCACATCTCAATCTTTGAACCTGTGTCCAAAGGTGTTTATGTGTCATAACCTTTGAATCTTTTGGCAAAATGATTCACCATCAGACGAAAGGGTGACCTCCCAATATTATCACTGAGAGATTGCATTGCGCAACAAGATATTCCACATTGCGCACTATTTGCATTTCTTGTGCTGAAGATCACCAAATCTCTTCACTTTTCTTACACAAATATATTTGTTTTGAAAAGGGTATGTCATGAGACTTTTCACGGCAATGACATTCTGCCTATCTTCTGTCAATTGACTTTTTCGGCATTCACAATGGCACTACAGTCCAAGGTTCGTTTGACAGGGCAAACATGCATGTCCATGTTGTCTAAAACGTGCGAATAAGCGTTAACTCTGAGCAGACCTACACCATATGCCTTGATCAAGCAGGCATGCACACATGCATGGAACAAGCAGAGCTGCATACAACCAATACAACAATACCATGGAACAAATGATATGACAGTAGGACACCACTAGCCAAGGACACTGCAGGGATGTTAACACCAAAACATGGCTTTTATCTCCATACTGGATCTGCAGTATTTGATTTTTTTTTGATTTTTTTTACGCAAACATTTTGTTCAATCATTACCTCCCCTTCCCATTTCCATAAACATGTTTGGCATTTCCATATTCCTGTTCGTTTTTCACAATAAAAATTCATGAGGCGTATGAACTGTGAAAACTGTAGTGTCTACAGATGCAACAACCTTCATGTGCTTAACATGAACATGAATAAAACAGCTGCAAACTGCAAACTGAGTGGATTGAACTGAAATATACAAACCAAACAAATTAACAGGCCTAACATTACGGCAAAATGACTGTGGGTACAAAAACAAACAAGTAGGAGACACATGCATGGAAGGGTGGAGGGAAAAACATAAAAAGAGGCATTAGGCAGGGGAAGGACAAAAGGAGTGTGACTGTGGGTAAAGATCAAAGGGGATGCAGAGAGGGGAGGGGGCAAGGAAGGAACAAATTAAAGGAGTGGTGAAGGGTAAATATCAAAAGGAGGGTGTGAATAGAGGAGAAGATGCAGGGGGAGGAACAGAGGAGTGTGGTAGTGGAAGATGTTAGGCCTGCTAATGTTTCATTTGTTAAAGGCAGAGATAAAATAAAACTTATGGAAAAGGAAACAGAAATGGTTAAATTCTCTTGATATCAAAATGGAAATCATCCTCATTCAACAATTTGGATTAACAAACCATCTGATTCTCTGTGCGCTTTGCAATCTGACAATTTCTTCCGCAAACAATTTTTGAACTTAGAAGAAAAATTTGTTCCAAAATAGACTTTTTGAAATAAGGTCGATACATAAATATCGGCTGTACTTTTACATCGAGCTACAAACACCTAGCCTTCAATAAGAATTTACATATTTGCATGCTTATTACTCCCAAACACCTTAGCGGAAGTTTTTAAATGTTAAACATCATTATCAATTCTTCAAGCAAATCAGTACAAAAATAAGGCTGTTCATAGTATACTACAAATATTTGATAAATTTTACCTTATTGAGAATGTTTTTACATATCCATAACTGAAATTATTTCAACCTTCATTGCCTGTTTATTCTAACAAACACACAAACAATAGTAACTTTGACAGTTTAATACTCAGAAACTTTGAAAGTTTAATAGCAACATTTTACACAATAGCATGTACACATTTATTTGCATAAATTATGCCTAGAAATGGGAAACAAAAACAGGAATTATGAACTGGTCAATTGCAAATCAGTCATAATTCAGATCCCCAAAAACCGGGGATAAAAAGGACAAGGAAATGCCACAGTTCACTTGACGTGATACTGGATGGCTTATGACTGGCTTGCGATAACTTTATCACAACTCGGACAAAAACCCTTCCAAGGAACATGTACATTTACGATAGGTTTCTGCAGATGTTGGTTGTGGATGTTTCCTTTCCATTCTTGATGACACTTTGGCATTAGCAAAAGATATAGGAGCTATGGAAAGAGGGTTGCCATGGAAAAAAAAAAAATGTTCAAAACAGTTGATGTTAGTTTCAATTAGCAGTTATCATTTCATATCTGGTATTAAGTCATGAATACAAAGGTTTTACGATTAAATAATACATTTCAAAATATCCATACTTTGAAACCAAACGTAAGGGTAATGACATTACATGTGGAGTGTTTAAATAGCGGCAGTGAAACAAATGCATTGCTATCACAGGACAACGGCGATTCCATTTCCCTTAACTAAACTTTCGGGAAAAAATGTTGCAACTTGACGCCACTTCAGCGGAGAGTATTGCCTAACAAAATTGGAAATGTTTCTCAGTCCCAGATTCATGTCTTATCATCAGTTTTGCAATGACTGACCTTCATTGAGATGAGATATATGAAGAAAAAAGTGGCGTCAGGTGCAACATTTTTTTCAAACTTTCCCTTAACTAAACTCAATTCCACAAAAACCATCAATAACGGTGTTTCCGTACAAGTGTGGGTACATGTGTAAAAAGAAAAAAAGGATTTTCTCAGGACAGGTTGCACATTATGTCAGCGACCCAACTGTCATGTTGTAGGTTTCACTAACTCATCACGGGTCGAAATGCAGGAGGTAGTAAAACGGCCACTGAATTTGCATGGGAAAGTATTTATTCAGAGTTGCAAAGTCTCGATGTTCACGTTTGGATTCTATTGCATGATCCAATATGGACCCCGTGCATACTAGAGCGCCCTCACATATTTTGAACGACAAAAACCTGTCCTCACAGAGGGCGCTCTGTGCAAGGGGTGTATGTACATGTACGTATATATGAACAAGAGTACTGTTAACATGCATTGGTTCACAGGTTAACCATAATACAGTTCCAAAAAAAAATAATAAATAAATAAATTGACCTTTCAGCTATGTACAGTGCCTTTTGGGCAATTCCACACCAAAGTGGACATGACACCAAAAAATTCAAATACATGTGACTGAAACAAATTTGGCATCAAATGAAAGCTAAAAGTCTATATTTTCAAGATTTGAAGTCGGAATTTTATTTTTTATACATTTCGGTACCAAAAATTAGGATTATGTAATAATTCTGTTTTAATCCTAAAAATGTGATTAATAGTGATATGAAAGTATTCTACCAATAGACACACAAAAATATGTACTAATGCCATCAGTTTCTGTCAGGAGAAAGTATTGGTCTTGAAAAACCGACTAAAACTTGTTTTTAACATTTTGCGTAATTTGTTTCGCTTCAGTGACTTCTAATATTTCAGCCTTCGAAAATGTCCTTCCGTTACCGAAAAAATACATATTTTTAATTTATTTTTAAAACTTGCAGTATGAATGCATTGAAAGTTATTGTGCAAAGCAAGTTTAGGTAGGCCTTCAATATGACATTATAACTGACACTGCTGTACTTATCGTTTTTTAATTACAATTAATTAAATCACGTCCTTCCGTTACCAAATTGGTAACGGAAGGACGGTAACGGAAGGACAAATCGTATTTTTATCAAATGTTACGACATTTGCGCTCATATTTGAAAAATGAAAATCACTGCAAATACATGCATGTATAATGAGCATTGAAAGGACATTCATGTGACCCACCTTCACAAAAGTGGGATAAGCAGGGCAAGGTGTTTATTACAAAGGATGGCACAGGCATGTACAACATGTACAATGTACATGTACATATATGCCGATGTACCAGTACTTGTACACATATGGAGTTGTTGCAGAAAATCAAATCATAAAGTTGCTGCCATCAGCATTCATGGACAATAGAGAAAGATACGAATTCTGTGAAGCCATTCCAGAAGCAAATTAAGTCAAAAATGAGATGGCAGAAAGTACCGGTACTTTGGGGCACTTTCATTCAATTTACATGTGTAAGACATGTGAGGTGCAATCTTTGACAAATTATGCCCAAGTTAACAATTTCAGTTTGGATGTTTATTACTAAATTGTTACTACTCTAAATCATTGTAATTTGATTTCAAACATTGATTTGAGAGTTCAATTAAAAGCAACACCTAACTGAAGCCATCAATTCTACCGGTAGATGTTTTTACCTTAAATGTACATGTAGGCTGGTCGCCCCCCTCCCCCCCCCCCCCCCCACCCTTTAGGTAAACCTTTGAACCTACCGGTATTATTATTAAAAGTTGTTGGTGAACATGTAACCAATATACTCAAGAGTTCAAATACTGTGTATTTAGACTTTTAAGGATTGAGGTGATGGGTTTGAAGTCTATTTCTGTAGTAGTCCTGTGTTCATGAATTATGTGTTTTGGGTTGTTTTCGTGTTTCTTTTGTTATCATTAATTAGCAGGCTTCTATCTTTATCTCAATAGTTTCTTGGGTATAATTATTTATGCCAGGTCTGCATATTGTTGATTTCACATTCAGTTACACATTTCAGCAATTTGTTTCACTTGTATAATTAGTGTAAATTCACATTTTGTTCATGCTATAATTGAGTAAACCTTTTGTCCTTCCGTTACCGTCCTTCCGTTACCAAATTATAATCTGCTTAAAACGTTGTAATTATATTACCGAAACACTTAAAGTCAAATGAAAGGCGGTATAGTATAGATAAAGCTTCAGGGATTCCATTTCCTACCTTTAAAATATAATTGCCCCATAAAATTCACAGAGTTTACGCAAAACGCGAGTAAGTTGGAAAACCCTTGTCCGTTTTACCGTCCTTCCGTTACCGACCTCATTAATATTCATAATTCATAAACGGGAGGCATTCATGCCCCCCAAAAGTGTGGGAAATGAAAGTAGCATTATAGCAATACAATTGTGACATTTGTTTGCTGTAACTATGAACAGTGTCTGTGATACACACATTTGAAATTTTATTTAATGAGTGAAAACGTCCTTCCGTTACCGTGGAATTGCCCTTTTCTCAATAGCTGAGCACTGGATAGTACATTTCAGAATCAACTGCATCTGTTTGCATGCAATTTGTTTTTATGAACAATATTATTTTGTAACCAAAAAAACGGGATTTTAAGGCCAAAAAAAAAAAAGTCTCCGGTTTCTGGTATGGAGCTTGCCCCAAAAGTGGTGCGGCGACGCTGCTTTTTTTTTTTTTTTTTACCTGATTTTTTTGCTTCAAATGTCGGCTGATGACTGCAAATGGTGCCCGACTAAACTTAGTGCAAATATATGGGAGTCCAGAGAGGCCACATAAAGCTTATTCTCGACCATAACCCAATCTAAAAACATGTTAAAATTGTGCAGCAGCAGGATTCCAGTCAAACCAGTGAGTTTGGCAGTTTTGAGACATCATCTTTCATTGAAAAAAAACTTTTTCATTTTGCCGACGCGCATGGCTACGGCGACACGCGCGCATACCAGAAACCAGAGACTTTTTTTTTTTGGCTTAACAAACAATGTTTGTATGTACAATGTACGTATTCAATACAAGTTAACGTTAGCACTCACGACCTGCGGTACGGTATGAATGCACACAAATTCTGTGCTGAAATGTCAGCCAACAATTTGGTGCTTACACAAATGTTCACAGGCAAATCCACGAATCTGGAGGCAGATACTTTTAAATGCCACCTTTTGTTATTTGAACACAAGCGCCCGTGCAGACAGCATTTTAAAATTTGTCGACATGTCTACTAACTTAAGTCTCTTGACTTGAGTTGTATTATACCTCATACAAGAATGAAACTACCGGTAGATCAATTTCATTTTTTCCTTCCAGTTTTCAAAGGATGTCTGGGTGTAACTGTAAAACATTTCAGCCAGAATCGTAAGTTTAACAGAAGAGTTTGGACACACTGAAACACCTGGGCAGTGGGGGTGGTTCCGATAAATCTGGTTCAAATGCTGCCTGTGTCCTCCCATATTTTTTTAAGTTATATTTTTCACCCAAAACAAATTACAATCGTGAATTCTGTAACCTGTCGTCACAAATTCGCCATCATATGAGATAGATGTTGCCGTTTGCCCCAAAATGTGAGATATGGGTTCAAATATAAATGTGGATGTACTGAATTGATTGAATCCGAGCCCAAATCAAAAGCTCTTCTTATACCATCAGTGAAGACAAATGCAATTTTGCTACTTGAAAAAAATATAATAAAAGCATGTTGATACTTATGAGGGAGTTGTGAAAGTTCCATACCTTTCAATCAATTCTAAATACATACACGTATGAACACTGTGTGGTTATAATAAAAAGAAAATTCCAAGTCATTCTGTATTCTGTAAAAATGGTTTCGCATGGTAACTCTTATAATGAGATGACAGGTCACACACAGTGACCAAAAAGTTGTTTTCTGTTACGCAAAGAAAAAAATTACTCTTACTTTGAAAGTTCATCAGAGATGTTTGTTAGTCTACATCGCTCTAAACCATTAGCTCTCCCAACCTCTGCTTTAATGTTATATTATTTACAAGTTTCCTTCCGAATAATCTGCAAAAAAATATACATCTTTGTCTTGGAGTTTCATCCCCTTCTCACTTCCTGGTCTAAACGGGCGATGATCTCGCCATCAACCAAACATCTCTTGTGAGGCGTAGACCATATACAAGAAGCCGTCTTCGTCCTTTTCATCCCGGTAGACCTCTGATAACGTGATTGACATACTGGCCAGGCTCTTATTGTTGACGATGAGATAGAAGGCCTGCGTGGCGCTCAGCTGCATACGATTTCTGTATAGTGGAGGGGGAGAGAGAGAGGCAATCATTAAAGGAGCAATTCTTCAGAAAGTGTACCTAAATTATTTTTTGGGGGGGAGGGAGTTTTTTATGTAATGTAATACAAATGATTTTGTTCACTAAAGTGTTGCTAGTACAGTTAATCAAGATGCAAATTTCTTGAGAAGTTTTATAAGTTGGTCTTTCCGTGCATAAATTAGCATAATTTTAATCACAACATGTCACACACGTGACCGATCAAAATGTCACGCACGTGACCACAGCACAATTCCCAGCAAAACTAAAGCAGAGGCTGTACGTTGTTTATGCATTCTAAATCACAAAAGACTAGTCTCACTAGAATATCCGATGAATAGCCCGGATAACATTTTTTCGTCTGATGTCACACTGAAAGTACAAACTACATGTATACTCTGAGGCAGGGAGTAAAAAACACTAACTTGATGAATCACTGAAAGTAATATGTCAGATGTACCGTAGTTAACAAGGGGTAAAGCTTCAATAATCAGACAAGCCCAATTTTACGTCACACAATGACCAAAGAATGGCCCAAAGACCATGTACAGTACATGTGTAATCATTATGGAACCAGTTTTGGGGCAGTTTTTAAGTCGGAGTGTATCCCTGCATGCCTTTTCATGGTTCATTGATTCCAGTATGTGAACAAAGAAGATTAACAGTCAGTCAGTCCAGCAAGGAGAAAAGACTCAATTTTGCTGCACTGCACATAAAGCTGATCTCCCCTCTAAAGCTGGATGAGCTAGCAGACGTACATGTACATACATATTTTGTACAGGTTTGCTCCATACTGTAGATGCACATGTACGGGTACACTGTACATGATGTGGTTGATGTGGTACCGGTATTGTCTTACATGTAATTCTGGTTTGGGCTTTTTTTTAATGAATTTTTCTTCCCTTACAATTTCTTTGCAATGTCTTGGAGGGAAAATCGGAACATTTCTACAGGCAATCATGCAAACTAATCAAACATTTCAAAATATATATCAATATCCTTTCTTTTCCATTTTTATAGAGCTTATATGTACATGCATGTCCACATGATCCCAAAAATATGAGTATGCGTCATGGTACACGGGACTGCATCATGCATGCTGCCATGCTCTATAACGTGCAATGTACCAGTATGTTTGGGCCAAACAAGGCACAATAAACAAGCTCATTATAATTTCCACCTCATCTGACCCGCTCTGTTTCAGTTTGTACTTAAAAATATACACAATGTAGTTCTTATTCCCTGAATCAACATCGCCAACAACTTTAACCATTTTAGATTTTGTCAGTTCCAGTTTCCAGGAATCTTACTGCAATTTCAAAATCCAACAAATTCTTCAAGGTTAGTAATTGTTCATTCTAACTTCCAAGAATTGTTTTTCTAATGCACACCCCCCGACTTGGGTGGAAACAACCACAGACGCTCGTGCATTTCCTGTCATAAAAACAAGCTTGTGCAACAACTCTTTGCCTTTAATAATTCAAGTGCATATCCACACTGTTGCAGTAACTCATGCAGTTCAAGTATACCACTGGAGTTACGAAATATACATGTACATAGGATATGAGTGGTCTGGAGTCACCTCATGACAACAAGTCTGTCAAGTGGTTAGAAAAAAAGTCAGCCCTGACCTGGCAGTCAACCGCAATCAATTGGACTGGGTGATTGTTAATCATGACCTAGCTAGTCTGATCAAACACAATTGAAGGCTGTACCAAATCTGACTGAGGACAGGAGTGTTGTTATCAAGTTGATGAACTCATCGCCTGATTTCATCAAGCAGTAAAAAAGTTCATTCAATCTAAATGTGTTATTGTACAAGAGTGTACCGGTACATCCACCATTTGGGAGGGGAAATTGTGCAACAAACTGAATTAATCACGTACATGTAGGCCCTATAGTTTTATGGATGCTCTTTAAACACAAATTCTTTGCACTTTCTTTCTTCGGTCATAGTCATAAACAATATGCCCAGACTTAATTACCTAGAAATATTTTGAACGCATTTACCAGTACAACCTTTTGCAATGAAATGTTTTTTTTCTAAGATGCCATAACAAGACCATTATGTACTTGCATTGTATATATGCTACTATTCCATTGTCGTCAAGATGACCAACCAATTCCTAAAAACCTTAAGTTATAGAAAAAAAATGTTGATAAACATTGACACCTGTTTCAGACCGTCATTTTATAATTACGTCATATATTAAACCAAAGGGTATTTAGTGAGACTCAAGTTGAAGTGACATTTATGAACTACCAGTAGATTTGTTTAAAGCTACAGTCCATCATTTGCAGCTATCCGAAAAGTAACTGGCGTAATTATTGTTGAAAAACAAACTTGGTTGAAAGATAGTAAGGGAACTAAACTCCCTGTGAAATTATTCTTTCTGGGAAGCTGTCATTTTGAAGTAATCAACGAAAGAAAGCCTTTACGGTGCGTCTTAAGACGCACCGTTGGAAAATTTAAATTTGTAGCTCGTTTTGTTATTCGATGAAGCGCGCGCAAGCATTGGCATGACGCACACGCGCGCGCGGGGTTGCTATAATTCATCGGATCAGTGCGCGACGTCGCGTATAGCTGCAATTCAAAACAATTCAAAACATGATTCAGTAACTTTTGATTTGAAATTGAGATCCTAGAATGCTGTTTTTCTCGGAATATACAGCTGAAGCTTACCTGAAACTTCATCAGGTTAGTTGTTCAGTATCCTTCATCAGATTTTGAACACTTTTGTTGCTTCAAACGAACAAAATGCACAAATTACAAATGATGGACTATATTTTTAACTGGATTCTGGAGTCATTTTGAATGACGTGCAACAGTCTATCTTTCACACACGTAAACATTGCCACTGATGTTTTGAATGTTGAAGATAATTCTTAGCTTTGGAATAAGTTAGTCGTAAGATGGGATTTTAGTTTGGCTCAACATTGGCACACAGAATCACAAGCTTACATACAAACTGTACATGTACAGGTACATGTACATGTACCTGACATTGCATGCTTTGACTTAAACTTACTTTCGTCTAACACTTACATGTAGGCCTAATTTACTACAATTGTCCTTTAACAACGGAAAAAAACTGCCCTTCAACTGTACCATAACGTAAGGCTGGCCAGCAATTTTGACACTAAGGAATGTTTATTTCCAAGGCATAGCCTTGATCTTCCATTCACATTTTCCACCCATCATCACACGCATTATTTATTTTTGTGGAAAAATCTTGTGATTGATCAATACCGGTAATTACGACAAATACCTTTTTTTTTGTTACATGCAAGCTACATGTAGAACCTTTTGTGCATTATATTGATCTGGCAGATTTGGACATCGGACTTTGACGTCATTGTGAATCGTATATCTGCCATGTGTTTGTGCTTGACAACTCACCATATTGCAGATTCTCAGCAGGGTCATTCCGTGTCAAATCAACACGCTTTTGGACCCGACCCTCACAGATTGAAACAATATTTGGTGTGATGATTGGCCTATATGAGAAACCCCCAGAACTGATTTTTTTTGTAAATTGACTCGTTAGTTTTTGAGATACGGGTCAACGAACTTTTGACTAATTAGCATGACCTCCGAACTTTAAATACTTGTATCTCAAAAACTATAGCGCCTACAAAGCCAAGTTGTACATCATATTAAAGTTCTTTGAATGGCCTCCATTTCATAAAATAAAACCAAAATCGTAGCATGAAGTGCAGAGAAAATGCGTAACAAAATGACCTTTGACCTCGAATTACGAAAAACAATATGCTTCAAATTTTGTAATTTTTTTTCAAATGTTAGTTTATGATGTCAGCAACAATCTTAAGAAAAAATTGGGATGGGCGCTTTCAAAGTTTTTAAGTTATGATTTTTTGAAGAAAGCCTGTCCATGAAAAAGTATGCATAATATTAAATGTACATGTACAAGTAAACATGTACATGTACACTTGTACTGTGTACATGTACATGTGCACATTTTACCTGTGCATCATGTTTGCCCTTTACAACCACATAGTCTCAACTCATTTATATTAAGGGCAGAACAAAATTACTTATAAAATATATGTTATACCGGTCTACTTTCATTTTTCGCTCAACCAAAGTCTGTGTTGCAGTGTTCATCTCCTCGGCGAGAGATGAAGAATGAAGCGGATATTCTCAGGCAAAGATTCCAAATTGCACGTACCATTCCAGGAACACAAAAGCTGCACTGTTTTTGTCCGATGTCTAAAGACAATATTAAGGTGCTTGATTTTTCCTCCTCCTCAGACTCAAGGGAGGAACCAGTTTGCCTCCAAGTCCATGGACAAACTGCATGTATTGATTTTGCAGATATCAAGGGGTACATGTATGTTACAGTGATGTATGACTGTTACTGGTGGCTAGCATGTGTTCAGGAGATCCTTCCAGCATCCCAAGAAGTGGAACTGAGTTTCCTTCATCCCCATGGGCCATCTCCATCTTTCAAGTTCCCCTATCGACCAGACACACTTGTAATTCATGGCAAGGATGTATTATAACAGCAGTGGAACCGTTCACTGAAACAGGACGCGTATACAAGATCTCCGCCGAGGAGATGAACACTGCAACACAGACTTTGGTTAAGCGAAAAATGAAAGTAACGTAGACCGGTATAACATATTTTTATGCCCCGCGGCGAAGCCGAAGGGGCATACTGTTTCCGCCTTGTCCTTCCGTGGGTGGGTGGGTGTGTGTGTGTGGGTGGGTGGGTGTGTGTGGGGGTGAGTTTGTCTTACATTCCCTATGTGGACTTGTGAACAAAAGATGTCCACATAATGCAGGTTGTGTTAACATTATGTGGACTAAGCCGTGTCCACATAAGGTTTTGCCCTTTCTGAAAAACAGGTATAAAGGCATTTTTGGGTTAGGTTTATCTGTAGCAGAATGAAGAGAAACACTATAGGGAATCATAGGGAAAAAAATGGGTTAAAAAGTTTTCACAGTTTAAGTAAAGTTATTTTTTGTACCGAGTTTTCTTAACTACACGAAAACAAAGGAATGTCCACATAGCGTATGTAAAACAAACGTGTGTGGGTGTGTGTGTGTGTCCGGACAAATCTTGTCAGCGCATTAACTTGAGAAATACTTAACATATGAATTTCAAATTTGGTTTGTGTATTGTTCTTGGTAATCCTAAGAACCCTTTTGCATTTGGGGCCGAAAGGTCAAGGGTCAAGGTCCCAGTGACTAAAACAAAAGAAATTTTGTCAATACTTTACATGTGAACTTCAAATTTGGTTTGTGGATCGTTCTTGGTAATCCAAATAGGCCTATCGCATTGGGGTCCAAAGGTCAAGGGTCAAGGTCACAGTGGCTAAAACAATAAAAATCTTGTATTTATTCTGAGATCATAGGGATTAGGGATTAATTCATATAAAACCTACAGAAGACACTAATGCTGTCAATGAACGTTCCATGTGACCAAGGTACGTATGTGTAAGTTGATGTTAAAAGAGTGGTGTTATGTCATGGGAACAGTCACGGTTGCGGGGCATTTGTGTTTGTAAACACACCTGACTTGGATATGAGTTGAGACTATGCGGTTGTAAAGGGCAAACATGATGCACAGGTAAAATGTGCACATGTACACAGTACAAGTACAATGTATACATATACATGTACATGTACATGTACATGTACATGTACATGTACATTTAATATTATGCATACTTTTTCATGGACAGGCTTTCTTCAAAAAATCATAACTTAAAAACTTTAAGAGCGCCCATCCCAATTTTTTCTTAAGATTGTTGCCGACATCATAAACTAACATTTGAAAAAAAATTACAAAATTTGAAGCATATTGTTTTTCGTAATTCGAGGTCAAAGGTCATTTTGTTACGCATTTTCTCTGCACTTCATGCTACGATTTTGGTTTTATTTTATGAAATGGAGGCCATTCAAAGAACTTTAATATGATGTACAACTTGGCTTTGTAGGCGCTATAGTTTTTGAGATACAAGTATTTAAAGTTCGGAGGTCATGCTAATTAGTCAAAAGTTCGTTGACCCGTATCTCAAAAACTAACGAGTCAATTTACAAAAAAAATCAGTTCTGGGGGTTTCTCATATAGGCCAATCATCACACCAAATATTGTTTCAATCTGTGAGGGTCGGGTCCAAAAGCGTGTTGATTTGACACGGAATGACCCAGCATGTCATTTTCCAAGCCATTGCATGCTAACCTTATTACACTTGTGATTAACGCAGTTACAATGATGCTATTGTTTAAATCTTTTATTGGCTTAGTTGATTAAATGTACCTTAAATGTTCAGCATTTAAAGCAAATACACGCATATTAATATACGTACATAGAAACACCCCCCCCCCAGAAAAAAATATGTATAGTAATATTAATAATAATTATGTAACATTACTAATGACTAATTATGTAACATTTTATGCAAATAAGCACTTTACCTGATTATTGTTACAAACTGGCTCATTGTCAATTCCTGGGGTACCAGAAATTTGGTCTTGTCTAGAAGAGGTAAGTTGGTCTCTTTGTAGTATCTTTCCACAATGACCTGCAATGTACAAGAAAGAGAGAGAAAAAATAATCAGTTTCAAATGTCAGTTGCTCATACAGTGTATTACAAGTTACAGCATAATTTTTATCTCAATAAATTTGGAAATTACTCGTATTCAACTTTGAGACAGCTTTCTTAGCTCAGAATCCGATAAAAATATATACGGTGCATCTGACTGATTGTTGCCAGACAACTGACAAACTAAAGAGTTCTAGGGGGAGGAGCGTGCCAAAAGAAGGGGGCCAAGTTGGGAGAATGTATCGGTGCGAGTTGGAATAGGCAGCTCCACGGACTGAAGAAAGCAGCCCTCGACCGAGTAGAGTGTAAGGTACTGCACCAGTACAATGTAGGGGGATTGAGTGCAGGTTACATCAAGGTATGAATAAACAACGTACTAGGTATGTGTACAGTACGTCATTTGTACACATTTCAAAATGGAATTTCTTGCGTACATATGATTTTACTACAATTTTTCAGTTCATTTCATTTGCCATATTTTTGCTCCAAGTTAAAGGGAATACATGTATACATCATTTGCTTTTGCTGTAATTTTCAGAAATGGATGGAATTGGGGGGTTGGAAATATATAGCAAATATAGTTACACTGACTTTTTTGAGGTTTTGGGTTCGAAAATGCTATAAAAATTTTCCTGTAGTCTGGTTTCCTGACTCCATATAAGAAGAAACAGAGCAGTTTACATACATTGGGTAATTGTACGGTCAGGGAACCAGTCTAGCTGGCTCGTACCCGTTCATAGGTTTGTAATCGATTGCAAACAAGTGCGATGGTCAATTGGGGCCAGTATTTGAAAAAAGCCAGTTTTTCCAACGCTGATCGGCCGATCAGCTTGGAAATTGATACAAAAATACCACTTTTCTTGAAAATGACAGTATACCAGGTGCCATGATTTTACAGGATGCTTTACACTGTCATTCACTAACAGTCCAGCAAGGTATTTCAAAATGATTTGGTAGTTTTATTTTTTGATGTTTGCAAATGTTGTATTTTCCCTTTAATATTAACACAGACACAGATCCTTCAGTGGTGTAACATCCCAATACCTAACAGTTCTTGAGGTTCAATAAAAAAATCTCAACGGAAATTAAATAAATGCTGGTACGAAAACGAGTTCTTGACTTTGTTTTCCCCAAACTGGTATCCACTGTTTGCCTGTAGTACACGTACCTGACCCCAAAAAAAAACAGATATGAAAAACAGATAAGCCATCGTGAAAAAAATTAGCACTAATCGTGCCTGAATAATTTTTGTGCTGGTAACTGGTACACGCAGAGACAAAACAAAAATAGATAACAGCTTCACTTGCCCACAACAATGTGTGTGACAATTCTATTATGTTCCTGCTCACAAGTTACATAAAATACAAACATCTGACTCAAAATACATTAACCCTTACCCTACTAGACCCTCCAACGCATGCCAATATGTGCCTCAAGAAAATCTCCTATGTTTTTTGCACGGCCCTCCAATATCTGCCATGTTATTTCAAGGGTAACTGGACAGGCACTCCAATACATGCCACAGAGAACAATGAGAGTCCTCTGATAACAAAGTGAGTGCCCCCAGCTGGTCAGTATCAGGCACCCTCCAGGGCCTCCAACTCCTGCCAATTGGAGCCTTCACTGTTAAGACAAACTATCTGCCAATAAACTGCAGCTGGAGGGCATTGGCATAACCAACTGACATGCAGTAAACTACCCTCAGAGAGTAAGGGTTAATCTCTGTGAACAACAAATTTGAGTTGACCCATTCTAGCCAAGCCAGGCTATAAGAAGACTGAAGACAGTTTGAATATATAGACAAAAACAAAAACAAGGCCTAGTGGTATATAATACCAGTTTTGGGAATCACAAAGAGTCCTTTTTTGGCAACGGTACTGTGCGCACAGGCTCTGATACATTCTTCTTTTCAGCAGACACTACGTTTTTATGCACATCATACATGTAGAAGTTGGTTGCTTGTACCACTGCACACCATATGCCCCTAAACCATGTTCCAGCATGTACTGTACAAACATAAGGGGCCTTTCACACTATCCAACTATCTGTGTTGGATCCCAATCCAATACAGAGATTTTGGGAACCCCATTCACACTACATTGTAGCAAGAATTCAGTACAGATTCTGCATGGGTCCAGTGATCTACAAGTATAAAATCCAAAACCTGACCAGGGTCGAAAGGATCCACAGGTTCTGTAGATAATCCCAAATCTAAAGCCGATCCATGCACACCAGTGTACCTGTACTGTACACATCAATATGCACAGTATTTGTATGAAAAGTATGCCTTGCCTACCCATGTTTGATCACGGACCATTATGTGGTTTGATACATTGTAAACCCCTGTGCTGCTCAGGGTGGACCTTAACCCTAACCCACCTCACTCCTCCAAAATCCTCCTGGCGGTTTTGGAGGATTCTAGAGGATTGAGGATGAATGGTGATTGAATCAAATGAGGATTCTGGAGGATTGAGGATGAATGGTGATTGAAGCACATGAGGATTTTGGAGGATTGAGGATGAATGGTGCATGAAGCACAAGAGGATTTTGGAGGATTGAGGATGAATGCATTTTGAGGCAGGACTGTCTGATGATTTGGAAGGATTTGGCGTTGGTTATCCTTCATTTAAACACGAGTGCAAAGTTTTGGGATGAGGAGGATTTTGGAGGATTGAGGATGAATGCATTTTGAGGCAGGACTGTCTGACAATTTTGAAAAATTTAGGCGGAGTTGAAAAATTTTGGAGGATTTTGGAGGATTGAGGATGGTTGTAAGCAACAAGGGCCTAGGGGGTTAGGGTTTTAATAGAGGGACAGTAAAGACGATAGTGTGAGAAGGCCTCACACATTAGGAGGGTGTGCATTATGCTAATTAATGCATTTTGTAAATTATTTTCAGGAGATGTTGAAGCAGCTGGCAGACTGCAATTCCCAGGAGACATTGCCTCCCAAATGAGTATCAGCTTGTCAGGTGTCATCACAGAGACATTAGCTCATGATTTATTGTACTTGTAGGAATATTCATTAACTGACAGGGTGTTATACCGGTATGAACTCTCCTGTCCAGTCAGGCCTGATCCCTGAGAGAAGATCTGCAGCAGGTGCTTTTCTTATTAAACATGTGACTTGATTTTATGGCAAAGCCACTACTGACAAATTTTTGCGTGCAGGTAAAAGTATGGACAAACATTGAAATACATTGTAAATACATGTCCTGGTGTTTCTCAATTGCTGAAACAATGCCACGTAAAGTTACAAAGCTAACAGTATTATGATCAATTCTCAAAATATCTATCAAGTGAAAGGATGTTCTGAATTTGAGAAAACACCTTAGATTTACCGTACATGTATTTAATTAAGTTCCTCAAGAAAATGTGCAGCATGCACTGTAGACACCAAACTACATGTAGCAAATGACATGCATCTAGACACGTACCGGTATACGCATACATGTACGATGCATGTACGCATACCAGTATAAACATTAGAATGACAAAAACCAGGGTAGACTTTTTTTTAAAAGTTGCATGAATTCAATTCTTGTAGTCAACAACATATCGTTTGTTATCAAAATTCTTTTTGTCCCCATTCAACAAAGCGTACATTCAGCACGTTCTGTCGTGCACACAATCAGTTTGAATGAAGCTTTGGACTGGATTTCTTAAACCCAGTACCCAGTTCCAAGTGTTGCTCTGATTGGTGCAATTCTCTATGGTGTGATGTAATTTGTACGTGTAATTCCACAGTCACATTCTTCAACAAACATTCTTCATACATATGTAAATGACTCTGTAACAAATGACTAATGTGCGCATGAAACATGTACAGTAATGACAAAATCATAATAAACGTTTGGTGGCTGTTTGGTGAGTGTCACACAATTCCTACATAGAACACGGCGCTCTATCTGTACCATAGAGCAGTCGAGGCTAATAACAGACTGTAAGTTCCTTTTTTTTCCTTTTGAATGGATGTTTGTCAAGCCCTACCCACTGTCGTGGGTTAGAGGTAACAGTTCACCAAGAGGCTTCTCTTTCATACAATTCCATTGTACCAATCCAATCACAAAGCAAGCTTGTTTGCGAGTTGTAGGCCCTATGCCAGTGGTTGAATATTTCCATGAAAACTGCTGCATTTCATATCAGTCACTGGCCTTGATCCACTGACCACTGCAACAATGGGTGACTCCTCAGGCCAAGGTCACTCCAAACACTGTGTTCTTATTTAAGGTCAGAGCATACACCTAAAGCAGCAACTACATGTACTGTACATTGTACAAAAATGTACCTATAGGCCTACATTGTGTACATACATGTTGTGTGCTGTACCATGTACATGTACATGTACATGAAGTAAACTGTTTTTTCTTAACCTTGTACATGTACAGTTTTGTACATGTACATAGGTACAAGAGCAATTTGTATAAGATCTTTCATGGAATACAAAATAAAACATTTCAACTAAAAATATGTACACAACCATCCAAATCCCAATAAAACCCATTTATCATGTTTATAAGCCTTGATACTGCACACATGCACCGGTACTTGATACAAATGTACTGCATACATAAACAATGAAGCAGGTTTAAGATGCAGACATTTTGCACGTGCAACATAATTTGTGTACAAGTTTCACATTGTTCACCTGCCTACTGTTATTATAATCAACATGCTTCTGAAAACCATCCAAGATTTAATACACCATTAACCTTAAATTTGCTGGTACCATCTACACATGTATGCTTCATACCCGTACATGGATACGGTATGTATGTACCGGTACTGTACTCAAACACATTTTGTGCCATGTATGTATACATGTACATGAGTAGCAGCAGCTCAAATTTATTCTTCATTATAAGTTCACCTTGAGTTTCTTCAAAGCCTATCAATGTATGTGCACAGTGTATGTCACGTACAATGTACTCAGTATTGTATGGCAAGAAATCTCATGAACTGTATTGAAAACAAGTATTTCAACACAAAATACTAGGAAGAATCTCATACGGTCTGCATTTGTCTTAGATTAGCTTGAAAAAAATGTATTTCATTGCAAAAATATAGGGCTTAGAACTCTGATATCTTAATCAGAAAAAAAATTAAAAAGGATATTTTTTGTAACATATTTAGTGACTTTATACATGTTCAATGTGTGAACTCTGCCATGGGATGCATTTTTGTACAAATAAGGAAAGGTACCATGGATGACACCGTGAGTCTTGTATTCATTTTTTACAAGCCTGAACTTAACAGAGACTGTACAACACAGTGTGCATAATGTACATGTAGGTCAGTCACCCTATGAAGTGATGGAAATGGCCATATGGTACAATGTTCCTCAGTGACTCACTACACATGGCCACCTACTGCTGTGAAACAGTAGTCACTTCCTGGAAATTTTACAATCTATGGGACCTCCTCTTAAAAGTGCATGAACCCTGCATGGAAAACAAGTCTACCTTTCATTTCTACATTGTACATGACAGTCAAGCGTACATGTACATCTACATCCATGTAAGCAAATCTCCCTCACCTGGGTTTGCAAAAGTGCCATATTTTTCAGGATATGTGACTTTGCTCCTACCATCAAACACACAAGCACAGAGACACCCAATATAAAGACCTACCGGGCGGTACACAATGTAACCAACCCACCCTGCAGAGGTGATTTATCAAATTCTTCATTCCACCAAACAATGTGTCATTTTTACTTTTTTTCTGAACCATTGTTGAGAACACAGAGGCATGGAACAAAACATCAATGGAGGTCAGGGTTGTATTTGACCCAGGGAAGGCTGTTCAACCCAATGTTCATAAACTACCCAAGTTCCTTCTACATTGTAAATGCATCAGGTGAACTGGAAGTTTTGCAAGATTGATGAGGCCTGGGTAATTGGGCACAGGTTTGTTTGGTTCCTAGATGTGTTAGCACAACGGGTGCCATGCAAAGAATGAATTCATGCAAATTTAAAGTCTTAGAGAACGCTCCATACTGTATGTGATAAATGTAGAAGGCATCGCACCTTCAATATGAATACTCATGGTCGCAATTTTTGTCTGATTATATACACTAGTGCAGTGCCATCTAAAATGTGCATGTTCGGGAAACGCAAATTGCTTTGCCGCTGGTATACATTGTAAGTTGCATACTTGCAGAGTTTTTGAGAACTGCTCGTGCAAACAACGCACACTTGCGTCAAAGTTTGTGCCAAGTTTGAAGTTCGACCACCTACAATGGTCGCTTAGTCGACTGCAAAAATAACGTGTCCGTGTACATACGAAATATGGTATGCAGTGCTATTCACCAATACTGGACAATGGTATCGCCCTACAATGCACGTGCGCGTGCCCGTCCTTTTTGCATTGTTTGCGTCATATTGAGCACGCGCGCTTTAGCTTAAACATGACGTTAACAATTGAAAAGAACGGCAGTGCGTGGTGTTATGTTCTAAGCTGCCACGTTTGCCTTTGGAAATACTGCTTTTTTGCAGCTTTTTCGAGAACCGCTCATCCAAACCACTTCAAACTTGGCACTGCACATTCTGTGGCCCCGAGCAATACACCTGCCGATTTTCAACTTCATACGGTGCCCGGTTCTGGAGATAATCGACGGACAGACAGACAGACAGAGATTCCTTGAATTATAGTAAGATGTACGTACAGTATACAAGTCTGCTAAATTTTAATTTCATTATTCTGTAAAATACATGTAGGGCCCTCATTAGTAGGTGTTTACCTTACATTTGTTAAATATGGCAACATTCTTAGTTTTATGTATAGCAGGCACACCGCACTGATGCCTATGAACAAACATTCTACCCGTCCAAAACCCTGACATCAATTTTCACTCACTGGGATTTTGTTGGGGAATTTCGCTCTTATACCAGCCACTTCATCTTTTCTTGAAGCTGAAATAGAAAAACAACAACAATAATATCAAGTTAATAAATGAGTAAAATTTACTTTCGTTGTTGAATTCATTGTAAATGAATGGCTTTATAAATTATAATAAGGAAATAAATGTGTGCTTGAGAGGTTTTAATCACTCTGTTTAAGACCGCTTAGAGTCTGGGTGCTGATAATTAACCCGAGCCGGAGGCGAGGGTAATTATCAGCACCCAGACGGCCAGACTCTAAGCGGTCTTAAACAGAGTGATTAATACCGACCGAACACACATTTATTCCCATTCATAAATACCTTTTTAGGTCAAAAATATATAATATTTCGGTCAAAAAATCCCGATTTTGTTCAACAAGTTCACTTCATGCTTTTTGAAACATCCCTCTAGCTAAAAAATGGAGTGTTCAGCTGGCGATTAAGATGTAAACAACCCTTTTATGGAGATTGACGCGCGCGTGGCACGTTCTGTGCGATGTCGCGCAGAACGCACCTGAGGCGTTGCGATTTGAATTTAGAACTATAAAATTCTGACTCACTGGTAGTGTTGCGCATGCCTACGTGAGGACTGTGAACGTTCAACCAATAAAACGGTAAGAGGCACTGGATTTTTAGGAGTCCACATTTAATGTGACACTGGAAAAGTGTTTAAGACCAGCTAGCCATGTCTTTATCATCCGTTTAAGACCGGCCACGTGACGGACTCTCGACCAATAGGAATGGCTCAACTGTCTGAGGTATTTATGAATAAGAAATAAAGAAATGCTTGAGTAGCACGCTCGATCACAGTCTACATACATGTACCGGTACATGTACATGTATGTGCCACTTGCTTTCGAACAGTACAATAATGTACATATTCAGACTGATACTCTGCCCTGCCCCTGTCAAAATTCATGAATGGAAATTTGTAACTCCGCCCACATATGTACATGTATGTAAGATTATCATCTGGTTTCAGCAACCATTGACTTCCCTTCAGTGAAGTACTTTACTCCAACCCACTCCGGTGAACGCACTGGTACCATCTGGCTTTTACAACAAATGCCTTTACTCCCTTTGTTTTAAATGCATTTCATACGAAGGCTACACATGACTGTGGCTATTGTATTAGTGATTTTCCAGATCAACAAGTGCAATTGATTGTAACAGCAACTTTGTGAACAGTCACCCTAAAGTCGCCACCTAAATGTGGTTGACTTTGACGCTTTGTATCTTTGAAATTATTTGAGGCAGTATAACAGGACGATGTCGAAATGGAAGCAAACATGCCATGGTATGCTGTGAAAATCTGGGAAAAAAAGATACAAACACCACCAAAAATTGGCGTTTGGGCGGCGACTATAAGGTCGCGCACGTTAGAAGGATTGCATGACTAGAGCTGGTAATCCTTAGGTTAAAAGACTCACCAAAACAGCTGACTAAATGACACTCAAAAGTGACATTCTGATATTTTTTGACACATTTGAACAGTTGGCAATGACACCTTCTTGAATATCAGCAGGTTTAATTTTGTGGAAAGAGGGCAGGGCTTTGATTTAGGAGGGATAAAAGATGACGATGACAAACAGAAAATATATTTAAAAAGCAAGATGGCGAACTGCAAAAAAGGTAGGAAAGTCATATTTTCTTTGAAAATGATTTCAAAGTAAAAGTCGGACTCCATATTATCGCAGCATTCCTATTATTGCGGCATGGGAAATTTCTTTTATTACGCTGCCAAAACTCCCTCAAGTGGCGATTTTTATCCAGTTCACCAGGCATTAAGGACTTTCTGCAGAGTTGTATAAAAAAAATTGTTGTGTCTTTTGGGACTTTTAACAATTTTTATTAAATATTAAATTTTCCCTCACCGTGTCTGCTAAAACTAAAAAGGTACTGTCTATATTTTAACATAAATCTTTAATGGTGCTCTGTCCATGAACGTTCAAACACAAAAAGAAGTCAAAGGACGATATTTCCACCACGAAATCGTAAAAACTTTTACGGGATCAAAATATGGACGGCGCGTTATAAAAAATCAAACGGCACACCGTGTAAAGTGAATGGCGCCCCCAATCGCCAATCAGTAGACTTGTCTCAGTGATTTGTGTTCTCCTTTCCGGGGAGGGGCAGGGTATTAAGAAATCATCCTGCAGGCATGTAGTCTTTAATCAACTTGAACGTTACAGGGAAAATATCAGACTTTATGCAGGGGTTGTTTGCGTCAAACATTAACTATGAAAAAAAAGTTGGGATCATTATTAAAAAAAACACTTCCCGCATAGGGAGTCCACCTCCGTTCGCATACATGTACTCCGAGCATAGGCCCCTATCTATTTTCACAGGCAACGTACACGGAATAAACCACACCACCGGCACCGTCGGATTTGTTTATAAAAAAAGGAAGAGTTATTCAGTTAACACAAAAGACAAGACAATCATGACAATTCGGGAAGGTTAGTGGGCAATCTCTATTCCGAACGAGAAACGATTAAAACCGCGATTAATACGGAGTCCCATCCTACAGTACAACTAACATGACTCGAGTTTATCGGAAGAAAAAAGACTGCTTAGCCTGCGAAAGTCACTGGTCAATGGTACTGGACAGTCACCTGCAAAAGTCAGTTTGAACAGAACTCGTAAAAATAGAGGTGTCCTGGCCTAGAGCTTGTCCCCAAACGAAATGGAGTTAAAAAAAAAACTAAAGTAGGCCTATGGGGGGGGGGGCAAGTGACATATGCGTGCACATTATTGAAGGTGGCACCATGTACAGCATACGGCCATGACGGACGAAGAAACTCGTAAAATAACTTAGCTTTGTGACTCACCAAAACTCTTTCTCTGTTTGAAGGATTTACTCGACGTGTTTCGGTCTGTCATGGTGGCGTTGATCAGTGTTATTATTTAAAAAGCACCAATTAAACACCTGTTGATACGCAGCACTCCAGCTTACATTGGCTAAGTCCTTTCGTTTGCTTGCTCGACGATTTCACTGCAGAAAGCAGTTTTACTTTACCGCATAATTAGCACATTACAGATTTCACTACTGCCACTCTATACTATACTGCACACAATACTATTGAACACGAACCACCTCGCTCAGCTAGTTTATAGTAGGAATAGTACTGCTGGTGACCCTGATCTGCATACGTCACATATACTGCCACCAAAATGGCGATCAATAATGACGTCACTGTACTTTCTCCGATTCTGATTGGTCACTTGATAGATTGAGGTCGCTGTGTAGGGTAGGCTAGCCATCAACAACCTTACTTATTATACTCTAATTGTTTGTATCACTTGAAAAAGGGAAAAACGATGCTTTCGAGGTCAACTAACTATGCACAACCGCTGAAATGGCCTTCAACTTTCTGCACAGCTTCCGGTTGTACAGTAATCAGTATTGTTTAATATACAAAGTGGAGTGCCAGCGTGTATCAACCGTCTTTTTTATTCCATAAAAATGGCGAATATTGGTTTTGTTTAAATAAAAAATAAAAAAATAAGGCAACTGTTGCTTTTAATAGTACGTAAAAGATATATTATTATAAGTATTCAATTCAGCACCATTACTTATGCCGGGCAGGGATAACCATGGATGAACCTAGCTCAAATTTCCTCCCAAGTATGTTGCGTAAATTGAAGGACTCCTAGCTCCAGGACGAGTGTTAGAATTAAGTCCTTGAAATTGCACCTTTGTGTCACATTTGCATCTATTCTGCTTTATAGTGTTTGTATTGTATGAATGTTTCATGGCCTCCGCTATTATATGCTAATACAATTTCCCATACAAACGTGCATGTACTACTGAGTAGAGTGACGCTTAGGCCTACTTATTTAACTTTACTTATTACTACACCAGCGCCAAAAAAATGGTAGTACATGAAGTCTGCGTGACACCAAAATCCGTTTGATTCGACTCGATATTGAGTCGTTCAACCATGGTTCAACATACTAATTTGATCCGCGCCAAAATGTTTTTTCTTAATTTCTACAGACACTGGGGCGCTCTTCAAAACTGACCTATGATTACACATACTGCAAATTATATGCCCACTGTCACGGCGCATTGTTATGGTTTTTGAGCGGGTTTCGTTTTGGGGATTGATGTGAGAACTTTCCATCTATTTTTATTGATTATTGAAATACTTCCTGAAAACAAATGTCACAAAAATCTGCCGGGGGGGGGGGGGGGGGGGGCAAGGTGCGCCACTGCATGAACGCCAGGTGTCGTTTTAACTTCCAACAAAAATTAACGTAAAATTGGGATATAGCACACGTCTTGTGAAATTGTGGTTCAATGTTTCATTTTGAAATTCTGCTTACGAACGAAGGTCTCATGCCATTTTCAGATGTGGTGGGAGACATGTTTTACATCATTTCCTATTGCAATTTTCCTTCCCTTTCAGTGTTTCATTTCCTTCCTATTTTTTTTTTATTGCAAAACGGGGTCGGGTATTACACATCCTGGGACACATTTTGCAAAGAGGACGAAATGATTAAAGGAAATAATTTGGGTTGTTTCAGAATGGAGGCGAAAAATTCCTTCCCTCGACCTCCTCCGTCCATCCAACCCTACGATTAAGAACGTTCCTCTACCTACCTCTGTTTTGCCCACTCTTCAGCCACTGAGATGCGATGACCAACTTCCAAAAGAGGGTGTGAATTTTGTTTCGGCCAACGGTGAAAAATTTGATGAACAAAATTGTCATCTCAACTTTTATGTTTAGTTAAAAAATAGACCTGGGGCATTGTGAGTGTCTTAGAAGGTATATTCCTTGAAGCATTATTGGATTATCCCAAAAGTAACCTACCAAATTATTGTCAAAAAGCTTACTTGCATTAAAGATCGTATACTGGTGCATGTACTAAACACTCAGTGAAATTATTCCGTCTGGCTTGGCTTACCGTTTTAGGAGACAACAAGAAATAACGGTGATTTCCAACATCAATTCATCAATATTGACTGATTTTTAGAAATAAGGAGTGATACGGACGAGATCGTGTTCCGTGATCCAAAGGTTGTGCATGGTTTTTCACCGTCTTCTCGAAAAGGGTAATATCCACTGAACTGAAACTTAACAGGTTAGATTTTGAACATTCTTCTTTGGATTTTGAGTTGTGTTACATTTGTATTACGGGAAACGAACAAAATGCATTAAAGCAAATGGTCTACCTTGAACAATATGCAGTGCACATAGGTTCCCCCCCCCCCAAGTATCGAAGTTTTATCGGACAGTTCACCAACTGGAACATGCAAGTACAGTAGAAATGAAACTACATGTACGCATCTATTTGAATGACGTACAGATTCGTCATAGTTTGAGGAAGCAGGGGTTGCCGGTTGCAAACAGTCACATGCGAAAACCATTACCTAAGAGTTTTCGAGATCAACCAGCTAGCAGTGCACTATAATACGTTGTTTTTCGAAAACAGAAGTTCATGAGTCGTCCCAAAAGAAAAATTATCACGTGTGCTAGTGTGTGGGCGATTCCATGAAATCAAATATGTTTAAAAAAAAAACAGGGTCGACAAACGACTCATTTATCTTGATCGCATCACATTTGTTTCACTAGAATTACCAATATTTAACTATCTACAAATGATTTTAGTTGCTTAAATTAAAGTACTTGTACCTAAATATCTGGTAGCAAAGGATGAAACATCTAACTAATTTACTGACAGTGTGGGTTCCATCTTATGAATAGTGTGGGTTTCCTAAATAGGTCACGGTTCACGCGTAAAGGGACACGAAAGTTATGATATTTTAAAACTGCTTTTGGAATGTGTTTTTTGGTTCATTATGTAATCAAAATAATACCATGTACATATGCGTATGAAAAATTGCCCTTGATTATGTTAGAGCAACTTGATACTGCTTTATTATGGCACTTTATGTAAATGATTTTAATATAACTAGTTCAGGGAGATTCACAGCGCGTTAGCCCAAATGTTTCATGCGTAGACACGACCCACTTTTTTGTGTCCTTTTTACACGGGAAATTTGTGTAGGCCTAATGTTTCCGAGAAATACAAAAAAATATTGGCTTCACTGGCAATCCAAACGTATCGCCATTAGTTACATGTCCCACTGATGCTTCGGGTGTACCCTTGCACGTGAAATCGTGAATGGGTTTTGACATGGTACTTTGGCAATTCTGGAGTAAAATGTCTGATTTTGGCTGCAATGAGGAAATGTCAATATTTTTAAGTTAATAGACTGAATGCCGTCCATCAATGTTTCCATCGGGATCAAAATGTCACGAGTTGGTAGGTACATGTACCCAAATATTTATGGAATAACCCACATACATTGTATTTATGAGCGCATTAACACAAAACACGAAAAGTTTGAATGAAAGAGGGATTAACATGTGAAAGGCACCGCTGCATGTATTTGAAATTTTTCTACATTCGTTTCTGGCCCCCTGCTCGTATCACTAATTCACCATTACTAAGAGAAAAACCACCAAAGACAGCTCACACTCGACAGTAAATTCAATTTAAAAAAAAAAGGCACGTACAGCTGGACAATTATTTATATGCAATCGCGGATAAAGAGGTGATGTGGACGGTCAAAAATGTACAGGGTGTGATTGGTACATTTAAAATTGGTTGACAGCAGAGAGGTACAGTCGAACCCTGATAAGAAGAGCACTGTTAATTCAACAATATAACAAGAACAATTTTAGGTCTCAAGTCTTTGGTTTGTTTTTTATTTTCCATTACTGTTAATACAAGGTACCTGGTAAAGTCCCAAGGACCTTGTTATAAAGGTGCTCGACTGTAGTAACTTTCCAGGACAAAAGTAGTGCTTTCCGCAAACAAGTTATTTGCTGTTTTGTATCTTAAAGAGCCTATTTACAATACTCTGGCCAATCATCACAATGAGACAAGGGACGCCACTCCCTTTCAGCCTTCCAGTTTGGCAGGAGACCACGGAGTACCACCAAAGCATCACAGTGGCGCATTGAACATGCAAGAAATATAGAGTATACAATGTATATACATGTAAACGGGAATGCAAACTGGAAATCTGCTGCATAGGTTGTGAAGGATTCCATGACTTTTGTTCTAGCCACAGCAACTTTCTATGACTCCGTGTAAAATAACAGAATTCCATGACTTTGACATGACTTTTCAGGATAGCTTAAATTTATTCCGGGATTTTCCAGGATTTTTTTGTCATGACTTGGGGAACCCTGTCATGAATTCCGAACAACGTTATAATTTGCAATTTTTTTGGTCTGTTAAAAATCACTTTCATAAATGGAAATGATAAGCCTCCTGCAGTCCTGGATCCCTAAAATAGACTTTGAATTACAAGTGCCAAATTGCATTTCCTGCAGATAGTGTGCAGCATCCAGAGATGCAGATATTTTATTTTCAAGCAATTTTAGAACCAACACTTTACTTTTGCAAACAAGGCAATCAGTAGTGGGCGTTTAAATAACTACATGTTTAAATTAACACTCTTACCGAACACAATAAAGAACTGACGATTATTATTTACATAAATACACTAAAATTAAACGTGAAAATGTGCAGTACAGTGCAGTAAACGTAGGTTTTCAATTCAAAGTGGATGCTTCCCAACTGCAAAGATGTGTTCTTTAAGGCCCCCCAAAAAAGTCTCCGGTTTCTGGTATGCACGCGTCGCCGTAACCATGTGCGTCGGCAAAATGAAAAAGTTGTTTTTTTCAATGAAAGATGATGTCTCAAAACCGCCAAACTCACTGGTTTGACTGGAATCCTGCTGCTGCACAATTTTAACATGTTTTTAGATGGGGTTATGATCGAGAATAAGCTTCATGTGGCCTCTCTGGTCTCCAATAATATTTGCACTAAGTTTAGTCCGGCACCATTTGCAGTCATCAGCCGACATTTGAAGGAAAAAAACCAGTGAAAAAACAAAAAAAGCCGCGTCACCGCACCACTTTTTGGGCAAGCTCCATACCAGAAACTGGAGACTTTTTTTTTTGCCTAACCCTAACCATCCTGAATCCTCAAATTTGAGTGTGATTTTTGACACACCCTAAGTTTGGGTTAATCACCCTTCTTTTGAAACTTTCATATGCTGCTGACAAAAATGTCCGGAAAATAATGCCAACTTTGCCAAAATGATGGAAATAAAGATTTACATGGATTAATGAAATCATGATTGGGTAAACCAGGTTTGTTAGAAATCTAACCAAATCATACTTTTTTATTAAGAGATAGCAACTTTCTACTCTGTTCAATTGGTAAATCCATTGTACATCTGAATAAACTTGCAAATCATTCTTCATCCAAGAGGAATCTTAAAAGTAAGTTGAGCACAAAAAGGACATATCAGGTTATGTATATGAACAGATATATACAGTTGTCTTACATGCAACAGTCATTTCAGCTAATTATGTTCCCTGTTTTCAAAGTGTTTTCAAACAAAGAATTGATTAGAAAAGAACAATAAATAAAAACTGATAATAAAATGTCAGAGTTGATCTTTCTTGTGAAAACTCTGTGTAGGCCTAATGGATGTAACAGTTGTTAAATTATTCTAAAGTGCACAAGTGAAATTGTAAAAACCTTTGGTCACATATTAAAAAATTCCACTAATGGTGGGGTATCGTTCAGCAAGTCCATTCCTGACTCCTACACAGCCACACACCATGGTTGTACCGATATTCCACTTTCATACGCCAACAATGCAAATCTTGCCAACTATTTCCCACTGGCTACGCACAAACAGACTGCGAATGTTGTCAACGTTTGCTTGAATGGAATGTCACCCACAAGTAAGATTCAAAAGTTTGCGGGGAAAACGGCTTAGACCAAAGTATAAATGTCAAGATGCCTTTTTTGGCCTTTTTGAAATATGCCAACCCCATGAGCACGCAAGTTGACCTCAAAAACATGCGAGATTTTAACGGGAATAGAGTACATACCGGTACGGGCACCATGTGTACGTCTACAGCGTGTGTAATGTCCTATTTTTTTTGCATTTATTTTCAGTCCTGATGACTAGGCATATGCATTCAAGGGCAATAGATGGACTCTTGAGAAAGAAAAGAAATTACAATGTACAACATATTGAAAGTATTGTGAATTATTGACGATAATGAAATGATCACGCAGATAACAATTGGGTAAATTCTACAATGGGAATCTGTGACTGGACTAGTCGGTGTTTGGTAACGAGATGTTCGCATGACACTTGCACGCTCTATAGGAAGGTGCCATTTTGGTTTGGGTAATTTTGGTACATACAAAATTGGGCACCAACAATGAGTGGCCCCCTCAAATAAAACATTTGACTCAAAACAGTAACGATACAAAAATCCCTGCTGTTACTGTATTTGGCAGTTTTCTTCCTTGTCGCCGTCCGTCCCACCGGCAGTCCTTTGCCTCTTGGAGTCCTTCGGGGATCTGTTCAGGCTCAGCCTGCGTCTGGGCCTGCCGATCTGACGCTGTTTGGCTGCTTCAGTTGTCATTGCGGGCACCTTCCTGGGGCTGTTTGTGATGGTTCCCAAGGCAGCGGGATGAAGTCCAACCTGTTTGAAAATACAAATTTGAAATAAAAGAGAAAAGTCAGATCTTGACTGTAAAAGGTGAAAAACAAGTCTTGAAATGCGATGGTTTCTGGAGAAATATGTTGGCCTAAAGGAAATAAAAACAGAAGTGCACTTAAAGATTAGTTTTACAAAGATTAACCCTAACTGCCCTGAATCCTTCAAAATCCTCTTTGCCAAAGTGGAGGAATTTGAAGGATTGAGGTTACATGGCAAAGTGCGTTACTGATTTCATAGGATGCACTTTGTCAAGGTCTTGGGCCGGACCTTGTGTTGTTTTTGCTCAGCCATGCATAAATATAGGCCTGGATAATGCTTGAAATCCTCCGTGCGGCTCCAGGATGTCGCTGGCCAAGCCTCAACATATTGACAGTCACTGCCGCAGGATTTTGCAGGATTCAGGCAGTGGTCACCCCTCCACGGACCATTTTCAAGAAATAATGAGGAATTTGCAGGATTGAGGCTATAAGCTATTTTTCCATGAGGCCAATTGGAGGATTGAGGCTATATCCTAGCAAAAAAGGCCTAGGGAGTTAGGGTTAAGCCTGTGTCACATGCATTTGAGCAAAGTCATTATGACAATACAAATCTCAGGCATTCTACATGTACATCTATCAATAAGCATATTGTGAATAAAGGAGTATTCTTTATCTAAAAATTACATCACATACCTTTTTGGCATATCGAGGACTTACACTCAGGGCAATTGTTTGTTTAGATTCCGGCACTAATTTAAGCAATGTTACCATCACCTATTTGTTATTTAATGATCCGTTTATCATAAGCTATTGATCTACTCCCAGAGGCACACCTTTAGTGATATTATCTGGGCTCTCTATCAAGAATACCAAGAATTCATTAAAGGATAATTCTAATGATCAGCTTTGGACTAGGAAACGACTGTAACCCTATCTATATATGTTGGCTTTGGTAGGACTACAACACAAGCTTGTGGAGAAAAAAAGTACTTCAGAGAAGTTCCACAAACTTGGATGATCTTACCTCGCCAGATGACTGCTGGCTGCTGCGCGTGAATCGCTGTGGGAGCGTCTCACCCTGTGATGGTCTGAAGGAGATGCCTTGCTGTTTGACATCCTGACTGCTGCTGCTGCTGTTGCTGCTGCTGGTGGCAGGCAGGCTGCTGCTCTTGCTTTGATGCGATGCTGTCTCTTGGGACCTGCTGCTGCGCATGACTCGCTGCGGGAGCGTCTCGCCTTGAGATGATGGCCTAAAGGTGAATCCATGCTGCTTGCTGTCTTGGCTGGTTGTGCTGCTGCTACCGGCAGGCAAGATGCTGTCCTTGGTTTGCTGCTGCGTTGTCAAACCCTGGACCTTGCTGGGGTTGGTAGTTGCGGCACGTAAGGCAGTCGGCGGTTTTAGACGACTCCTCATCAGTCTCCCAGCTGAAAGAGAGCAATCGAAATCAATCAAAATCAAACTTTCCAAATTTATTTGCATCCAACGCCTGGAGCCAATTTTATGGAGCAGATCAGTACAGAGCTTTGCTAAGCATCAAAGACTATATTTGCTCAGCAGAAACAACATCCTGGTCAAAACTGTGATAGCTTGTGACTGGCTCTCAAAGCTTACATGTACTTTTGCAAAGCACCGAACTCTACAGGGTGAGTCAAAAAAAGCGGAACCCAAACCCCCAAAAAATATATTGCATATTAAAACAAAATATTTAGCAACAGAAAAAGTAATGACTGGAAAGCCAATTTCATAAGCTACTTTTAGATGAAAATAGTTAATTTGCTCAATTCGTTCAAAGAACATCACCATTTAAACGCAATGACCATGAAACCTGTCTCGTCCAAAAAAAGGCAATTTATTGTGTGTTTTGACTGTTTTGGACAACAAAGGAAATGACACAGAATACATGTTTCAAAACTGTCACCAACTGTAGTACACAATATCTTTTTTTAACAACCCTGGTTAGGCAAACAATATGATTTATAGAATCTATCGTTTTTAAAAGACGGGCCTTCAAAAGGACTTTGTTGAATATTTTTAACGTTTAAATTGAGATTTTATCACTGGTGGTGTTTGAAGACAATTGTCACGACGTTTCTTGAAACCACATTTTTTGGACGAGACAGCTTTTAGGGTCATTGTGTTTAAATGGTAATTTTTTTTAACAGATAGACCAATTCAGTAATTTTTTCATCTCAATGTTGCTTTTGAATTTTATTTATTATTTTTGGTGCTACATATTTTTTTTAAATATGAAATATAATTTTTGGGTTTTGGGTTCCGCTTTTTTTGACTCACGCTGTACTATGAACTATTTCCTTCTTATAATTAACAGCTCTATAAAACTGGGTGCCATCTTTAAAAGCCAGTGGAGCGATAGATTCAGTACATGTACAATCCACCCTCTACCATTCTACTTGAGGATTGCCATGCCCATTTTGATGCGGAAAGCTGAATGTGACGTTGATTTTCAGACACGCAGCAGCGTTGCATTTTGGACGATGCAGGAGTTACAGTAAAACCATTAGACTGAAGTAACGATGACTACTCATTCGAACTGAGATTTATTTCAGCTACTGCAACAGGGATTTTCTGACTTTGTATAACATGTCATCGCATATGAACATATAATTCCTCAACCTAAAATGAGATCAAGGTTGCCGATTCAAAATGTGTTAAACTGCAAAGTGTTATTCCATGTACATGAAAAATGAAACGACTCTTTAAGTTTGAACAAACCAAGGAAAAACGATTGGGACCCCATTTGGGAATTAAGTACTCATTATCAAATTTGTGTCCATCATCTTGGTCATTTTTAGGAAACATTTTTTTGATATCTTCCATAGGTGATTTTTTTTCTTCCCACCAATAATATGTACATCCTGTACTGGTTGAAGGGCATCCTCAATGCTTTCTTTAAAAATGCCACCATTGAAATAAAGCACTGCCAAGAGAACAGATTACTCGAGACTAACCTCTATTCTTGGGCTCAGCAAGTTGTCCATTGGGTTGATCTAGCTGGCTCCCTTCATTGCCACTCTGGTGCCGAGTGCGCTTGGTTTCTGCAGGCTTCACAGGAGTGCTCAGGGGACGTTTGCCAGTCCGTACGGGCAAGTGACTGACATGGTTGCTTGTCATCTTGTCATTTGGGCCAGACAACTTGGATTTGTCAGACTCGTCAGCCTTCTTTGGTCCGTCAGTCACAAGCTCAGTGGTTGGTTCATTCATTGTGAGGCTTGGTTGCGGCACAGAATCTTTATTGTTCGAATGTCTCCTTGTCGACAATCTGGTTCTCCTTCTACCAGGGCTTGGTGTCTTGGTAGGTGCAAGAGAAGCAGCTGGGTCCACTGTAGGTGCTGCTGATGTTGGTTGAATCTCAGCTGATGCTTGAACTTCACCCTTAAAGTTCTGACGATGGTTTGACAGAGAGTTCGGCTGGACTGCATCATTATCTGGTACACTCTGAGACACTTCAGTTGGTTTGACATCATTTGAATTGGGTTTCTTGGCAGCTTTCACCATTTTCTTCAGGGCATTCACTTGGCTACTCAGTGTCTCGTTGATCCCTTCCTGTTTCTGATAGCGCTTGATCAGCTGGACGTATTTCTTCAGCTGTTGGTTGGCTTCTTTTTCATTAGCCTCGGCCAGCTCCCTGAGACTCGCGGCTTCCTCTGTCTTGTCAGCTAGCTCCTTCCTCAGCTCTTCCACGTCCTGACTGATCCCACCTCTGCCACCATCACAGACATTGGCATCGTTTGCTGGTTGCCCAGACCCCAATTTCAGATCTCTCATCTCAGCTTCCATCTGAGCGACGTGATTTTGAAGGTTGGACAAGTCTTTCTCCAAGCGGCGGGAGTTGTTGATGGAGAACTGAAGCTTCCCTTGTAGAGATTCTTTGTCCTTTCGCAGCTCCTCAGCATCCCTCATCAATTCTTTCACTTTGGCATCGCTAGTTTTCAAAGACTGCTCACCACGGCCTTTCGCCTTTTCTAGATTTTCCTCAGCTCTGGCGCGAGCAGATTTTTCATCAGCCAGCTGGCCTCGTAGTTTAGTACACTGTGCCTCCATCTTCTTGAGGTCTTGCAGCTGCTTCTTTCCAGGCGATAGTTCCTGTTCAGCTCGCTTCAGCTTAATACTCATCGTCTTCATGGCTTGGTTGGCTTTCTCGGCAGACAATTTCAGCTGTTCGCATTCTGATTTCTTCTCCTGCAATTTCTCCTCCTGCAAGCAACACACATTAAATAACAAAAGGTTTTCTTTTAAAGGTACTGATTTAAAGCAAACTTAAACAAGGGAGTTTTGCGCCAGTTACACTACAGGCAAAGGTGACCGTGAGCCTTCTCAAGCACCTTCTGGCTATAAAGCAAATTAAACAATCCCATTTCTGATAAAGCCACATATACAGGTGCCTCTCAAAAGTACACAGCCTTAGTGATGTCATTTTGACAGTATTTAGGAAGGGTTGATCAATGAGCATCAGTGCTATCACTTTTGAAGGTGGAGGGAAGGAATTGGTGACAAAATATCTTACCCAGGGAGACCTGATTTTATTACCTGGGTTCTACACACACCAAACTCCCCTACCATCTGACAAAATGGACTCCATGAACAAGTATCCCCTCAACAGTTATTAACAGTTAGGCAAGACTCTTGAATGCATTTACCATCGTACATCTTGCACTCGTGTGAAATTGACATGTGTCTGTGCGCACTTGAATGAAAGTTTAATCATGCGAACTTTGCAGTGTATTTGTGCAAATGTGTGCGGCTACACAATGTGTCCCGTACACTGAACTCTCACAAGTGGTCACAAGGCATGACCTACTGCTCACGTTAGAGTCCGTACCACAACACCCACCCCACTCTACACTGACCTGTTGCAAAGCTTGGCTTCGTAGTTTCTCCAGCTGTTCCTGGGTACTTGCGTGAGATTCCTCCGACTTGCATTTCTCAACGCGCAATGTCTCCAGCAGCTTTTCGAGATCGGATGCCTTTGTCTTCTCCGTCTCGAGCTTCTCGTCCAACTTGGCAATTTGATTACCGTGCTGCGAATGCATTTTTATTAGTAAAAGGAGAAAAGCCACACTTTATTAAACACTCGCGCATAAAAAATAATCTACACTCTATGTGTGCTAGGCATTGTTTCTTTTAATCAGTTCGAGGCCGGGTTCATTTTGACAGGTGACCAGACCCAGGTGCGGGATTATTTTTCACAAACCTCGATGCCAGACGGGTTCAGGCCATGATCTGCGGGAAGCAAACCCTGATTTTTCCAGCCTCGCTCGTTGCAAGCGGGTCACTGACAGATGTTTTCGGACTCACTCGTTGCAGGTTTATCAGTCATCCCATCTAAATTTCGGAAAACTTTTGCATGTATAAACGTCCTCCGGCGCGAACTGGTTAACTCTAAAATATACTCTAAAATATACAATCAACTAATACTGCTGGTATTGGTTGATTGTAGGTCTTGTAATTTTTGCAAGATTCAATATTTTTTTCTTCTAAAGTATTCAATGACATATTCAACAAACTGACTCCATGTTTGGATATTCACTTTTATATAACCGACATACAGATCCTTGTCATTTGATTGGTGGAACTCACATCACGAGTCATTCGTTATTACTGCCATTCACGCCGCGGCTCAAAAAGTCCCATTCGCCCATGGGGAATGGGAAATACTATTGAACAGTTAGGATCAGTCTTGTTCCATGACGCGGTGTTTGTGTGCAAACGCAGGCTGGTGTGCGCATTCAGCGTTGCGCGTATTGTTCCAAAGAGCCAGCGCTACTGTGAGCATTGGGTTCAAATATTTTCGTGAAGGGGTGGTTTGGAAGAGAGAAATACATTTTTCATCAATTTTGTATTGAAATAAAAGTTTGAATATATCAAATGACAAGGATCTATGTCAGTTATATAAAACAAATATTGAGTGGTTTTAAATTGTGAAATGGGAGGAATATTATTGCTCGGTAAAATCTGGACTTTTCCAGTTCACTCGGCTTATATATTCCTCCCATTCCACGCTGATCCACTCAATATTTGTATACCATTAATGAAAGCAAGCTATGAATGTTGAATTCCACATCGACCTTTTTCACAGAAAATAGCCCATAAGTGTTTCTGAAGCCACAGTAGGGGGTGAGTGCACAGCCTATGCCTGTGTTAAAAAAAAAAACAAGTGGTACACCGACCTCTTCCTGCACAGTGGTGACCTCAATCTTAGACTCCTCCTCCAGTGTCATGAGCCTCCTCTCAAATCCCTCCACCTCTGTCCTCAGATTGGCTTGGATTCTCAGCAGGTCTTCGTGTTTTATCTGTAGACTCTTCTCAAGCTCTTTCTTTTCACTTTGAACAGCTTCAAGCTCCAGCTGCAAAAAAAGTCAGTCAGGTTATAAAATTTGAGCAAAATTTTACGCGCTGAATTAATTTCTGTACAACCGAATTAATTTCGGTACAACCATTAACGTCATGATTTAAAAACAAAACGTTTTCAATGTTTTCTTTCTCACTATAATGCCTTATGTCCCGCAAATGTCATTTTTTTTACCAAGAATTTGAAGATAGCTATTGCAAAAAGGGTAGAGTAGAAAGTTTAATATCTTAAAGCTATAGTCCATCATTTGTAGCAATCTGAAAAGTAACTGGCATAATAATTGTTGAAAAACATACTTGGTTGAAAGATAGTAAGTGGACTAAACTCCCTGTAAAATTATTCTTTCTGGCAAGCTGTCATTTTGAAGTAATCAACAAAAGAAGGCCTTTCCAACAGTACGTCTTAAGACGCACCGTAGGAAAATTTTAAATAGTAGTTCGTTTTGGTATTCGGCAAGCATTGGCATGACGCACACGCGCGCGCGGTTGCTATAATTCGTCGGATCAGTGCACGACATCGCGTATAGCTGCACGACATCGCGTATAGCTGCAATCAGCTCAGTGAGAACGTGTCTCGGACGCTGAATTTAGGCCCAATTCAAAACATGATTCAGCAACTTTTGGTTTGAAATTAAGATCTTAGAATGCTGTTTTTCTCAGAATATACAGCTGAAGCCGAGCTGAAACTTCATCAGGTTAGTTGTTCAGCATCCTTCATTAGATTTTGAACACTTTTGTTGCTTCAAACGAACAAAATGCACAAATTACATATGATGGACTATATCTTTAAATATCATTACATGTTAGTGCAGCCCTTGAGGTCCTTCAACATCAAAAGAATATCTTTTTAGTCCAAATAAAATTCAACGCAATAAAAAAATATCCCTTGATCTGAATTCATGGGATGCTGTCATCATTCTAAGATTTGCAAATTTGGAACCAACCGGTGGAGCACCAACCTGTTTGCTCTTAATTTCTGCATCCTTTGCCTCAAGGTTCATCCTTGCCTCCTCAAGCTCAACTGTCAACACCTCCATCCTTTGCCTGGTTCCACTCTCCGTCTCACTGAGAGCTTCTTCCAGGCTCGTGCGTTGTTTATCGCCCTCCTCAAGCTGTGTCCTGAGACGAGACAGCTCGGCCTCATGTGCAGCACTTGACTCCTGCACTTGCACCTCAATCGACTGCAATTCTGCTTTCTCTGACATCAGCAATGTCACCTGTTCCTCCATTGCTTGATTCTCTGATTGCAGGGTCTTCAACCGAGATTCCAAATCGACCTGTTCTGCCTCAAACTGGAGTGCCTTGGTCTGAGAGGCATTAAGCTGCTTTTCCATTTCATATTTCTTAGACTCGCTCATCTGCAATTGACTTTTCAGGTCCTCAAGTGTTCGACCCATTTCACTACGTTCATATTCCAACGTCTTGATCTGATCGGCCAATTCTGTCCTGGACGACTTCAAGGTGTTTTCTTCAGCTTCCAGGAGGCTAAGTCTATTCTCTAACGTTTCCTCCTGGGCTTGGAACTCCTCGTTCTGCTGCTTCAAATTCTGGTTGTCTTCTTGCACATTCTTGAAGCTATGAGACAAATCTTTCAGTTGATCTTGCAGGTTGGCGATTTCTGTGCTCAGAGCTGAAATTTCTTCCTCTGTACCTTGTTCCATCTTATACTGCAGCGTCTTTAAGGATTCTAACTGGTGTTCCAACTGCTTGACCTGTTCCTTACTGTCAGCCAGCTCAGTCTGCAGTGTTCTAAGGCCATCATTCTCTTCAGCTCTTTCAATCTTCACACTTTCATTCTCCGACATGACTTGGCCAAATCTGGATTCAAGGCTCTGGAGTTCCAACTTCAAGGCTGCATTGTTATCTTCAAGAAGACCCTTTTCACATGAAACTTTCTCAAGTTGCTCGGCATTGTACTGCAGTTCTTCTTTCAGCTTGTCGTTTTCGGCCTGGTGAGTAGTCGCCATTTCTTTAATGCTTTTGGACATTTCTGCTTTTTCTGATTCCAGAGTTTGGATATTTTGACCGAGATCAGTGATTTTTTCTTCTGCAGCAGACAACTCAGAGAGTTTATCTTGAAGGCTCTCTGTTACATCCCAGTTGTCATTATTTGCTTCCTCTAGATTTTTCTGTGCAGTTCTCAAAGCTTCGGACAAACCTGCTTCCTCTTTTCCTGCTTCTTCCAAAGACGCTTCGAGACTTGAAATTCTCAAACTCTTTTCGTCAATGTCTCTTTCTTTTGCCTTTATTTCATCTTCAAGTTCACTCCTTTCATATGACTCCAGGTTGTGATTGGAATGTAGAGAGTCCAGTGTCTCCACAGCATGATTCTTCTCTTTCTCCAGCTGGCTGATTTCCAAAGCCAACTGCTCCATTCTTTGTCTAGAATCGGCTTGTTGGAGGTTGAGTTGCATCTTGAGGTCTGCAGTTTCTGTCTCGAGAGTATGAAGCTTAACACTCATCTCCTGGTTCTCTTCAGTGAGTTCATTTCGCTCCTTGGTAACAACATCAAGTTGGTGTTGCATCTCCGAGGTGGAGGTGAGCCCATTCCTCTCAGCTTCTTGCTCAGCTGCTCTTGCTTCCACTAACATTTCAGACAGTTCGGTTAGTTTCCTAGTTTGTTCGGCATGAACTGATTCAGACTTTTCAAGTTGGCATTCCATCGTTGTATGCTCTGCTTCCATGCTGCTGATGTGGTGTTTCAGCTCCTGACATCCCTCTTCAATCTCTTTAACTTCTGCTTGCCTCAACATCAGTTCCTCTTCAATCATGTTCTTCTCTTCAATCTTCAGTGTAACTGCCTGGGTCAAATGCTCTATTTCTTCTCCGCGATCAGTTAATTCGGTCTGCAATGTGTCCAGCTGCTTTTCCAAGTCACATTTTTCATGGAGCAGGGTAGACAGAGCACTTTGGACCTCCTGGGTTTCTTGCTGTGCGGAACAAACCTTTGCTACAGTTGACTGCAGAGAAGAAATGACTTCCTGCTTTTCGGTTTGCAGTGTGCTGATTTGGGTCACAAGTTCATTCACTTTCGTGGTCAGAGACGTTACATCACCGTTTGATATCTTTGCCTGCTCTAAATGATCAAATTTGGCAGCACTCTCTTGAGATATCTCTTCCTTGAGATTTGCTGCAGTTTGTTCAAGATTTTCTATCTTTCTTACAAGGCAGGTATTTTCCTCCTCAACCTGTCTCTTCTCCTCTCGAGTTGATTTCAAAGATTCTTGGACTGCAAGCATCTCTTGATTCACGTTGTCCAATTTACGAATCATGTCGGTATTCTCATCCTGCAAAGATTGAAAAGCACTCGTTCTTTCTTCTGCTCCACCTTGAAGATTGCTACAAATGTCCTGGAGTTTACTTATCTCAATCCTTTGAGATTCCATGTCCATTTCCAAGGATCTTCTCTGTTCTTCCAACTGATCAATTTGTACCAGCAGCTCATTTTCTTTGGATTGATATTGCTCAGATTCAGCCGACAGTGCTTTCAGTTGGCTCAGGGCATCATCCAAATCCGTTTGAAGCCTGGTCCTGTCTCTTCTAATTTTGTCCAGTTCCTCCTTCATGTTTCTATTCTCGGTAACGATACCATCCATTCTTGCCGTTTGGTCCTCACTTGTGAAACCTTGCGACTCAACCTCATTCTTCAGGACACTCAGTTGATACTCGTTTTCTTCACAAACTTTTCTTGACGAATCCAGTTGTTGAAGCAGAGAGGTAATCCGCGATTCTGCATGTTCTTTTTCTTCCTGGGAATGTTGGAGCTTTGTCACAAGATCTTCTTTGATGGCATCTGCAACATCACTGCCTTCTGACATATTCTGTTTCAGCGATACAAGCTCTAGGTGTAGAATCTTTTCACTTTCATGAAGATCCTCTACCTCTCGTTGTTTCATTTCCAGCTTGTGCGACAAAATCTCGTTCTGCTTTTCTTGAAGACTGATTCGGTGTTCGAGTTCTTCTCTCACATCAGTGTGCTCCTTATTGGCAATCGCCAGGGCATCCCGCTGATCACGAATTTCTGTCTGCAGGGCTTCGATTCGTTCAAACCCAGACTGCAACTTCTGACAACTTTCTGTTTGAGCATTTTTCAACTGTTGGACCTCAATGACTTTTTCATTAGTGCAGTGCTTGAGTTCCACAAGTGTCGTTTCGAGCTGAAGCTTCTCGTTCTTCAGTGAGGCAAGATCATTTTCTGCAGATTCCCTCTGTAGCACGGACAGTTCTCTAGTCTTGTCCAGGTCCTCTTGAAGCTTTAAGGTGCGTTGTTTCTCTGCATCCAAAGCCTCTTCATTTTCTTGAGCAAGGGAATCCAACCTCCTTTTCAGAAGCTTAATCTCATCGGTGTGACTTTTATTCATCAGATCCAGTTTCTCTTCACTCTCCGCAAGGGACTCGAGCAGACAGGATTTCTCTTCAATAAGTGAAGTTTTCAAGGATTCCACCTGTTGCTCCAAATGTTCAGACAACTCCATCTTATTTCTGAGCTGTTCCTCAAGATGATTCACTTCAGATTCAGCAGACTGAATCTTGGCATTGAGTTCCTCCACTACACATGTAGAAGTTCTGTCCTGCAAGGAAATGCAATCGCGGAATTCATCCAAAGCTCCTTTTTGTTCTGTGATCACGTCATCTTGTCGTGAAATGCTCTGCTTCAGTTGTGAGATCTCTTCTCTGAGACTATCAATATTCTCTTGTGCATGTGCTTCACGCTCAATAATTTCAAATTCTTTCCTTTCATGCGTTTCTCTGTCAGCTTCCATCTGGGATTTCAGTTGTGCAATTTGGCTGATCAGTCCATCAATTCTATGGTCATCTTCCACATGCTTTTGCTGAGCCGCTTTCATGTTATTCTGTACCTGCTCCAGTTGTTCCATGATGGCCCCAACCTCACTCTTACTTTTTGCCGTCAGAGCTTCAACATCCGCCTCCTTCTCCTTAACTTTATCCTGTTCAGCCTTGAGAGCATTTTGATTCAATTCAAGCACTTCTTGGAGTTGTGTCAACTCTGCTTGAAGGTTACCAACCTCTTTCTTTTTCTCGGCCAACTCTTTTTTGTAATCCCTCTGGCTGTTTGAAAGTTGGTCTTCTGTGTCTTCCAAGTTAGACTTCATCTCTTCAATTTCAGCCTCCTTCTCGCCTACAATTTGCTCCAAGTCACAAATCTGATTTCCCTGCTTGATGATGGTCTTCTCCTGCTGCGTGGATTTCTGGGTGAGTGCTTTGAGATCCGCATCTAAAGATTCTGTTGAGGCCTCCAAGGTGTGGATATGTTCACCGGACGATTCCAGTGACTTTTCAGCCTCTGCTAGCTTGTTCTGTGTTTCAGTCACAAGAGCGTTCGTTAAGGCCAGCTTCTGTGTTAGCTCCGTCATCAAGAGATTTTGATTTTCCTTCTCCAATTCAACTCTTTCCTGAAGGTGATGACGATCATTCTCCTCTTCCGAGAGCTTTTTACTAGTCTGATTGAGAGCTTCCTGGGTTGATTCCAGTTCATCTTGAAGATTTTGAACCTTTTCTTTCAAAGCAGCTGTGGTTGTAATAGAGTTAGTCAGCTGTTGAGTCGTATCAAGTTGAAGCTGTTCTAGATTTTCCTTTGCCAGTTGCTCTTCTTTGGAAACATCTGCAATTAAGAGAAATGGGGAAGATTAAAGCTGCTTCTGAATAAGACTACTATATTACACTCGTAGCCTCTGAAATGACAAGTCCCTTTTCAAGTCTCTTTTTTTCTCATACCTGTAGGGCCTATGGGTAGTTAATGTTACTTTTGGAACTAAAATTGGATTGTGACACGCACTGCCAAGAAATGAGACAACTTAAGATTAGGAGGAATTCGAAACATTCACTGTAAGCTTTGCTGAAAACTGTAGCATGTGAAAAATAAATCAAGAATCAAACGCATTTTCTAGATAATACTACCAGATAAAGCAATGTCTCACATCTTAGGAATAACAGGTGGGTAGTTGAAGGGTGGGTGATTAACCCTAACTCCCTAGGGGGTGTGCAAAATCGTATTGAAATAGGAGGATTCAGGACTGTTAGGGCTATGCGGTGAAATTTTTGAACATGACCAACAGAAGTGTACACGGCATTTCTATATTTCAAAGATAAATGAGTGTTTTTTCTTCTGTGCCTAATTTCTGTTAATTATACAGACTATTTACCTGCGAGTCTTGTAACAGTCTCTTCATAAGTTGTTTTCAGTGACCCGTGTTCACTGCCGAGAGACTGCAATTTTTCTTGTAGCGCTTTCATCTCCATCTGCGAATCAGCATTTTCTTGTTGCTGAGCTGATCTGGTTTCCTCCATTTCCTCTCTTAAGCTGTGGCTGGCTTGGACGAGGGCATCCTTCTGATTAACGACCGCATCAAACTCTTTCTTCAACTCTGTGTGACTGGCTGTGAGATCCTGGTGATGCTGCTGTAGCTGTTCATGTTTCTCATTTGTAACATGAAACTGCTCTGTGAGGCTGTTCAGATCCTCGATGGTGTTCTCTAGGGTAAAGCGTAACCTTTGGAGTTCATCTTCCAAGCTGCGTTTTTGCTCCCCCAGAGTTTCGGTTGTCTGTCTCAAATCACTGACTACACTTTCCTCTCTCTCCAGGGCTGCCTTTGTTTCTGTTTCCATATCAGTCAAAGCTTTCTGAAGGGACGTCTTAGCTGATTCAAGCTCCTCTGCCTTCTTTTGAAGCTCCTCAGACTCCAGTGTGAGGCTGGCGATCCTAGTCTCCTGCTGCTTGCACATCTGCTGTCTCTGTTCAAGCTTTTGAAGTAGCTCTTGATGAGCGCTTTCCCCGTCCTCAACGTCCATTTGACTGACCTCAAGTTTGGAGAGCAAGGCATTCATATCCTGGGTCATCTTACTTGCTGATGCCTCATGTTCTTCGGTTTTATGGGTCAGTTTGCTCTGCAAATCTTTGAACTGGTCCGTTAGCGTTTGCAGAGTGTGCTGCCTGTCCTCAAGCAAGCAGTCCTTTTCTTCCAGATCCTTGGCCATTTTGATTGACTTCTCCTCTAAGATACTGACTGCAGATGCCTTCTCTTGAAAATCAGATTCTAAACAGTTCAGGGTCTGTCTCTGATTTTCCATCTGTATGTTCAATAACTCTACTTCCTGTGTTTTACTGACCACTTCTGAAAGGTTGGCCTCAGACATAGCTCGCAGGCTTTCAATTTCTTCATTGAGAGAAGTGATGTTGCTTTCGTTCTCACTCAGCTCAGACCTCAAGTTCTTGAGAACCTCCAGTTGGTTTGATTCCTTCTTATCACTCTCTGCAATTACTTGTTGTAGACTTTCCTTTTCTCTTCTGAGAACTTCCATTTCTTCCTGCGCCTTTGAGAGTTCCATCTTGCAGTCACTGATGGTGGAGTTGCTTTGCTGCTTTGCTTCTTCCAAAGCTTTTATGCTACTCTCCATTTTCCCCAACTGTTCTGTGTATGCCTCCATGCACTCATCCTTGTCTTCAATGTCCATCTGGATCAGGTCCAGACGACCTTGCATTCTCTGGTTCTCATCCCTGGTTGAGTTCAGGGCATCTGTAGTTTGCTGGAGCTTCTTCTGTGTGGCATGTTGGAGATCCTTGGTCTTCTCCAGTTTGGTTTCAACATCTGAGACCTGATCTCGAAGTGTTGCAACTTCTGAAAGTAAAGCAGCAGTAGCAGATTCATGTTCCTGTTTAAGTTTTTCATAATCTTGCTCAAGACTTGTTAATTGGGCTTCCTTTTGGAGAACAAGAGCTGAACTCTGGTCTAATTTCTCTGTCAGACTAAGGTTGGACGCTTCAAGGTCTTTTAAAGACAACGCATTCTCCGATAAGGTCTGATCAAAAGTCTGTTGCAGCTGTTCAATCTCCTTCAACTTTTCTTGAAGGAGTATCTCTCTACACTGCAGTTGTTCTCGGCTCGTGTCCAATTTGTCTTGAAGCTCGGAGTCGGATGTTTTCAGAAGATCGAGTTCCTTCTCGGTGTCACAGTACCTTATCTGTAACTGAACGTATTCTGCCTCAGTGGACTTTATCTGTAATGACAGTTCATCTACCTGGGCTTGTCTCTGTCTCAGAGCCATCTCCCTCTGCTCAGACTGGTTTGAAGTTTCCGTTTTTAAGTTTTCGATCTGCTCATTCCTGTTTCTCAGATCTTCAAAGGCTTTATCCAAACTGGTTTGCACATGCTGCAGTTCAGCTTGCAGAAAGCACAGCTTGTTATCTTTTTCCAGTAAGAGTTCCTGATGGTCAGCGGCCTGTTGCTGGAGTGTTTCTACTGTCTCCTCTGCAAAAGTCTCACTTTGTTCAAGCTTTTGAACTTTCTTCTGGAGAGCAACAACCTCCGCCTCTGCCTTATCAACCTGACTCATCATCTCCCCAAGACTAGACTCCTTGTTTGCAATGGCCGTCTCGGCATGACTGCACTTCTCAGTCAAGGCTGCTTTCTCCTCCTTCAAACCTGTGATGGATGCCTCAAATTGTTTGGTTGATTCATCAAGTTTAGCCTCCAGATCCTTCCTCTCCTCCATCAGTTGCTTAACATCTTCTTCCTTTCTGGTCGACATGTCTCCAGTAATTTCCAGGTCCTCTTGTGCGGCATGCAGGTCACGTTGCACAGATGACAAGGTCTTTGTTGTATTTTCCAAATCAAGTTTGGCAATACTCAGCTCCTTTTGGGCAAGACTGAGCTCGGACGCCATCTCTGATGATTCTTTAGAGCGTGCCTCTGCAACTGCTGCTGCATTCTCAACGTCAGACTCGGCCTGTTCAAGTTGCTGCTCCATCTGCTGTCCCTTGCTCTCCAGATAAGTCACCTTCTCTACAAGATCAGATATTTCTTTGGACTTCTCCTCTATCCTTGTTTCAGTTCCTGCAAGTCTTTCTTTCAGTGCTGCCATTGCATCTTGGTGTTTCTCTTCAGACTGTTGGAGTTCACTTTTAGCGTTGTCAAGTTCATTTCTGAGTGACTGCAGCAATTCTTCTTTCTCTACAGCAGATTTGGCAAGTTCCAATTCATTTTTCTTGGCATCTCTGAAAGAGATATGAAAAATAAGCGTGCATTGTTGTATTAGCTATTATTAGACAAGTACAGCTGTTTTAAGCAGGTGGATGTTTTGCCCATATCTGGTACATACTGGTGCATGTACATGCAGCAATGTTTTGACACCAATTTCTCCTGCTGCCTCTGTACTTTTTATCGTTACTTCAAACATAATTTGTATGAAATCCGTAGGTGTGACTTGGTCCAAGTGAGAATAAGCCATACGCTTGCTTTGAAGTCCAACACCAACTGTGCATTACATAACTGATCAAATTTGTATTCACATTCGGATTGTTTACAAACCTTCAATACTACTTATGATGCAAAATAAATACTTACTGCTCAGCTGTTCTGGCCAACTCCAAATCTGCTTCTGTCCTGTGCAATCGCTCTCTCAGCTTTTCAACCTCAGACTCAGATTTTTCAAGACTGTTCAGTAGATTTGTCAATTCCATTCCTTTGGTGTTTGCTAGTTCACAGGCTTTCTTGTAGTCTGAATGAAGAGAGCTGTTCTCCTGCCGGATATTGTTGATCACTGATTCAAGATCGGTAGTTTGCTGAGCAAGCAACGTCTTCTGTTTTTTTAGTTCGTCATCCTGGTCTTGCAAGATGCTGTCATGCTTTGACTTCTCAGATTCAAGCTGGTCGTTCTTCAGCTTCAAATCATTATAAGATTCTTGAAGCTGGCTGGAACGAGATTCAAAGAACCTCAGATGTTCATTTGCTTTTTCAAGGTTATTCTGGATGTCTGAAACTTGGGCACATTTAGCAATGAGCTCATCGGCTTTTGCGGCAAGTGCTTGCTCGTGCTGTTGAATCAGGTTTGTTTGTTGGTTGTCCATGTCCCTAAGCCGAGCCTCAGCATCACAGAGGGCCTTCTTCCGTTCATTCTTTTGGGCTGCGAGCTCTTTTTCCAAGGTCTGATATTCATCTCCTTTCAGCTTGAGATTTTTCTCTGCATTGACAAGTTGATCCTGAAGTTCAGCCCTTGTGATTTCCAGTTTGCCAGTTAATGCTTTCTCTTCCTGCAACTGTCTCTCAAGGTTGCCTATTGCTGCCTTGAGATGGTTGGATTCGTTGTTGACTTCTTTGATGGTATTTGTATGTCTGACTTCTGTTTCTTGTAGAGAATTCTCTGCATCTTGCAGCTTCTGTCTCATAGATGCAGTTTCAGCGTCCTTCTTGTCTACGATTTGCTGGTTGTTCTCTTGTTTTGCACTAAGCTCTGCCAGCTTAGACCGGAGGGATTCCACTTCACTCTTTGATTCCGTCAGCTGATTTTGAAGCTCTGCTATCCTGTTATCTTTCTCTTCAAGTTTTCTTTCATGTTGGGTTTGTGCCTCTTTAGCTTTCTCCACCGTTGCCGTCATTTCTTTGCTCTGCTGCCTCAGCGAGGCAACCTCTGTCTTCATGCTGTCAATCTCTTTACATTTGCCATCCATCTGCTCTTGGAGTTTTTGCTTTGCTTCTTCGGATGCTGTAAGCTTCTGATTCAACTGCTCGATCTCGTGTTCTCGTTTCTGGGCTAAATCTTGAGCAGATGAATGCTTGGTTTCCATTGTGGACAACTGGAGCTTTAGATTGTCTGTGATGTTGTTCAGCTCCTTCATGCGGCTGTCTGACTTGGCACTCAGGTTGTCCAAGTCGTTCTCCTTTTGCTGCATTTTCCCTTGCAGGTCGTTCACCAAGCCCTCGTTGTGCTGGCTCTCTCGTTTCAACTGCTTCACCTGGCTCTCAAGGTTGGTGATCTTGCAGTTGCCCTGGTCAAGCTTACACACCAAGTTTTCCTTCTCTCTCTTGAGATCCGCGAGTGCCTTTTCCAGCTGCGCAACTGTTTTATCATGTGAATTGATACTGTGACCGGCTTTATCAAGTTTCTGCTTCAGCTCACCGATTTCCTTGTCTGTTTTCTGAGTAGTAAACTGAGCTTTCTCAAGCTGTGACTGCAGCATGCTGCGCTCCGTCGTTAGTTTGTTCATCTCCTGTTGGTGCTTGTTAGTGGCATCTTTGAATTCTTTATCCAGGGAGGTGAAGGCTTGTGCCTGCTCTGAGAGTTCCTGCTTGTGATGTTTTTCTCGTTCCTTGAAGCGCTGCTCTTGAGATGTACGGGCTGCCTCAGCGTTGTGGCGTTGGCATTCCAGCTCCTGAACTGTTTGCTTGGATTTTCTTTCGTTGTCTTCGAGCTGTAGTGAAAAGAAATGCAATGTGCAAGTAATATAATAATTCATATTGTTTACATCTTGTACATCAGCTCTTGAAAGGTCTTCCTCGAAAATTTGAAGGTGCAGGGAAGTCATTCCAACACATTTCTGAAATCTTTACTTAGTCTGACTGTTCGGGCTTTTTATGCCGTAGTGAAAAACAGACATTTCAAGTCCTATGGTGGTGGCCATGCAGTTCAAAATATATACAATCCAACATCTAATGTGGTTTTTGTTTGATTCTCACAATACCTTTGCATTGGCTTTTTCTAACTGGTTCCGCAATGTATTTGTTTCATCCCTCTGTTTGTTGAATGCAGATTCCTGGTCAGCCAGGGCTTTCCTGACTTCTTTCAATTCTTTCTCGCTGTCTGCCATCTGGGACCGCAGGTTGCTCAGTTCTTTGTCTTTTGCCTGGACCTGCAACTCCAGCTTATGGTTTTCCTGGCCGAGGCCTGTATAACGTGGCAATCACAAGACAACAAAGGGTATAAGTCCTGAAAGAGATATCAAAGCGTGCATAGGGACTGTGCTACATTTCAGTGAAGTGTCAGGTTTTTTCTGTTCAGAATTCAAGTACAAATAAATTACAGGATAAATCATAATAAAAAGGCTTATAATAATTGCAGTGAAAGTATTCATACAATTCACATCTGCATAATTACATTTGCACCTATCTTGAACCTGCACCAAAAATATTCTCCAAATTGGAGCACTTCTTTCAGCATGTATTGGTGTTTTGTGCATCGAATTAAACACGCTATGTTTGGACACCATTGCTTAAAGCTCATTTGCAGCCATCCGAAAAGTAACTGGCGTAATTATTGTTGAAAAACATACTTGGTTGAAAGATAGTAAGGGGACTAAACTCCCTGTGAAATTATTCTTTCTGGGAAGCTGTCATTTTAAAGTAATCAACGAAAGAAGGCATTTCCAACGGTGATTCTTAAGAAGCACCGTAGGAAAATTTAAATTAGTAGTTCGTTTTGTTATTCAGCGCAGCGTGCACAAGTATTGGAACGACGCACACGCGCGCGCCGTTGTTATAATTCGTCGGATCAGTGCACAACGTCGCGTATAGCTGCAATTCAAAACAATTCAAAACATGATTCAGTAACTTTTGATTTGAAATTGAGATCCTAGAGTGCTGTTTTTCTCGGAATGTACAGCTGAAGCTTAGCTGAAACTTCATCAGGTTAGTTGCTCAGTATCCTTCATTAGATTTTGAACTCTTTTGTTGCTTCAAACGGACAAAATGCACAAATTACAAATGATGGACTGTAGCTTTAAATTTCTGCTGTGGTTACACCTACCTTCGTTTTGCTTCTTCAGGTCACAGATGGTCTGCTCCATTTCGCGTAGCGCGCGCTTGTCAGCAAGCTCGTTGTCCGTGGACGGCGTAGCTTGGTTCTGGGGGGGTCGGACGGGGCTGTCAAAGCTCATCAGGTCATTAGCAGGTTTCTCCTTGGGTGGGGCCGGGGAATTGGTCATCTGCGGTGTGCCACAAAAATAAGTAGTTTGTGAGCAGTTTCAAATGATAATCCGATTCTGTACGAGAGAAACAGCTACATGTACCTCACTATCAGGAGTAGCTTGGTTGTCATAATTTGATTACAGAGGGAGCAAAAGTAAACACTTCTTTATTTGTACATGCCACCAGCCGACATCGTGTGGTCCACCGAACTCATCTTTTGAGGGAGCTCTTTACAATGCACCATGATGACAACAACCATCAATCCAGCCCTTGCAGTTCACACATCTCAGCAGATACTGAGAAATGGGTAAATTTAGCTTATTATATTTGAAATATTGATTTGTAGTTCTTCTTGGACATCAACAAAGAACACTACAAATGTCTTCGTACTTAAAAAAAAAACATGCAAATTGCACGTTTATATCATTGGAATGTCTAAATGTGACCGGCTCCACAAAAAAGGGTATTAACAGGGGTGTGAGTGACCACTGATAAAAATAGCTGAAAACAGCTGAAAAAGGTTTAAAAAAGCTGAATTTTGGAAATCTCCTATACTTTTGTACACAGCAAGTGAGGGGAAAAAGCTGAAATCCAAAACAAAAAAAGCTGAGATTTCACATTCCTGATTAAGTCGCGCTGGGCATTATTGTGTAATGGCCCGCTCGGCATTGAGAGGGTGAACATTTTGTCAAAATGTGATTTTCATTCTTTGTCACGAATGACAATACCTACAGTTTCAAGTTTCATTCACAGAAATGATGATTTTGATGAACAAAATGGAAAAGAAAACCATTTTGTGCTCGTATTTCTTTTATTCTACAACAGAGCCAGCTCTTTCAAAGCCTGTTTTCTCAGTTGTGTAATTCGAACTCCGAGGAAGTAATTAATATGCAAATACATAGCTGCCAACTTTTCAAAATCCCAATTAGTAATCAACCCACGCGGTCATTTTCAACTGCTCATTTTATCAAACATCAAGTACAGGTACATGGTTTACATGTACACATACATGTGCATACCCTTCTTGTTGTGAATAATAATGTACTGTAGGCCAAAAGATAATTAAAAAAATAAAAAATAAAAAAAAAATAAAAATAAAATATTTTTTTTTTTTTTTTAATAATTTTGTTTTAATGTCTGTATTTGTTTGTTGAAGTCAAATAAATAATAACAATAATAACATGTGCGCATATCGATGTGGAGTTTTGAGTTCGTATCAATGTTTTTACACACAATGATTTAGGGCCACCGTATGCAATAGAAATATCCCGCCAACATACCTTGCAAACGCATGCTGATTTATCTTTTCTGGATGTTGTGACAAACTCAAACTCTATTACCAATTATTCCAACCATACTCTTATTAAATTCCATGATTAAAATCTCACACTGATGGGTCTCATCCCGGCAATAAGCGACCAAATGTGCTCACGATCGTCACTGAAAAGTACTGCATACAGTACACACAACCACACATCCACGAGATGCACACAAATGACACACCATTGAAAAATAGTTTTAGTCTGGTCCTCAAGTACTCCACTGCGCACACTGCATTGATGTCTATCTGGTGCTTGACTGCATTCTTATTAGACTTGTCACCAGTCCATCCATTATTGCGACATTTCGCCAAAAGTTTTCGGTCAAAAACGATACTTTACAAGTATTTTTTTTTTCGTTAGGTAGAAAATGGGAAATTCGTAATGTTTTAGTGGCAAATCGTATTTTCGTAATTTAACAAACAATTCGTAATAATTACGAAAAATTCGTAACAGTTGGCAGCTATGCAAATACTTCATATCTTCACAACGGGAAAGGCAATGGAGCTCTATTATATACCAAATGAAAGCTTACATTGTGGGCTTTCCAACGATGTGTATACCCCAATTTCACTTTTTTGCAACATAATACCCCTATTTTTTGGAGCCGGTCACAAATATTCAATTCACTTGTAAACATTTGGAGTTCACACATGCTTCCAATGACAGCACAAATGAGAGAAATGATGTAAAAAAAAAAATGAAGGTTGAGCCAGGATTCGGTGCTAATAAAAAGGCTAGTAGGATGATAGCCCATTGCTCAAGCCCCACCTCAAATCAAATCTATACCCTACCTTAGCCTGAGCAAGCAGTTCTTCCAGCTCTCTGACCCTGGCGATCTCTCTCATCCTGGCAGCCTCCATGTCTTTCAGTTGCTGCTTCATGGAGGTGTATTCCTCTTCACTTGCTGAGCTCCCTGTGGCGAAAAAAAAAGTAACAGAAAAGATCTGAAGGTCTGAAAGGGTGAAGTTTACAATGAGAGTAATTCTGAAAATGACATAATTATGTGACGGTTAATCCTCCTGTCAGGTTTTTGTAAATCAGTGACAGGAGTTTTCACAGGTTCTTCTCAGCACCATTCAAAGCGATGACGGTAGGGTATGGGCTGTTAATGTCGACAATTTTCGTCACATTCAGATATACACGAAGAACAAAAATAGGCATTAACCAAACAATGGAAAGAATAGTTCAAAATACACATGCAGATGCATGAACATGCATTTGCATGCAAAGCAGAACTTCTCTATTAATGTGTAACACACTGAGGTCCAGAGAGTTTTGTAAAGCGGTGATCGTTACGACAAATTTTGGCCGCCATCTCTTTGTCACTGCACATAAAATTGGGAGCTAAAGGGTATACTCATAATGGCTAAATACTGGTACAGCAGTGGTCATTATAACGGCATTCTACTGCACTCAACTGACGAATATTTTCTCCTGCCCGCTTAAAAAGTTATCCATCTTCTCCTACGTAGTACACACACCTTGAGATGATGAGCTGTAGTTGCGCTGCCTGCCCTCCTTTAAGTCCAGTTTATCCCTGAGTTGGGACACCTCCTTCTGCAGGGCCTTGACACGGCTGTTCTGGCCTTCCAATCGATGCTGCTGCTGGGCGCAATTCTCCTGTAGCCGGGTGTGGTCGCCGCTCAGTTTCTCCATCTTCTGCAGGCAGGTGTTGTGCTCCATCTGAACCCTCTCCAGCTCATTTTTCACCTGTGTAACAAGCCAGAACATGAATTAACCTTAAATCTAAGAGGGACATTATAAGTCGATAAGCATATGTTTCCTTAGTTTCCTATACAGTGATGGATTCTGTAGAATTCAGGAAATTTCCAAACAAAAGCATTTGGGAGTATTAGACCCCTCTCATAGACAGCCATCTTCGTAGGCAAATTACAACTGCGTATTCAACGACATCAGGTAGGCTATGCATGCGTGCAGTGTGTAAAAATGTTCTAAAAATGTGCACATATGTTGCTAGAAATTTCTTGGAAACACAGCACAGCAGATACACGTCACAAAAATTTGACCCCTAAATTGCCGATGCACGTAACAATCTGTAGGCAGTGACGTCATTTGAGGGATATCTATTTACTATGAGTTAAAAGTGCAGTAGAGGGCAATACAATTGAGATTTCAGTAGTTTAAATGCGGAAATCACAATTAGACACCATCTGCATAATAACAATAATTTGACAGTTATCTCTACATGTCGTATAACTGGCAATAACTGAGCAGCTGGGGCCAATTTCATAGAGCTGCTTTTAAAGCACAAAATTTGCTTAAGCACAAAAACGTCTTGCTTAATAAAATCATGTTACCGGCCAAAACTCCATGCGATTGTTATGCTAAGTAAACAACAGCTAAATACCAGTCACAAGCAATGTACATCTCATGGAGTTTTGGCCGGTAACCTGATTTTACTAAGCAATGTTTTTTCGTGCTTAAGCAAATTTTGTGCCTAAGCAGCTCTATGAAATTGGGCCCTGATAATAGCTAGACTGACAAATTCATTGTGCATGTTATCTTGAAAGTAAAGAAATAGGAGTGAAAACTTTCACTTACCTGTGCAGCACGGTTAGTCTCCACATCCAGCTGTTGTTGAGTGTGAGACAGTTTACCTTCCAGGCAAGAGACCATGGTCTCCTTGGAGTGCAGGTCGTGCGTGACCTTCTCTCGCTTACGCTCCAGCTCCTGGCATGTCTCTGCCAGCGTCTGATTGTCTCGTTTGAGCGTGGCCTGAACGTTCTTTTCCTCGTCTGTTTTTCTCAACTGTAAGGAAATTGAAGAAAAATTATTGAGACTTAAAAAATGCTATATGGTACATACACCTAAAGAGAAGAGGTGATCGTTTCCTGTTAACCTATCACGGTAGAATCGCGTCAGCGCAGCTTGTGAAATTGTGTATTGTCCAATTACATGATATACAAACGGATGCGGAACGCGCACAATCTGAGACAAACAAAACTTCGTCGCATCAGCGCAACAAGGTCGTTATTCCATTATGCAAAAAAAGTTGTATCTCACGGCTCGCGCAAATAAGCTCCGTGCATGATGCAACAAGGTCGTATCTTGACGTCCATTGACTTTGCATGTTCATCCGGGTTATTTTAAGTGAGATATGACATTTTGACATTCTGAAACTCGCGTTTCACGTACGGCCCATTTTAGGAGATACCACCTTGTTACACTGACACGACTACTAAACGTAAAAAAAAAAAGTCCATAGGATTGTCTAAGGGGCGTGGCTACCTTTGATCAACCAGTGAGATTAATCACTCCAACATTAGGCCGTCACAATCACTATTTTAACAGTAATATTTTATTTAACAAGATGGTGAAAGTTGGTCAACTACTTTTCTCCCAAACTTCCCAGGAGTTATCAGAGTTAGCATTTTGTATTCTATGATGCGATGGGTGTGTACTTTTTTTTTTTTAAATGGAAATTAGGCTCCAAGGAAAAACACAATACAGCAGGATTGGTCCTTATTCCACGGAGCTGCTAAGCATCAAATACAATTTAAAGTCAATTTATGTGTGAAACAAAAAGCAGCTGAAAACCAGTAACTCAAAGTATACATTGTATTTGTATTATTTTGCTTAACAATTTTTTCTCTGCAAAGGGCAAATTCTTGCTCCATGAAACTGACCTCATCTCCATGAAACTGAACTGTACTGCATTGCAGTACATATCAACGTGATATCTCATGTTTGGATTTCGATAACTCTCTGCAAATTTAGAATTAAAAGCTGCATTTTTGGTGATGCAATGCTCACAACAGCAACTTTGCTAGGCAGAAGTTTCGGGGATTATTGAAGAAACTGTAGTGAGTAAGAAGCTTGCAAATTTGATTCACACTGGGTTTATTATGCAGCACAAACTTTTGCACGATATGGATACCTTAAGTTTTGGGACTCTCATACACAGTATTGAGAGTCCCAAATTTTCGGACTAGGTTCAAGCCAAACATCCTGGAGGGTTAGGGTTATTTGAGTGCATGCAAGCCATTCCGACCTGTTTCTGATAGGCTGCCTCAAGACTCTCCATCTGGAACTGCTTCTGCTTGTGCTCCTTGCTGAGACGTTCCAACTTGGTCTCCATCTCCCGGATCTTTTGCAGGGCCTTGGCCGGGAGACCATCCTTCCACTCGTCCACTACCCAACTCATTGTGGATCCAAAGAGGGTAGTACTACTTGATAACCTGCAGCAGATGGAAAGATACAAATTAGACCTTGACAATGCGTGGAACTGTCATCGGTTTAAGGGGCACGAGGGGCATGAACCCAAGATAAGAGACACGGAGAGACTGCTTGTTCATGTGTACAGAGATATGAGTAACTCTGCTCTTTTTCAGACAACCATGTAGTGGCTACCGTTATGGCAGACGTAACACAATTTTCAACTGCTATCGTCACAGCACTGCAAATCTATCCAACAAAAACACCATTGCGAATCTATATCACGCCGCAACTGTTTTTGTTTTTGAACCAAAAAAATCACAAGGGCATGAAAGAATTTTTAACAATATTTTTTGTAAATAGACAATTAGCTGTACATCATACATGCTGTAAAATGCAGATTTTTTTTCATTTTTTGCTGAATTCCCCACTAAAACCTGCATTTTCCACATTTTTTTGGCTGCTGGTGAAAGTTTGTGCAAAGGATACGATCCGAGTAAAAGTACGTCATTTTGGGCGATCGTGAAGTGTAGGGCCCCTGTTTTGTTTTGATCAAAATAGAGTCAAAAATGTGTTTATTGAGACTCAAAAATCACCCTTACAATCAAAAGCAGACTTTTCTCAATTCTAATGACACCCTTTTTGCAATTTTAAACAAATTCTTAATCTTGGTGTAGAAATCACGATTTTCCTGTGCCGTTTGTGCCTTGCGATTCAGCGCGCCGTGCGTGCTCACGGCACATCGCGCGGTGATCGCCATCTTTATTTTCGGGTCGTGTGCTGTCGCCGCACTTTCATCGTCATTTTACCCCTCAAATTTCCCTCAAAAAATCAAAACCCTGCCCTCTATCTATGACATGTATGACATACCTGTTTATTTAGAATGTCGTCAACTAAATGAACTAGTTTGGTAGGTCCAATAATTTTAAAGTGGATTTTGTTCCCTTATACTAGGAACCGGGCCCTACACTTCACGATCGCCTCAATAAGTCATTTTGAGGATACACGCATCGCAAAATATTATAAGCAATGATAAGCATAAGCTGAGTGATAAGCAAGATAAGTTAAGTCACGAGTGCGTAGAAATGAGCGCGTAGCTTAGGTCTGATGATTAATAATACCCTGGTCCTGGACGTCAGTCATATTTGCAATGAAGACGTCATCCAACCTGGGCTAGGAAGTGGTAATGGGGCGAAGTGGTAATGGGGCGAAGTGGCAATGGGGCGAAGTGGCAATGGGGCGAAGTGGACTGGATGCATGAAATGGGGCGAACAAATTCGGACATGTCGGAACATGGCGACATTTTTGCTGGACACAACAGCCTTCCAAATCGGTAATTCAATCAAAGACTTCGTACACATTACATGCATTTAGTAAACAAAACAAATCATTGTTGTTATGTCTTTGTTCTCTTACCCGTAATTGAAAATGTGTTGAACGTCAAATCGCGAAAATAACCATTCTTCTTGGCTATATCCACGCACACGAAGGCGTATACAATTTCCCGTGCCGTTGATCCAATTTAAAAAACTGCGCACAAAACTGTAGAATTTTTTTGCGCAGCGCTGATTGGTTAGATTAATAGCCTCTTTCAATTTAAATGTAAAAGTTGCAAATATTTCCTTAGTAATTATTAAATGTTACATTTATTTTCAACATTAAAATATCAAAGTATCTCGATAAAATATTTTGTGGTTTACAATTATGTGCACAAGTGGTGGTGCAAAGTTGTGTGAATATTACAATTTTACGTATCTTTGTAAACGCTGGCAGCACGTATTTTTGAAACGCCGGCTTTGTTTGGTTTTTGGCTCTTCACTTCTTATTATCTCTGAAAAATTGAGACTGAGCAAACCAAATGGAATCATTCCAGGAGTAATTCCATGCAACTGCAGTTTATCATGGACAAAACATTTGCCAGAATACCCAACGATATTCTTAATTGAAACTTTATTATTTTCTAATGTGCACTGATTCCTACGTGTGGAGTTTAAATCAGGTCTCTATCTGTTGGGACGGGGGGGGGGGGGGGGTCCCCCACACACTTATTAAAGTGCATGGGGGATATCATATCGTTTGTCCCCCCCCCCCCCCCCCCACACACACACACACACACACACACACATTTTTTTCGTCCCCAGAATAAAACAAATTGTAGCCTGCTATATAATGATTATAATAGCTCAAAATAGCGAAGTCAATATCTCAATTCATATCAATTTAATTACGTCAGAGGCGGATCTATACTTTTGCTGGGGTGGGGTTGGGAGCTAGGGGGAGTGGTTCAGGCCCGTCAGATTCAGGCCCGTCAGATACATAATGACCACTGCGGAATAGCTTTACTTTTTTTTTGTCAGAGCAGGGGATGGGTTCGACCCAAAAAAAACCCCTCTGGATCCGCGCCTGCATGTCACTGACAGTAAAAAAGCAAGTCTGTAAAAGTCCCATGCATAATGGAATTTTTAAATTCAATCTTTAATGCACATTCGGGTCGTTCTACTTGAGTTTGTTTTTCAAGTTTGTATTCTAGTTTTAAGGGTGAGGGTCTTTGTTTTCTTGCGTTTTTCCTATTTTGCAAATTACTATATTTCTTGGGAATGTTCACAATTAAAGAAACATTATTTGAGAGATGTAATATATATATTACGATGTACATCTCAATTTTTTTCCTAGTTTCTTACGTAAATCGGAAATTGCGTCTTTAATAATGGTTGTCATATTGATCGAACGAAACTCCATGGACAAAAACAAGCCGACCTTTTGGACCTATTTTTTAGGAATAATGAGCTAACTGTGATTTATTTGTTTGGAAGTTGATATCAGAGCCATGATACGAAACAATGAGCTGAGTATTAGGCGGATCATTGCGTAATTGATCAATGAAAACTGCACTGCAGACGCATTATACTCTTTTTTTATCTGGACACACACATATTCTCACAACTTCTACGACTTTGAACGGATATCTTAAAGAGACAAATTCATGATTTTTTTAATTGGTTTGTCAACACTGTCTCCATCGTCTTTCCAAGCATCTCAAATTGCCTTAAATCTGTCCACTGTTTCCTTCATCAGCTGTAAGCAAACACCATCTTTGTAAGAAATAAGCTTGCAAAATAATATCGAGAATGCAAGCAACAAAAGCGTTCTCATCCTAAATTCTAGAAAATCAAAAGTGCAGATGTAGGAAAAGTGAAAAAGCTGAACTAACTGGGTAGAACATTACAAATTAGCCATGCACCGGCCGTAACATTATAACAACAAGCTCAATCACCTACAGGATGCGTCAGCGGAACCCCCAAACATTTTTATTTCATATTTAAAAAAAATGGTAGCACCAAGAATAATATCCAATTTCTACTTTTAGATTAAAAAAATACTGCAATTGCTCAATCCGTTCAAAGAATATCACCATTTAAACGCAATCATGCATGCCCCTAAATTCTGTTTCGCTCCCCCCCCCCCATTTTTTTGTGTGTATTCATTATGTTTGGAACAACAAAGAAAATGACACATGTACCAGAATACCTGTTTCAACAACTGTCAGCAGTATAGTGCACAATATCTTTATCAACAACCCTGGTTAGGTAAACAATTATGATTTATTAAATCCACAGTTTAAAAAAAGAATGTTGTTTTACTTTTATAAACTGAGGTTTTATCGCTCAATAATTAAGCCAATAGTGACGACGATTCTTGAAATCGCATTTTTGTACTAGGTTTTAGGGTCATTGCGCTAATTAAATGGTGCATTCTTTGAACGGATTGAACAATTTCAGTTATTTTTTTTCAAGTGGCTTATGAAATTGGCTATCCAGTCATTGTTATTTTTGGTGCTGCAAATTTTTTTAAATATGAAATATCATTTTTAGGGTTTGGGTTGTTTTTACTCACCCTGTAATTTAGATAACGTTTTTCCTGAGCTCGAAACAGGGACGGCGCCGGGGAATCGAGGAATTTATGGCACAGCACCTCTGGCCTGGACTTGGCTAATTCTGAGCATGTTTTGGACTGCATGATTGGGTTCGAAAGTGGCGCTATTTCAAAATGGCTACACAATAAAAGGCTAAAAAAAAAACCCAGATTGTTAAAATAACCCATATTGGTTCAAATGTGTCCAACCAACCCGATTGGTTGGACACATATATGTATTAATCAATTTTGTTTCAGTCAATGTGCTGGTTATCTTTCATTTTAGGCGGGACAGGTGAGAATTTCTCAAAAAGTCATGGGTCAACCTACCGAAATTTGAAAGAAAAATGACAGACGGCATGTTGACCATCATTTCTCTGTGCAGCTTGAATACCTGTGAGAGTTTTGAGTATTTTAAAAGTATAGTGGAGTATGGGCATAATGCATGGGAATTGTTATGCACCCATAAGAACCGGTTAAGCGTTGTTTTAAAGAATTATGTGCTCTGTTGGTCTCCATGTGAATGATGGACACACTGTTCGATAAGTCGAGTAAAATAGCCTCAATGAAACAAATACTTGTACATGTATATCACTCAGTTTTGTTCGTCTGGTAATAAACTACTATAGCCGAATTGCAAACGAAGCCAATGTTTGAAAACCAAACCCACTAAAAAATATTTCTTGTCTGGTATCCTAGATAACATCATAACACTTGACGTGAAAATATGTCCACGACCAGACTAGCTAAGCCTACCACATTGTAAACATTGCGTTCTATGGAATACCGTTCCGGCTGACGAAAGTTACGTCACCACAGAACGTCAGAACATGTACGATCGAGCGGATCGACTACGAAAGTACACATTTTCATCAGAAATGTAAGTTTACTTTTTGCGAAGAACGAAGTATACTGACGCTACTTATGAAAATGATATAAACAGATTAACCACCATTATACAGCTGTACAGATGGTTGAAACTAACGTCGTTAGACATGTTAGACATGTTTTTTGTTAGACCCGTAGGCGTAGCGTAGCCGTAGGCGTAGTCGTACCCGTCAACGTGGCGCGCGTGTTGTTTAAAGCCTTGTTTAAATGCCACGACCATGGGCATGATGGGTCTATTAATGTTGAAAAACATATGGCTTCACAGGCTTCTGCAATCATAGATAGAGCAAGGAAAAGATGTACGCGTGACACAAAACCTTTCCGATGTAACAGTATCAAACTCGAAGGTCACGTGATCCACAAGGTCAAATTCAAGGTCAAAGTAAAGGTGTCTTGGTCAGCATACTTCAAATAACTCCAACAATAACATTAAAAATAATGGTACATTTGGATTCCTTAAAAAATTGTTATGTTGTAACCTTTCCAAAGAAACCAAGATTAACAAATTTGGCCAACAGCCTGGTTATGGATTAGGTAGATCCGTGAACGTGGCGTCAATAACAACGCCACGCATAACTGTGTAATACAAACTTTCGACGTATGTTTAATCAATGTGACAGCTGATCGTCACATTGTTTTCGATACAGCATGAAACAGTCGTCGATCGATCAGATGATCCGTCAAATGGTATGCAGGCATGCGTTCTACAGAGCTAACAGTAACACTACAGCCTACTCGACAGACAATCATTTTGCGCGTACAACTAGTCAGGGTACCAGAGACTAGTGTGATCATGAAAAGTTGCAAACGTCCGGACCCACCTCCATAATTCCCTCTCCAAAGTCAAATTTATTTGGAATGCCGACTGTTACGTTGATTGAAATATTCACTGTAGGGCCTATTCTTCATTCTTCAGGACATTTTGAACACGTCAAAACTTTTTAATACACAGTTACGCGTGGCATTGTTATTGATGCCACATTCACGGATCTATGGATTAGGTAGGTATAGAGGCCTAGAATCATTTAAAAATTGGCGGAAACACCCATTTGGACCCAAATTTGCCCCAAAAAATGGGAGGCGATATCGCGAAAACCATTTGTCCAATGGCGTTCAATATAAATAACCCCATAAACCAAATAGGAACCAAATCAATTTGAAGGGGGAAGGGTTTAAACTTTTAATTTTGGGGGGTGATTTGACACAGAATGACCCAGTTTCTTCTTTTGAGCAGCAAATTTGAGTAGAAAATGGGATTTTCTTACCACATTTCCAGTAATGCCATGCAAAATGATCAATGCTGTTTTGTGCTTTCTCAGTACAAGGTAAAGATTGCCATCTTTATTTTGGTGCTGCAAGCGCGTCACTGATTTCTTTTACATAACCACATCTGTACCCATTTCCCTTTGTTGTTTTTTTGCACCAAAGATACTCTCTAGACCAGTATGGTGGATAGCATCTATCGGACACGCTCACTCGGTGTAGCGGCCCAGGGTATTCCTGATCAGTATGCTGATGGCAAGGCGGCTAAGGTCTGGGAGTACTACATCGGAAGCCGGACAGAGAGGACGGAGAGCTACCAACATTTCCTGGTGGATCTCTTGAAATCGCGGAAGTGCAATCACTTACTCGATGTAGCTTGTGGAACAGGGTAGGTCTCCGCAAGAGTTTTATGTTGTGGAAATGAACCCTTCCAGATCATTCTTTAAAAAAGCCGTTTTGCATCGAGGCCTTTTTTCTTTGATAAGTCATAGAGGGTCAATTCAAACATTGAAAGGAAATGTAATGTCTGTGACGGAGCCAATTAACCATGATATCTTATTAATGATTCAGAGAAATGATCCAAACCTCTTACTCTGATTGACCACTATATGATTATGATGATGGATGTACATGTATATGATTTGAAGAAAAACCAACATTTTAAGGTTTATTCACTGAGCTCTTTATTAAAGCTATAGTCCATCATTTGCAGCCATCCGAAAAAGTAACTGGCGTATTATTGTTGAAAAACATACTTGGTTGAAAGATAGTAAGTGGACTTAACTCCCTGTGAAATTAATCTTTCTGGCAAGCTATCATTTTGAAGTAATCAACGAAAAAAGGCCTTTCCAACGGTGCGTCTTAAGACGCACCATAGGAAAATTTAAATTAGTAGTTCGTTTTGTTATTCGGCGCAGCGTGCGCAAGCATTGGCACGACGCACAGGCGTGCGCGGTTGCTATAATTCGTCAGATCAGTGCGCGACATCGCATATAGCTGCAATTCAAAACATGATTCAGCAACTTTTGATTTGAAATTGAGATCCTAGAATGCTGTTTTTCTCGGAATACACAGCTGAAGCTGAGCTGAAACTTCATCAGGTTAGTTGTTCAGTATCCTTCATTAGGTTTTGAACACTTTTGTTGCTTCAAACGAACAAAATGCACAAATTACAAATGATGGACTATATCTTTAAAGTTCTACGGACCTTACATAATGCTGGAATTGGCATCTTGGTATAATGTGTTCTCTCTCCAACCATTAAATATTTCTGATGTAGAATTGACTCCATAATGCTGCTTGAAGAAGGCTTTCGGGTCATGAGTTGCGACGCCTCGGATAAGATGGTCCTGCATGCTTTCAGGGAGCGGTGGGCCCGGCGTAAGGAGGAGTGCTTCGACAACTGGGGTAAGCAGTGAGCAACAGCATTCAAGTCGAATCCTAAGCCTTATCCGAGCCTTAAAGTAGGGCCCTGCTGTATATTTGAACATTAGAAAATTTGATGATCCAGTTTGATGATCAATAGTTTAAAAAATACCATCAAGAACCAGGTGTTGGTTTTTTTTCATTAATTGCTAGGATGTGTTTGAAATTATCTTAGAAGTTGTAAATTGAATTGGCTTTAAAGTTTCTAAAACAAAAGAAGCAGACTTGCATTGCATTAAATAAACTCCGGGTTTATTGATTTTTTTAAGGGGGGGGGGTTAGACGTTTAATTTCCTAAGATTTTGTTTAAATCATTTAATTGTTTAAACATTTAAACAATGTTCGAACCAGACCTAAATGGTATTAAATTAAGGAACAGATTGGACATATTTTGGGGCATTTTGAAGTTTAAATGCCAAGCTATATCCTTTTGGTGTTTGTAGGAAAAGTTAAGGGACAGATTGGACATATTTGGGGGAGTTTTGAAGTTTAATTGCCAAGCTATATCTTTTTGGTTTTTGTTGGAAAAAAAAGAAGAACCAGACATAAATGTGTTAGTAAAACTCCTGTTTAATACACACGCTTTGGGTTTTTTTGTGACTTAGCAAAGACGGGCAGAGTTTGCAGACTGCGCAAGCATAATGCCAACCGTGCTTCATGACGGATGAACCTTAACCAAATCTCTTCAAATTTGTTGATTTGTTTCCTCCCACTGCAGAAATCGAGGTGGCCAACTGGCTGACCCTACCGGACGATATCTCCAAGGAAGGGGACGGCTTTGATGCCATCATCTGCCTCGGTAACTCCTTTGCCCACCTTCCAGACTTCGAGGGCACTCAGGAGAACCACCGTGTGGCCCTCACTAACTTTTACGCCATGCTGAAGCCAGGCGGGATCCTGATCATCGACCATCGGAACTACGATGCCATCATAGACACTGGAAGGGCCCCAATAAAGAACATCTATTACAAGGTGGGCTCTGCGAATCAGATTTATTACCTTAGTTCTTGATTGACATGCCTGCTGATGTAACTAACTTTTACACAAGAATTGAAACGCATAACAGCCTAAGAACGGTAAAGTACGATATTTAGAACACCAACAGCAACTACTTTGAGAAAATACGAGTAAATATGTAAACAAATTGTTTTTATATTAATATTATGATGTAATTGTAGCAAATATCATAAAGAATCCAGTGCACCTTCCAATTCACCTTGAACCCTCCTATGCTAACATACTCTCTGTGCCAAATTGTCCTTGCAGACAAAATTAATCAAGTGACTGTTTTCAACCTGTAAGAATTCCCAGCCCACCTAAAGCACGCTTGACTGCCGTGGACTGATTAAGTAACTTGATACAGCTATGTTAGCAGGCATGTGCAACTTTTTCTGCATGATTTTCCTATTTTTTTTGCAGCCGAAGAGGTGGGGTTTAGACACCCTAACAACCCCCTGCCCCACCCTCCTCTCCCCCTCCCTCCCTTCCCCCTGTAGATATGCCAAAGCTGCCCTACCTGTTTCTCCCTGTATGAGCTCCGTGCGCTAACAAAAGAGGGCGCCCTTTTACCTAACAACGACATCCCATGGGCGGGACATTTAGCTGGTTGACGTGCACCGTTCCTTGTGTGTGACGCACGTACACCAGGGGATTTGTACTATGTACACGCAGTGATACGGCCGCGCGTTGTGGCAAAATTGCAGTCAGGCAAGATGGCGTTGGTCGGTCACCCCCAACTGTACTTCCTTTGCCGGTGAGGGGGTACTTGTGAACGGAGCGGATTGCCCTGAAATGCTTTGGCATTGTTGGTTGTATGGATTTATCTGGGAATAAATACAATGTAACACAGTGTGGTCTGGGTAGTAAGTGGTGATTTAAGTCAGTATGGTTGTGTTTCCACAAATATGGGAAATTGTAAGAAGATTTCTGATCTCCAGCAATAAGTTCCCCCTTTGAGTAGTCATCCATACAGTTTATCAATTTTTGCACCACAGGGCAACTGTCTCAAAGACATCCAGACATCAGTGCTGTATGTCAACGGCCGGCCCTCCATGGTGACGCTCGACTACTTCATTGCCGTTGACGAAATGGCCAAGTCGGAAAAAGTCCGCAAGAAATTGGCACTTGATGAATCGGTCTACAAGTGAGTGAGAGATCATAACTCAAACAACGTGCTCCTGTTTTGTGAACAAATACTTTTTGTTTAGTGTTATTACATTGGGCATTGTCAGAAACTTTAATTTGTGTTTGTGAGCAGTAATTACACAATGCACATTGAACCCAAAAGTTGTAAACCGAAAAAAAAGTCATGATTTGAATGCACCATTTGTGCGCAGCATCATTTCACTTGAGACTATTCTTTGTAAATTTTGGTTTGAATATTTTGTTGCAGACTTTGTGGCCAGTTTTAAACTACATGCAAAAGCAAAAGCAATGGGAATTTCACAGTGTCAACTGTTGCAGTTTCTTTGTGACATTTACAGAGTACCATGTGTGTGATAAAATGCACTTTCAAATTCAAGTGTAAAATTCTTGTCTGTTGTCGATGTTAATTTGTTATGCTGTGCAAATTTAGTTGAGGCTGGCTTTTTGTATTCTGTTTGAGTGGTTAGCAAAATGAAACATTTGAATCCATGTAAACATAGCATACAGGGTTGTTAAAAAAAAAAAGGACACCCACATTTGACAGGAATTATCACCTATTTTTGAAAATTGTTTATAACTGTCGATGAGTAGCTATTAAAGTACTGACCTTTAAGCAAATGTGACGAAAAAATCGTTGCATTTGCACATTTCGTCGTTGAGCTATGCCAATTTGAACATTTCATGTGCGAAACCTGTTTGTCCACAGAGGTAAACATTCCGTTCGCTTGACTGAGCTCAGCTATCGGAGCTTTATTTGAAAGGGCATGACATTTTTGATATGTTAAGTTATGCAACAATGAACTTAAGCCAACAGCTCATTGAGTAGATGATCTTAACACTGATTTGAATAATTGGACAGCTTCAATAAAAGTTACTAGGGCAAAGTGTATTTTGGTGGGAAGGTTTTTTAATTGATATGAATTACGAAAACTTCCAATTTACATTGAATAACCCGTGGACAAGACTGAGTTTGGTGACTTGTATTCAAAGTAGCATAATATCACTGTTTTTGCAACTTTTACTAAGCTTTTTTCACCATACATGGTTAAAGGACTATACTTTACTACTGTGTGAAAAAATATTTAAAATAAGTTCATTTGTTGGTAAAACTTGCTGTCAAAAGTGGGTGTCCTTTTTTTTTTAACCACCCTGTAGGTTTTCACACTACTGTGCAAAAAAAAACAGGTTTTGTCTAGCCAGTGTATAACTTGAAAAAACAAAACAATTATACACGGCATATGAATGATTATGCTTAAACTGTATTTTTTATTGATCTTGTGAGTTAGATTTTTATATCAAAATGAACTTTTTCATGAAAAAAAACTTTCTGTGAGCTACAGGCAACCAGAAATCCAATGTCGTTGTATTTCTGTTCTTTCGTTTTCAAGGTTCCGTCTGTCGTACTACCCCCACCGCCTGAACGCCTTCACAGACATTCTCAAGAAGTGCTTTGGAGAAAACTGCAAGCACTCCGTCTACGGGGACTTCAAACCCTTCAAGGAAGGCGATAAGCCGTCCTACTACATTCACGTCATCGAAAAACCCTTGGAATAAACCCCTTCAACGACAACTGTAATTATTCCGATCAATTTCAGCTGGGAGTCACCTCAATAAATATCCAAGAGAAATTGAGGGGAAATCTGGCATTTGATGCAGAATTCTGAACAAACTTGCCCAGAATCTTACAGCAATGAAATGTTCAGTTTGCAAGCAAATGCTGATAACTTCATCACAAGAACATTCCAGGTAAATTGTTCAGAATCGTGCTACTAATACAAAATTGAATGGGCCTTTTGCGGATAAGCTTGTTTGAGACTTGTCACGAATATTTAACCCCCCTGCTATCTGAACACTCACAGACAGTCAAAAAAATCAATCCTCTTCCCTGCCATGCCTTTTACACAGGCTAGTCACCAACAGTCAGATCATATTTCAAGCAAGCACTTGTGGCTTATCAAATCAAGTCTTCAGAACCCACCACCCCACCTTGCGGAGGTCGGGCGACATGTGAGAAATTTCTGGCTACTTTCCAGTATGTATGGTCTATTGACAGATTTGTCGTCACACAAAATTTGCGGCCACTTTTCAGAAAAATTACCCATGTCGCTAAAAAAAAAGAAACAAAAATGTTTGCCACAATTGGAATGTTTACTCCAAAATAAGATAGTTACATTTTTTTAATCAAAATTTATAGCACTGCATAGGCATGTTTATAGACTTAGTTTGTCTTTGAAAATCAAAACAGTTCGTAAAAGTAATGAAGGCTCAGCAGGTCTCAGAAAAGGTCTCAACTACAACACTACGTAAACAAAAACAAATTGTTTACTATAAACAAAATAGTTTGATAGCTTGTTAAAAATCGACCTTATGAGCAGTGATGCCATCCTTGTGATGGAGCATGAACAGTGTTCATATGGTAATGCAAGAGGCTGTTTGGATCAACTGATGAACACAAATATGCATAGAAGCTGCTTTAACAGGAGCGCGCCTGAGCCACTGATGAACACATTTACATGTATATCCTACATAGAAAGAGCTTTACAGTATAGTATACAACTGTTGAATGCTTCGAGTGGTGTAGTAAAACTAGCCTCCCGAGGTGATCCATGGACATTCTATTTTCCCGAGGCGAAGCCGAGGGAAAATAGAATGCTCCATGGATCACCGAGGTAGGCTAGTTATACTTCACCACAAGATTGAAGCATTCAATATTTGTTTTATAACACTTCACCCACAGATTCTGCTTGGTTTTAATATTTTAAATTATTTAAATCTAGATACGGTTTAAATACACCTAAATTTCAATACAAAATTGGTGGAAAATGTGTTTCTCTCTTCCAAAGTACCCCTTCACAAAATGTTTGAACCCAACTCTGCTGCGCGCTCTCTTTGGAACAAAACGCGCTACGCGCACGCCAGCATGCATTTGCACACAAATACCGCGCCGTGGATATAGTACTTTGGTTGCAAATGGTATAGTACTTTGGTTACTACGGGTATAGTACTTTTGGCCGTGCACAGAAAGATAGTGAAAATAGAAAGTATCATGTGACTCGCTCTTGGCCAATCAAGACACAGAATCGTGAGTGAGGTGTTATAACAGTGTTTATAACATGAAGATTTCTCAGATAGTACACACAGGGTATCCTTAGTCAATTATGCACTGCATAATAGACCTTATGGTTGCAGACCAGTAAATAAACTGCCATAGACCCCAATAATAAACGCACCCACTGCAGAAAGTCAGGAAAAATACTCACAACTCACTGAGGTGTTCGAGACACACATCAAATTTAAGCTTATTTCATCATCTTTCATTTTCTGTTCAATTTTTTTGGGGTATTCCAATGACTTTTGGGAGAAATTTCCATCCGAAGATGATCACCCCTTTAAACAGTCCTGAAGCCCATCGTCATTTTGAAAAACGATGTCTACGCTCCATTGCAAAATAGAGTGCCTTTAGAGCCCAATTTCATCCAAATCACAGAAATGCAAGCTTACAGCCCTGTGCACAGCTTCCACCCCTGTGCACAGCTTCCACCCTTCTTTTTTACAAACCCTCAAGTTCATGGCCCACAATATGCTCAAATACTGAAGAATTTGAGGGCATGCAAATCGTGATTTGGCCGTCGTAGGCAATTTCGGACTGATTTACTGGCCTGCTCCCTTATGTGTTAAGACAGGGTTAGAGGACAATAGTTAATACATCACTAGGGTAGGCATGAATAAACCTTTTGCGCATGCATCATTACTAAATTAAAGATGGAGTACATCATTTGTAATTTGTGCATTATGTTCGTTTGAAGCAACAGAAGGGCTCAAAAGCTAAAGACAGGTGCTTACCAACTAACCTGATGAAGTTTTAGCTCAGTTAATGCTGTGTATTCTGAGAAAAACAATATTCTAATGGTAACTACATGTATTGCAGTTGTTAATTTAAGTTTTAAATTTGATTTGTCGAGATTGGAATGGAAAGCTCAAGTCTTTTTATTTGTTCTTGGTTTTGAAGCGGTCTGTGAAATTCAAAGTATGTTTTCCTTTCTGAGGTGTGATGTTTTGATTAAGGTTATACATTGTATCCACACAATTCCGATGGGAATGACGATTCACAAGTCTATTCTCAGTGGTAAGGTTAGGGTAGACGAAACAACGTAAATCTATATTCTGGACTTACTGGGTAAGACATTAGTGTGTCCAAGCAAGTATTTTTCTAGAGTGAGTTTCATGTTTAGTGTTGTTATTTTATAGAGAAGAACTATAACATTAAATCACGTACGAAAAAAGCTGTGTGTGATGAACAGTTGTTTATTATAACTTTGTAAATGATATGGATGCATCGTTAACACAATGAATTCGCTGACAAGCAACTCCAAGCTGTCTGTGTTGATGTAATTGCCCCCGAATGAAAGTTTGGAGGACAGTGTCTAACTTTATAGAAGTATACCTCTTACCGTTTCTTTGTTATTTTTGCTTCAACTTAAGCCTTGTGTAGATATTATTTTATTGTTGTGGATTGTTAGATTTTGTCACGAGTCTTCAAATACTTTGTTACCCTGTACTGTACCCATGTTGATGAGCATGCTAAATATGCCAAGTGGTGTTTCTTGATCATTTGAATTTCAGAAATCGATCAAACAACGAACTTGCAAACCACTTTATGCATTACTTTTATTGACAGGTGAAAAAATAATGATGCCATTTATCCTTCGAACCCAAATGCAAAATGTGGGGTAAATCGTGATTGATTCGAACGTTTTCAGAAATATTTTTCAAAAAGAAATGATTTATCATAATCTTGAAAGTCACAAATAACATCATTGTAAATTGAAAAAAAAGAATGTGTCTATTTTAATTTGATTGCAGAACTAATTGATTTAAATTGTATTTTTTGAAATGAAGGGTGTGATTAAAAGTCATCTGAAATCATTGAAGGTGTTGTGCAATTTGAAAGTTTTTTGGATTTCCGAGTAACTATTCCAGAAAGATAATACATTGGAAAATATTAACAAATAACAAATAAGTGTAGGCCCTACACTTTACCTACATATACCCCCCCCCCCCCCCCAGTATTAGGAGGTATCCGAATGCATGGGAAAACTGCCGGAAGTTGTTTTAGATTTTTTTCAGTTGCTACTTCCAAAGGATTGCAGACGCCCAAAACTGAAAAAGTGGGATGTTGAAAAGTCATTAGGACATTAAATTGAAAAGTCATTGGGACATTATTTTTTGAGGAGCACTATTTGATTTTAAAGGGGGGCGGGACCTAAAATCTACCCTGCTAGAAGTAAATGTGCCGCAAATTCGAAATGTCCCAAATAAATAAAATAATAATTATTAACGTTGGCAGATTTTTTTTCGGTCGATGTCTAATTGAAAATTCAATTTATTTTGCTTAGCTAGGAAAATAGCAAACATGTGTAGGCCAACAACCTTCTTTTTTTCTTCTTTTTTTTTACGGCCTCTTCCTTTTGTTCATTCAAACAATTAATAGGCCTAGGTACATTTTTTTCTGACCGTAAATCCATAGCTTGTCACCGGCACTGAGTGTTTAATAATGATGTTTTTTATCAAAATACATTGATAATTGAATTTCACTTTTAAAGTTATTCGATTAAATTTGCTGAAATCTGGATGACTGGAATTGATCAAAGCAACTCCATTACTAGCACGTTGTCGTAAAAGTTGGTACCCAGATCCTGTCTTAACTTATTCTTTAAAATGGGCTTGCGGTCGCTGCCGATGAGCGTGATCGGGGGAGTAATAAATAGCCGTCTGATATTTTTTACACAAACCCCCGGTGTAGTTTTTGTAAAACGCCGTCCGTCCAAGAGTCCCTGTTGTTGCACGCTTTGGCGGGTCGTTAGTATTATCACCATGATAAAATATCATGTTTTATATTTACTGTTTAAGTTGTATACGTTGACCTTCAAGGAACAGGACCACTTTCCTGGTAATGAGACACATCTAAGGAATGGCCAGTTTAGCCACAAGGTCCGCGTGGGTGGATGCTGGGCTGCACCGGAAGGCCACAGTGATTCAGCCCACAGACTTATAAGGAAATCCGATTGTTCTATTAATTTGCCTAGCCCTGCCCCCAGATACAAGTTGACCAAACACCTTCAATTCTGTATTATTAATATTCAATAGTTACTGAACGACTCCTAATAAGGCAAGAAACCTGTAAGATAGCTGTAAGATTGGAATGTTCATTTACTGAATAAAAACCCAGTAGAATCTAGGAATCAGACAGAGAGCGTCACAGCCAACCGAATAAACCACATCATCCCAAGTACCACTTCGTCTCTTACTGTCTTACTTTGTCTATATAACCTCACGGGTTATATTTGGTGGAGAATCCGGGTACCTCTCTCAACATCGAGTTTTTCATGCTCACGCGATCGAAGTCAAAACAACAATCTGCATCAGCCATGGCCTGTACAGCGCACATCGAGTCTATCCTACCAAAGTTCACCGGGTACGACTCGGAGGACCCCGAGTTATGGATCGACCGGTACGAGAGGTATGCTCTCCAAAAAGCATGGACGGCTGTGCAACAAGCCAGCAATTTCCCCCTCTACCTTGCCAGTTCTGCCAGTTACTGGTACAGGGACTTGCCGAATGCAACAACGGGCACCTTTGCGGCACTAAAACAGGCTTTCCTCAAGAAATACGAGCCTCACGAAGGCATGCGATGGGTTCGTTTGTCGGAGCTGGCCGACAGGAAGCAACAGCCCAACGAAGCGGTCGAAAAATACCTGAGCGACATTGAGAAACTGTGCTGTCAGCTGAAGCGCTCCCAAGAAGAGAGAATGGAGGCATTCATAAGAGGACTGCTGCCCAACCTCAGAGCCCATGTCATCAAATCTCACCCAAAAACCATGGATGAGGCGGTAACGCAAGCAAGAATCGCTCAGTCCACAGCTGCAGCGCAAGAACCAACCTCATCCACTGACGTGAACGTGAACTCAGCAATCAAGCAGCTGTCTGAACAGATCGCTTCCCTCAAAGACCAGATGACGACAGTTTCGGCGGCCACACAGCCATCTCCTCGACAGCCACCAAGCAGGGGATACGAGTTAGGACAGCGTCACTTCCGCCCCCAGCAAACCCAAGTTTT